CGGTGAAACTACCCTAGACTCACACTATGTGACGTCGAAAGTGCATTTTGTTATCTATGACTATTAGTGCATAGAGTTTGAGGCAATACTGCCACGAAAAAGTTTCAATAGTTTATAGTAGAAATCTAAGAACTTAGACTTTCAGGGGTTTCTTTGCTGACCACTTTGACGTATGTTTAGTTAATTTAAATTCTTTTCTTGGATGAATTTAGGTCTTGTAGCTGTATTTGAAGGTGATTACTATTTTGATTACGGTACTGTCGTGTTATTCGGTAAAAGACCTTAAGGTTATCCCTGTAGTACTGACAACAACACTAAGTAGTACTATAACAGAGTACCATTACTATTATTGTTCCTAACATTTATAAGCAATCTTTAATCGGCAATAAATGAAGAAAGGTGTGTCTATCTTCGATTTTGAAATGAATTGAAAGTGAATTCATGTATCTTTTATCATGCTGTAGTGTATATGTACCATGTTTGTGCCACTAATAATACAGAATGCAGTTAATGGATTTTACTTTTATAAGGCTATTTCTAGCATTCTTTGCTTCCTATTTAATTAGCAAAATATTTTGGAGAGGTTATTTTAAAGTCTGTATGATATACCTACAGTGTAGTTCACTCCACCCCCGAAAATTTGAAATTTATTGTCCTTGTATAAAAATGAAACTGTTTATTTTCGATCAGATCTTGGTGTAGACATTCATGATATTAACATCCTTACTTATAACAGATGATTGAATGAAAATAACCTTGACCTGGCAATTGCAGTGCTTTGCATTGGCGTAAAAGCCAAGACCTAGGGGTGGGGCCGGAACCTGGGTACCTGACAATGTTTTGTACAGTACAATACTTCAATCGATAGAAATTGCCACAGCCTGTACTCTCTGTATGTTGAAGACTAATTCTGAACGTCAAACTTCCTTAATACCTTAATATAAAGTTAAATAGGAACTTGCTTAATCTAAGTATAATTTTACTTTTTATTGTTGCCTTTATTTGAAATGTATATTTGTTTCAATTACAGATATTTTCGAAAAAAGATGGCAAGGGAACCCCACCTCTGGTCATAGCCGTTAACTCTGGCAATGTTGAGATTTGCCGATTTCTTCTTGAAAATGGTGCCAAAATTGATGCAACTGATAGAAGGTTAAAACGGTCAGCCCTCCAATATGCAATACTGACAAAGAACTTGGAAATTTTTGATTTGTTATTGAAGTAAGTATCAGTCTTTGTATGGTATTAAGGCTACAAATATCCCCTGTTCTTGTATATGTTCTACAGATCTATATTTACTAAAAAGCGAAAGACCACCCTTTCTTAATGAACCCATCCGTGTTATCATTTATCTCTGTATTATCATCTGAAAGAATAATGTGAGTTGATAATTATAGAAAGATTGTTCATTTTAGCGATTTCTATGATAATGTAGGTGTAAAATTTCCCTCAGTATCAGAGTAATTCAAACTACTAAGGTTTGTTTTCAATTTAAAGGTGTCTAATCGATCCTGACAATTGGTATATCTGTAATTGAAGCAGTTAGAGAAACTTTAAGACAAAATTTAGTATTAAAATGATTTTAACAGTATCTATTTTTTATGCAAAACAAAAACTGGTGTGACATGAATGGTAAAAAGAGTGCGACTTTAGAGATATGATACATTTTTCAAACATTAAAACTAAAAAAAAATTGCTTATCACCAATCTACTGTCTGACATAACTCAGTAATCCACAACTCTACCCATTTTGAAATGGTAACACCCGCTGTATTTTGATTATTTCTGCATTAATACACACACACCAAAAATATACTTGGATTTCCTCTATAAATTCCTTGACAAATGTGGCAATGCCCCCTTTTTGAAACAATTAACCCAGGTTCTGGTTATTGGAGGTAAACAGCTCTGTTCTGACTTTAAATTGTAAGAAATTTGAGGGGAGGATAGCACAGTGTAATGTGGAATTTAAATCACGTTCATTCTGTCATCTTGTCACCAACTTGAGTGCTCAGTGATTATAATAAAAAGGGAGTTTTCATTGTTATAAGAGAGTAGTTGTAGCGTGGTAGTAAAATTATAATAAAAGTATTCTCAAATGCAGACCTGAAAATGCAAAATAAAGATTCTTTGTAGAATAAAGGAAAGTAGGTCCAAAAATGGGCTAAACTTGAATGGCTTTCAATCTCTTTAAAAACATATTCAATATTACATAAAGGAATATTAATAACTGAATTTTTCTGCGATGTGATTTGATTGTGAGAGGACGAGATGAATTTTAAAAAGGCGTGTTTTAGAAAGAATTAGCTTCACCACTTTGTGATATTTGTCAATATATCACTGTAAAACTAGACTGACAATTTCAGAACACTTATCATAGATAGAATATTTACACACCAGGTGAATTGTGTTGGTTTTCCTCTTGTGTTATTGTTAGGACCCCCCAAAATGTAACCCTTCTAATTAAAGAAGGATCTTCAATGGAAAACATAACACTGGACAAATTACTGAATTACTGAAAGGAGTTGATATTGTAGTCCCTCAGTTGTTGACTTTGTACTTTAGGATTCTGTGAATTATTTGATGCCCAAATGAAATGATGGATGGATTTGACAACTTAAAGTCAGGTAATGATTGGCTAAGAAAACAGATTGATAACATAATGCTATATAGCAGTAAACATGTCCGCAGATCAGCACTCTTATTACAGTTAAAATAGATTTGATGTCAGAAACTTTTAAATGTAGTAAACCAAAATCAATGGACATCTACTTCCAGGTAATTTAATTTAGAATATATCATACGTGAGATATGCTTATAAACACTATGCCAGCCCTGGAATGTATTTGTTTCTCTAGAAATCACTTAGTAGATTTGAGAAAAAAAATAAAAGTATACTTTGGGAGAAATATGCATGGAATAATTTCCTTTCAGTTTTATGAAATATGTATGTATGATTGAAGAAAATTGTCTTTATAATGTAATGTGTGTTTAGAGTGTATGAAATAATGAGAAAACGTCTGTGTGGAGTAAAATTAAATGCAGTTATTAAGTACACTTAAAACCGAGACAATCCCTGGTTAGGAACAGTTTCAAAGAATTCTTTGTAGAGTATTGCATTAGAGTCTGCTATTGATTTTGTGTTCTGGAGTCTATAATTCTTTATGTTGTTTGAGTTCAATTGCTGTTTATGAAGTGGTCTACCTGCCTTTTGATTAGGGTTTTGTCCATTATTAAGCGATATATAACTTGTATATATCTAAAAAAAAATTCGCATGTTACAAAGATTGAGAAACCCTATAAAAGAGAGTTTGCACATTACGCGATCATTGTTTGACTCTTTTGAGTGCTTAATTGTTTTATAATGTAATGGTGTTTATGGGTTGTTAAGGTGTTTCACTTTTAAAACACAAGCTCATATTAAGTTTTTACCACATAAACATATTTCAAAGATATAGATCTTAAACAAAAACAGTCTTCATTTGTTTTACCACATAATAATGAATAAGAATGGAATAATAATGAATGGGGGACTTTAAATTTGTCCTTGCTGTTTGAGTCATAAAGTAAACAATGCAGGATATTGTCTGAAATTTTAATGAAGTTATAAACTGTTCTATGTTACTTTTTTTTTTTTTAATTTTGCTTATAGTGTTTTATATATTGTTGGAGGTAGGTTCAGCTTGATGAAAAGATTAAAATATTTTTATTTAAAATAAGCTTACGATGGTTCAATCTAGTTTATGATATTACTTTTGCTTGCTAAGTACTTACATATTATTAGCTTACAAAGCAGGAGTATTAAGTTTGTTGTTTAAAAGAGAATCCAATGTCTTTTAAACAACAAAGTTAATATTCATGCTTTGTAAGCTAATAATATGTAAGTACTTAGCAAGCAAAAGTAGATGTTGTTGAAGTTTAAACTGGAAAACCCAGTATGAACGCAATAATAGCAATCATCTATGGATAACCTTAAGACTTCACTAGATGAATAATTTGGTAAATTCTGTTAATATTTCATTATTTTGCTGTACTGCGTGAAAAATATTTCTCTTAAGCAGACACTCTCTATTCTTTCGTCTCATCTATATAACTGTGTTTCACTGTATATTTTTACAATCAGTAGAAATAATACTTGCATTGAAATAAATTCTTTTTAGAATTTCCTATCCTTTTACCAGAATAGCTGACATGAAATTGCAGAGTAGGGTTGCTTGTGAAATTCTAGTTTGAGAGGTGTGTTGTTTGCACATCAGAATTTATTATTAAAAGTGTCTTTTACAAATGTCTATATGGAGATTAAATCTGAAATCCCCTGCGTGATCATTTTAAGTGTGGTTAATCTCTTATTGTCCCATTGTCCCTTTATTTAAACAAGCTTTCTTTGTATACACAGAGCAGGAAGGAACTTGAAATATTTGTCCTCCATTTCTGCACATTGATATGCACATGTTCATGAATTAAAATATTGGTCTAAACCAGATATTAAAGATTTTTTCCCCCATTCTATACGGACAGAACACTTACCTGCTGGCTTTCAGGTATATTGTGGAAAATATGACGGATGAACTATTTTGAATGATTGATGAATTATTTTTACAATTATTCAGAATCAATACTTTTTTAGGTTTAAACGTTCTTTGTTGAACACCTCTAATTAAGATTTCCAATTGAAGCCGACGTAATGGGTACTTTAATGTAAAAAAGCACCTATAGCTTACCATAGAAATCTGAATGATATAGCATTTCAGAAAGTTCTTTACTCAATAGAAATGAAACTTAAGGTGCAACCACATATTTGTCCAATTTATAATAAAAATGACCAAGTTCTAAATGATGTTGATTTTGCATCTTTTTATGGAATGATGCTCTAGGTACACACACACACCAACATACACACTAACACAAACAACATGCAGCTCTCCGGATTTTTCAACTTGGTGTACTTTATTCTATTGACATTTTCCACTCATACTGATTTTTTTTACCTACAGATATAGTCCAAGTTTAGACCAAGGAGATTACAGAGGGAAGACTGCTCTTCATCGTATTTGTGCCATCAAAGATCCTCGTTACTTTCAGAGGGTCATCAAGCATTACGGGACATTTCCCGACCATATTATGGAGCAGGAAACTGATGATGGAGTCACTCCCGTCATAGCGGCGTGTCAGAGTGGAAATTCACAGCAGCTCAAGGAACTCATTGATCAAGGGGTAACATTGTTTATCTATGTAATTCATAATTTGGACTCTTCTTGCTAACCCTAGGGTAACCCTTTTTTTTCATTGAAACCAGTGGGTGTACATGCATGTAAACCAAGGAGTATATAAGACTATGGTTTTCTTTATTAAGAAATCTGGTTCTTCTTATAAATCAAGGGATAAGGTTAGTTACTGCAGGTCTAAAGTACCGAACAAAGAGTAAGTAAATAAATTTAACCAAATGAACCAATAGGGTAGCTCATAAATGTCAGATGTACATAATTTTTTGAAAGAATAGTTATAATCATACTAGTAGTCACATTTCCATTAATCAAAAGATAGTGATTTAACTAGAGAGAATGTAAGTACTCTAATCATAGAATGTGATCTAAATGGCATCATGGATGTGCCCGGTACATTTCTTGATTCAATTGCTGAAATGGAAAATGAGAATAAGTGATCCTTCTTTTCTTCTTAGTTAACAATCATAATTTCAACATAATTTTACAGGCCTCAATAGTTACCAAAGATGACAATGGTAGGACTGCCCTCCATTACTGTGCAGACAATCTGGAGACACAATGTGCTGAAATGTTACTGGCCAAGGATGCTAGTTTATTAGAGGTCAAGGACAGCCAAGGGTTCACCCCTCTTCATATGTCAGTTATCAGCGGGAATGCCCCCTTACTCAAACTTCTACTCAAGAAAGGTGCAGATATCAGGAGTCTGGATAATGAATTGCATACCCCAACACACTGGGCAACAGGTAGGAGCTAGGTCTCTCCATTGTTAAAATGTCTGGTTTATTGTTGATGTTATTAAAATTGTTGTTTTTATCCATTTTCAAGGCTATTTGGACTAACATAACCTCTATTTCTTGAATCTTAATTGCTGTTTAGTGTGACATTAAGTGTGACATACCAATTATAATCTCTTCCATCCCTATAACCATCCCTATAACCACCCAGTAACCAAACATAGATCATTTATCCAGTCATATTTCACACCTGGGTAAATATCTGAAGATTTTAGATGGTAATATGAAGGTCTTAGTTTCAGTTCAGTTTTGTTGAAAATAGAACATGATGGGGTTAGAGAAATATTGAGTGAAGGGTTAATGGAAGTTATTCAAGGCAGTGTGTATCTTTTCTGTGCTTTCGTCTGCACTTTTGACCAACTCTGAGCGGAGAAGATTAGTTTGAAAAACAATTTTTATTTCTTGTCAACATTATTATTGAAAGAAGATGTAAAATGCATGCATGGATATAAATGCAACTCAGATTAATCACAACTTGCAACTAAAATCAACTAAAAATAAATGAGGCGGTGAGTCAGCTGGGCATTGCAGGCATCCAATCCCATTTGAACTGTACTTGGAAACATTTTTGACATAAAAAAACCCCTTTTCTACTTTTTTGCACATGATTCATGATACACATCTTTTTTAGATACTTGCAGGTAATATTTGAATCTACTATGTAAATGGTAATGATTATAAGACAGCAATAGCACAAGTCAGGGGATACATCATAAAGAAGCTTTCTTTTTCTGTGATTAAATGAGTTAAGGTCTTTAAACACAAGATAAAATAAATCCTATAGATACTAGAATTTATGACAAGATTAAAATGGAAGTATTGAATACTGTTCCAGATAATTACAGTACTTTAATTTTTTTTTTAAAAAGTCAAGCAAAAATTTGAATGGCATTACAATAGGTAGACTTAAAACTTTTAAAACAAAATACTTCTGTGGATTAAAAACAGAAGATGTAAATTTTATTGTTCAAGGGTTGATAAGATATTTATTTTGTATTTTATTTACTTTATACAAAGGATACATCTTGGACCTATTATTATGACACCTTGATTCAAAAATTTAAAACATTTTAGAACTTGGGTGCAGCGTTCACTACATACATCTACCTGACACTACAATCTTGAATGATAAGCTAGCCTAGCAGCTACATAGGGATAACAAGCATTAATTTATACAGTGTGTTCAGTAGACATAGATCATTGTAGCATAGCAGCCAGGCTAGCTGTTATGATCTTAAACTCAGCCCTGGTGTATGGGAGTACATGTATATCTATCATATACAAAATGATCTTTATTATTGAAAGAACAATGAAATTCTGTCCATATTATGAACAATAAAAACCTCTATATTTGATTACAATGTAGATTCAATTAAATAATTTTAATGATATAGCACACATATTGCATTTCAGAATTCCTTTCTTATGTGTTTCCAATGCTAGGATGTATGTTTATCTTAAATATAAAGGCAGGTTTTCTAAGGTTTAGTCCATTTACATGCAGTGTTGAGTGTAGATCTACTTTAAACAGTTGATATACATGCATGCTCTTTAATAAAAGCACCTTAATTTTCCCAGCCAGACACTATATAGATGATGATGATGGTAAGAAGACAGCCTTGTAGTAGATCAGCATACTATATTACTCCAGGACATTAGAGTATATTAAACTTTTAATGTAGCAAGCTTTGATTAATTCTATTCCTTTTAATGGGTTTTGAGCACCAACACCATACTGAATTAAGCTCAAAGCTTAAAAGAGGCTGATATCAAGAATTATATAGCAGAAAATAAGTACCACAGGATAAATTGAGATAATACAATATGTATTGGATTTCTTTTTTTCTTATATCTTTGTAATATATAACACAATTTGAATGACACAAGCTATAGAAATAGTCTTAAACACAGACTTTTTTTTGTCAAAATTTTCTCAATTGCTAGTTGATAGGCATTTTTTATTTCATATCGGAGTTGCCATCATTAAATATTGCACTTTTTGGAAAGATTTCATTTCTGCCTTTCTTGAACCAGTAATAACCACCTTTCAGTATTTAGTTAAGCTTTATAGTTCTAATTTGGCTGGTTTTGAAACCATCATCTTTATCAATAAATCCAAAATAATCCAAGAGCTGTACAAGAGGGGAGGTGAAAAAAAATGAATTGGAGGTAGTGGGAGAAGGGGGGTTTGAGCATTGAAGAGGGAGGAAAAGAGGGAAGGATAACTTTAAGGAGGTAGAAAAAAAAGAAGGAAGGAGAATAGGGAGAATTTGGGGAGGTAGGAGAGAGATGGGGGTGAGGGGGGATAAAAAGAGACAACCTGTCCACCTCCAGAGAATTAGCAAATGCTGTGGTATTTTCTATGAATAAAAAGTCTAAATGGTTCATATAAGGACTTTTTAAAAAGTTATTCTTGAGCTGTAATGTCTTTTGGAGTATCATGGAATGAATCATCAAAATTTTACACATATATATTACATCTACTTATGTATTCAGACTGAAAACAATTTCTTGTGGAATTTGACTTATTACAGATTCAAGATGAAAAGAAAACTTTACAACACTTTATAGATATGTTTAATAATTTATTGTAGTACATCTATAAAGGGTTAATAGCAAGTCATTACAAATGGCTGTCTTTTTTTTTTATTACATTGTAATGTACCACTTGAAGTGTTACAGAACCACCTTGCCCACAGGGGTCATGATTTGAACAAACTTGAATCTACACTACCTGAGGATGTTTCCATATAAATATGACTAATCATAGCCTTCCTATTGTTGAGAAGAAGATTTTTAAAGATTTTTCCTTTTTATACACATGTAAATCTTTGATTGCCCATAATGGCCACACCCTACCCATGGGGGCATGATTTGAACAAATTTGAATTTACACTATGTCAGAAAGCTTTCACTTAAGTTTCATCTTTTCTGGACCAGTGGTTCTTGAGAAGAAGATTTTTAAATGATCCCACCCAATTTTTACTTTTTCTTTATTATCTTCCCTTGGAAGAGGATGTGGTCCTTCATTTGAACAAACTTGAATCCCCTTTACCCAAGGATACTCTTTGCCAAGTTTGGTTGAAATTGGCCCAGTGATTCTGCAGAAGATGAAATTGCAAAAAGTTGACAACAATGACAGACAACAGACAAATTTGAATCAGAAAAGCTCACTTGAGCCTTCAGCTCAGGTGAGCCAAAACAAATGTGGAACCAACAAATGTAATAACTTGATATATCATGAAATATTGTGATATCAGGATACATTGTGATACTTTTCCCTAAAGATACACAGCACTATTATCAATAGATTAATTAATTACCATTTGTTACAGCTATCATTACATTATATTTCTGAATGTATACAACTTAAATTTAAAGACAGAGGTTTGACCTTTATAGAAAACTCTATGGCACACAGTTGTTTATACCTTTTGTTCTATAGTAAAGAGTGTTGATTACAATTACAACATAAATCCCAAGAGTTTGAGAGTAAGACCAACAATTAACCCTTATATATCTGTTTGTTTTTGTGTTTATACAAGATTATAAAATGATTGACCAACTGTTTAATCCAAAACAGATTATAGACATACAGACCAGCTTATTAATAGACCAGTGGTAGATTAAAATATTAAGATTAAGCACATTTATGCTTTATTATTTGTACATGTATATGATTACACAATCACTATATAGATTTGAATAAGTTCAAATGGTCAAAGGCCCTTTGATAGTTCTTTCAATTAGCTGTTTTCATATACGTAATTACTGATTCCTATTGATAAACACCGAAAAAATTACTACTTTGAATTATCTAATACCTTTTTGGGGAAAAGGCATTTCTTATTAACTGTGTCCATTACAATTGAATTTTGTGTAATAATGGACTGATTATGTTCACAGGAACTTAATGTGGACAGGAGCATGCCTAAATGTAACCACATCCCACCCCCTCACCCCCTTTTTTTTCAATTATTTTTTTAATTTTTAATCTCTAACCACTTCATTTGTGTGTCTCTGTTAAAGAATCACATAAAGATTATGACCCAGATGCAAATTCTTATATTTTTTTTTACCCCTCTCTTTATAGGGGTAACAATTACGGATTATTAGAATTTTCGCCTGAGTTGTAAACTTGTGATTCTTTAAAAAAAAGAGTAGATGAAGTGGTTGGATATCTAAAATATAAAAAGATATTTTGAAAAAATTAAAAATCACTTAAGAGGAGGGGATGGGGGGTGGGGGCATGGTAGAGGAACTTTCCTGTCCACAAGTACAATGTATCTGTGATTATATGTTTTAGAAATGATTCTCTTTCCTTCTTTTATATGAAAATATAACCTCAAATACTAACAATTAAAATAGGATTTTGCTTTTAAAGATAATTAGTGTAGCCTTATTTTATATGATGACAATTTCTCCTCTCTCAATCTTTATGCATAAGGTCATCTACTTGTAGATTTTCTGAAAGATTTAATCAAAATATAATTAATTTACACAGCTCATTTCTCATTTTATTTACATATAAAGGTTCATGTGAGTACCAATGCAGTATAGTTATAGTTTGTGTGTACAATATTTATGTTTTCTATAGTTTTTGTATTTATTGATTTATTTTGCTATTTTTAATTAATTTTGAATTTCAAGAGTTTATATTTTGCACACTTGATTTTAAATATATGTATAATTTCACAATATTTACCCTGACTACGTGAATTTATAGAAGATACCATAGTAGCTTGTCATTTAAAGTATTGAATTTTTATTTATTTATTTTTTTTAAATTTGTTAATTATGTATATATTAATTTATTTGTTTGCTTCATAAGCATTTTTTGTCATTTGTTACTGTAACAATTATTTATTTTTTGAAAATATATGCAGTTTCTTAGTTTGCAAAAGAAGTGATTTTCTAATGTTAGTCAAGAAATGTAGCAAGTTAATTATTAATCTATTGCAGTAATAGAATTTAAACATTTTCCTTATTTTTTAATGTAGCTGTTGAAAAAAAAGTACCCTCAGTATAAATACACCTTTTGTTTAAGTTTCATGATCAGAACTATAAAATTAGGTAGGTTATCAGAACATCTACACCCCTGAATTCTCAACTTTCTAGACTGTTATTATTGTTATTCCTAACTGAATTCTGAGTTTTGGCTATCTTTATTTTCATATTCTTATAGCATAAATTGGCAGATGTTTCATCATTAAGATAATATCATACATGTATGTACTTGTATTCTGTGTGACCCAGTTTATTGGATATGAATTTCCATTTTTTTATTCAGTCACATAAATGTTTACCATGCACTGTACATTTTCTTTTTTTTTAAAATCATATTTCTTAATTATCAATTTAAATCCTAGCTTTCTTTGCATTTAATTAAATCTCTATTTATTTAAGAACATTTGTTATTTCAAGTCAATTATTATTCAAGGACATATATTTGCAAAGAGAGTGGAAATGTTTATTCATGAAACCATCAGACTTTGTGCTTTGTGAATATTAACAAGTGACCTTGACCTTTCAGTTTGTGGTCACCTTGAGATCCTTGATATTCTGGTTGACAATGGAGCTGAGCTCTCATCAGCAGACAGTCACAATGCCTACCCCATACACTACGCTGCTCAGATGAACGGAAAAGATGGCAACCATGCAGACTCCAAGGTTGGGGAGAAGGTTCTCAAGAAGTTACTTGACAGCGGGGTTCCTCATGATGTCACAGATAAAGATGGTCGACAACCACTATTATGGGCTGCAAGTGCAGGTACTGTAATTAAAAAAAATCCTTATAGAAGTTGAGAACTAAAGTATTATATTTTTAGAGAATGTCAGTTTCATTGACATGCAATTATTAAAATCAATAGTTTAACCCCACTTTTGATATTCTTCCATACTTTGACAAAATATCACTTTTTATTCAATAAATATATAAATCACAGTATTTCACTGTTGAAATTATGTATATCTATGACCCAACCAAGATTGACATAACAGTGTGTCTATCATTGATATGCAAATCAGAATAATACAAAAAGTAATTTTAAAAGGATACCCCAGTAGAGATTGTGTCCATATTGATTTTCCTGCTGGGTGATATTTGCACAGTTTTGAAATATTATGTCACCTGAAAATAATGCTTGAAATGACTGGAAACATGCACAATATATAGTCATCATTCATTAAAAAATAACCATTTATTTTAACGGTGTAAATGAACATCAAGATTTATTGGATATGAAAAAGGCCTTTTCATACTTGATAAATATCGGAAAACATTTCTCTGATGATGATGTTTAAATTCGATCTTGTTAATTTTTTTAGGAAACACTGAATCCATCAAATTATTAGTCAAAGCTGGTGCTGATGTCAATGCTATTGATAAAGACGGACTGTCAGGTACTATCACTTTAAAAGTTTTGTTTACAGCCATAAAATGATATACTTAAACAAAAATCTTTAGAACCAAATGCCCTCTGCAATATGATTCAAATTTTTAAGAGTATAAGAAAGAGTTATCTATCTTTTTCCAGCATTACACTGCGGTGCTTCAAGGGGTCACTCACACTGTATAGAGGAACTTAAGAAACTTGGAGCTGATGTAAACCTCGCAGACAAAAACAACTGTACACCACTATTTTATGCTGTCACCCTCGGTAACAAAGAGTGCACCAAGGCCTTACTAAAACATGGTGCTGACCCCAATCACAAAGATGTCCGAGGGAGAACGTAAGAAATATTTAAATATTTTCTGATAAGAAATGTACATGTTTCAAATAATGTGCAGAGAAGACAACTTATGAAATGGGGCTTATATCATACAGTGCTTGCCATCCCAGCTAGTTTATAAAAATATACATATCAATTATATAGCTCTAGCATTTTAAGGAAAAAGTGACATCTTATGTGGGGAACAAAATTTTGATGAGCCAAAAAAGGAGAATTCTCCAAACTCCATATCTTATTTCAAAAGGGGGAAGGGGGAGGGTCCATTTATGTTGGAGGGATTTTTTTTATTTAACTGTATAAAAAGTGAAGGGGGAGGGGGCAACCAGGCTCTCAGTGAACATTTTCAAACTAAATTAATACTGGCAGTAAACAATTTTGTTCAGAAAAAGTGATTCTCCCCCAAATTCTATTGCCTGAATATTACGTTCACATGTCCCATTAATGTAGGAAGGATTTGTTTAAGACTATACTTTATCAAAAAGTGGAAGGGAGGGGGCAATTCTCAATGAACATTTTCAAACAAAATTAGTAGTTAAAATTGACATTTAGAGAAAAAGGGGGCAACCCCCCTTGCAATAAAATGCATATGTTGCCCTCAAACCTAAATGAACCTTGCATCAAGGGAATTTTTTGTAAAGGTCACATTTAACATGTGGTTGCTTTATACATGTTCATCATCTCCTCAGTTTCTTTGAAATATAGATTGAAAGAAATGTCTACTTAATGTAGATTGAAAGAAATGTCTACTTAATGTAGATTGAAAGAAATGTCTACTTAATATAGATTGAAAGAAATGTCAACTTAATGTAGATTGAAAGAAATGTCTACTTAATGTAGATTGAAAGAAATGTCTACTTATTGTAGACTTTTCCTAGATGCAACATCTTGACTTAGTTAAAGCTTGAGGTTCAAGCTTGGACAAGGCTGATAAAGACAACTATTTTTTTTTTTGGGGGGGGGGGGGGGTCATGCCATTTGATTTTTAATTTCAATCAATAGTGTTTCATCTATGACTAAAAATAGAACTTCTACACCAGAAATCATTACATGTATAATATGCAGTCTCTTAAAAAATGAGATTTAGATTCCAAAGGAAGCAATCTGCCCAACAGATCAAAAATTTCTCTGTCTCTTTATTATCCCAGGTTATCCCAGGTCATTAGTAAACTGGAATTTCAGCAATTATATACATAAAATGCCGAAATTATTTTCCATACTACTAATTATTCATCTACTTAGAAGATTTTAACCTCAATTTTTAATGAATTTTAGGCCTAGTCATTGTGCCTCAGTGAAGGGATGTGTCGAGACACTAAAAATTTTAGACAAGAGTAAGGCAGACCTCTGGGGTAGCAGCAGCAGGGGAGACTACCCTGTCCATGAGGCAGCCCAGGGAGGCCACTGCGGTAAGATCAAAATAAAAACAATCATTTTGGCTGACATTTTCTCAATGTTCATCAAAGCATTAATAAAAAGCTACATAGTCTAATGGACATAATGCATACATTATCAAAGAGATAAGTTAGAAGGCATTGAAAAATGATAATACATAATTTGATTAATGGCATATATTATTAATATTTGATATCGTGTACATTTGATAAACCATTTAAGAGATATGATAAAATTTATCCAAATTTGCTAGAATAATTAGAATTTTTAAATGTGTTGTTATATTTATGATAAGCAAAACCCAAACCATTTTATTTATCACATTATAAACTGCCTGTTTTTCTCTCAGATGTTGTGAAGTACCTGCTTAAGTGGAAGAATACACCTGATGCTGTGAACATTCCTAACAATGCAGGTCGGACCTGCCTCCACATTGCTGCTATAGTCAATAACCTCCCTCTCTGTAAACTTCTACTGGACAATGGGGCAGAGAAAAACTCCCTCATGATGCACAAGGTATGTTTATTTGTTTTTACTTCCACTCCTGTAAGAAATAATCATAAAATATCTGAAGACAATATCACAAAATAAGTCTAAGATTTATAAATGAAATTGTTCCTGTATTAAATTTCAAGATATTTCTTAATAAAAAAAAAATTATGATGTATAGCAGTCTATCATTAAGAATGAGTTATATTTGTGAATTTTTTTTTTTTTTTTTTTTTTTTTTTTTTTTTTGGCAAAGCTTTATTTTCATGAATAAATACAGAGCTAACATGAACGCTAATGTAAAAAACAATAACTTTTTTGCATTTGATCGTTAATTTGATTAAAACTTACTGATTTTTGCTACCTGAATTTTTTTTTCAAAAATAAAGTTGTCATAAAAGTACTCATCAAAATCGGAAAATAAAATCAATGAAATATGTCATATTGAAATGCACAAAAACCCCTTGTTAAAATTAACATGCATCGACAGCAATCCACCTTGAATTTTGTATTGGAAACAAGCATTACAAAGCAAAAGTTTTCCTCCTACAATTTTAAAGAACCTTTGAACAAATTGTGTTTGAATACATGTATGTAAATATCGATATGTAAAACATGAAAAACTGACAAATATAAGCAACATTTTTTTCCTTTAAAATTTTGCTGTAAAGCAAAACAGAGAAAGATGTAATGCTTTTGAGAAAAAAAATTAAAATTTATGTCTGGTTCTTAGAATAAGAAGGATGCTGCCAAGGTAATTGACAAATTTAAAAAAAAAAAGAAAAAAATAACTTCACATTTTCTAAAAAAATTTACAGGTTTGATGTTTAACACATAACTTGACAGTTTGGAAATAAACTTTTAACTAACACAGAAGTAGGGAGGTTTTTCTGTTCAAATACCATGATATGATATTGCAGTAATTGTATTGTGTGTGGATTGTAAAAGCTCTTTAAAACTTAGTGCAAATTATACGACAGTTTGGTTACACAAACCAAGATCTCTATTTACCGACAGGAATCAACAATCTAGATCTTTTCTAAAGAAAAAGCAAGATCTATTTGCTCAAGATAATCTACTCATTAAATCTGTCAAAACCAAGTGTATATTGGAAGTTTAATGTATTGTGATCTGAAATACGGTTATTAAGAACATACCTATTTCAAGCTTTATGAAACTAGATATTTTAATATATACTGGATGAAGGATACACTGGTATTGCTTTAACGGGGTACAAGGTAAAATAATATTACATAATTTTATTGTGTTTGAATGGAGAAATAACAAACTTAATATGTGATTTTGGTATGTTTAGATAACTTATTTATTTCTGTCAAATCTGTGTTTTACTGAGTAATCATCTTAGGTGAACTCAGAGTAACTATTTAACAAACAAAATTAAAGAATGTGAATTGTGAAAGTCTTCTAATTTAAGTTTGTTTTTTTTTTTACATCACATATTCACATTTCTCTCAGATATGATATCACGATTGTCAGTTTTAACACTTAATTCACACAAAGCACAGATAATTGCAAGGACAATCACGTAAGTGTTGATAGTGAGAGTCTCTCGAAAGGAAATAAAAACAGAGGTATTAAACATTGGAAACCATATTTTGCAGAAATGCCCATCAAAGCAATTTTAGAATACCGAAAGAAAACATTATAAAAAAAAATAGTCTGGGCCGTGAAGGATCGATACTGCGCTTTTGTGCATTTAAAGTTTTAGAACAAGTCATTGGTAGTGTGTCAAAATTATCTGATAACCTTTGGAGAGGTAAAGATCAGTAAATATCTTAATAACACAGTTGTACGTAGTTACAAAGATCCCCAACAGAAACAAAACAGCGCGAGGGAGATTGACAACAAATGATCTTGTCTATTATTGTCTCGAGGGTTTAGTCTAGAATTTAATCAAACAATAAACCCGTAAAGGTGGAATGCATCAAAGAGCAGATGCTTTTTAAGTCTGGATTATTGCTCAGGCAGTGATCTTTAACATTGTAATCGGTTTAATTTTACTCCATTATGCCCTTACGGTCGTCTGCCTGTTTTGTGAAATGACATCTAGTTGTAAAACTTGAGACCAGGTTTTTACTTGTATTATTTAGTGAGTGTCGAATAGATTTACAACTACTGTAGTTATAAGTCTCTCAGTCTGTAAAAGTTTTTTTGATCATTTTAAAGAAAAAAATCTTATAATTAGTTCCTGTATTTGAAGTATAGTTTGGCATATTGTTTTTATTTCAATAATGAAGTTTTTATTTTCCAGGACAAATCCTATACTCCATATGATGCTGCAATTTTGAAAGGGAATTCTGAAACTGCAGAATATATCAAAGCAAAAGGAGGCAAGACTGGAGGTGATATTGACAATATTCTGAACAAAAAGGACAAGAGGGACTCGAAATCTGCAAAATCGAGAAAAAGTAATTTGGAAAGTCATAAAGAAGAGGAAGAAGGTGCAGAGCAGGATAAGAAATCAGAAAAACAGGAAGAGGGCGAGAATTCTGAGAAAAAGGAAGAAAAACCAAAATCAAAGAAAGAACTAGAAAAGGAAAAGAGAGAGGCAGAGAAGGCCAAAAAGGAAGAGGAGAAGAAAAAGAAAGAAGAGGAACTAAAAGCCAAAAAGGAGGAGGAGAAAAAGAAAAAAGAAGAGGAGAAAAAAGAAAAAGAGGAGGAAAAGAAAAAGAAAGAAGAAGAGAAAAAACAGAAGGAAGAGGCCAAGAAAAAAGAGCAAGCAAACAAAGACTCTAAAGAGGAGAAGTCTGATAAAAAGGAAGAAGTTGTTGCTGCTGCAATTGTAGCTGCTGTAGCTGCTGACGAGAAAGAGAACAAAAAAGACGAGGACAAGAAAGGGAAAAAGGAGAGTAAAGAAGGAAAAGATAAAGTAGAAGAAAAGGATAGCAAAGAAAAGGATAGCAAGGAAAAAGATAGTAAATTAAAAGGAAAAGATAGCAAAGTAGAAGAAAAAGACAGCAAAGAAAAAGACAGCACAGAAAAAGAAAAGGCTACCAAAGAAGAAAAAGATAGTAAACAAGAAGGAAAAGATAGTCATAAAGAAGAAAAGGGGAAAGAACAAAATTCAAATAAAAAAGAGAAAGAAGATCAGTTAGAAAGTGATGAGGAAGTTGTTGTAGTGAAGGGCAAGAAAGTTGTTAAAAAGAAGAAGGGCTTTGAGAAAGACAAGGAAGCTGAGAAAGCAAGAAAAGAAGCAGAGGAAGCCAAAAAGGATGCTGTGAAAGCTCACCAGGAAGCAGAATTAGCTAAAGCTGCAGCAGAAAAGGCTAAACAGGAAAAACAAAAACAAGATCAACAAAAGAAAAAATCAGCAAAGCAGAAGAAAGACAGTAAAGAAGAAAGTGCTAAGGGAAAGGGTAAAGAAAAAACCAAAAAAGACGAAAAGGCAGTGGTAGCTGGTGCCATACTTGCTAAGAACAAGAAAGTCAAAGGTCCAGGCACAATTCAGGAAGAGGACGAGGAAGAAGAAGAAGACGAAACAACAAAAGAAAGTGGAATTGAGGCAGAGAAAGCTAGACAAGAGGCTGAAAAGTCACAAAAAGAAGCAGAAAAATTAAGAGAGGAAGCAGAGGAAGCAAACAAAGAGACAGAAAAATTAAAGCAAGCTGCTGTAGCTGCTAAAGCAGCCGAGGAAGTGAAAGACTCAAATAAAAAAGAGAAAGAAAAGTCACAAAAGGGGCAGAAGGACAAGGAAGATCAAACGGGTAAAAAAGGAGAAAAAACCAAGGAAGACAACCAGAAAGAATCACCAAGTAAAGAAAAGGATAAAAAGAATACAAGTGAAAAAGAAGAAAAACCTAAAGACAAGAAAAGTGCACCATCTACTCCAAAGACTCCAAAGAAAGATTCAGAGAAAGCTTTAACAAAAGAACAAGACCAAAAGGAAAAGAGTACTCCTTCAACTCCCAAATCAGACAAAAAGGAGACAAAGGAATCAGACAACACTGACAAAGAAAAGGAAGAGGAAAGTAAAGAAGAAACTCGAGAAGAAAAAGATTCACCTTCTACACCAAAAGAGAAAACAGAAACTCCAAAAACTCCCAAGAAATCAAAGGATAGAATTAAAGAGGAAGAACAACCAAAAGTTTTAGTACCTCCAAAGACTCCTAAGAAGGACAACAAAAAGTCAGATACTGCAAAAGATAAAGGAAAAGATCCAAAAGGTTTAGAAAAGGAAAAATCAACTGTTAGCAAAGGTGATAAGAATAAAAAATCCACTGAGAAAATAAAGAAGGAGAAAGAGAAGAAATCAACTGAGCTGAAGGAAGAGGAAGGGCAACAGAAGGCAACAGAAAAACTCCCAAGTGATAAAGAAACTGAGGAGGAAAAGCAGGAAGGTAAACAAAGCACAACTGAAAGGCCAGGGAGTGATAAAAAGGTCAAAGAAACAACTGAAGAACTTGAAGGTGATAAGCAGCTCAAAGAGGAGGAAAAGGAAAGTAGAGTACAGACACAAGATAAACCTGAGAGTGATAATCAGGCCAAAGAAGGAGAGCAGGATAGTAATAAAAAGACGAGAGAAGAAACAGAAGAAACAAATATTCTGTTGGTAGGAAAACAGGAAAGTAATCAGAAGAAGACAGAAATCCTTGGAGGTGATAAACAGGTTAAAGAAGAGAAACAGGAAAAGAAAGGATCTCAAGGAAAGAAAGGATTACAGAAGGAAAAATCAACTGTAAGTAAGAGTGATAAGTCAAAGAAGTCTACCAATAAATCTAAACTTGAAAAGGAGAAGGCATCTACTAGTATACAGGACGGTGAAAAGGAACGTAACAAGCAAAAGAATAGTGTTGACAAGCCTAAGGAGGAGACTGAAGAAGATACACTTGATGCTGTTGACGTTGAGAATGAACGAGTAGACAGTGGTGTTCTGTCACCTGGATCGGTAGCTGAAGAAGTGGATTTAGATAATCATCTTCTAGGAGCTAAAGAAAAATCAACTGTTAGTGGAATAGTAAAGGAGAAGGATAATAAGAAATCGAAAAAATCTGGACCTGCTACAACAAGTACTCCCAAAGTAAAAAAGAGACCAAACGAAGATAATAAAGAAAATAAAATTCCCTCTAGAGATAGTGGACGTCCAAATACCCGCGAAAAAAACGAGTTCCAGGAAATTGAACTTCAACCGAGTAGGGATTCTGGACATCAGTCCCAATCAGAGGAACAAAATTCGCAGACAGAAGAACACCAATCACAGACAAAACGTAATTTGGTGATAAGTCCTTCTGTTTCGCCAGTTGATTATCAAGAACATTCACCATATCAGAAGGACACCTTCATTCAAACTCCAAAGTCAAGATCTACCCAGAAAGACAAACAAGACGACGAAGACGAATTTGAATTTCCCGAAAACTCACACGAAAGCCAGGAAGAAGCTTTAAGATTGGCAGAAAGTCGCAAGCAATCTAGAGAAGGAACTCTTCCAGAGACTTCGCGGTATCAGGAATCTCCAGAGAGGCAGTCAAGAAGCAGACGGAAGGCTTCGAAAATTCCGGACAGTGGAGTTATTCAACCAGGATTAAAAAGCCGTGATAATTCTCGTTCTAAAACACCTGTGTTGACTAACGGTCATTCTCAACAAAACGATGAATATGTAGAATCTTCAGAGGAGGATGACGATGATGTGTTAACTGACATTAATTTTCAAAATCGACTCAAAAGGATAGAAAGAGCACAACTTGCAAATAACAGAAGAAAAGAACAATATCTTCTACAGCAATTAAAAAGGACACAGAAAGTGAATTACAAACTTGGACCGGTTAAACCAAAAACAAAGTCTAATTTGACTCTAGCAGACATGGAACGTATGGACACGTCAGGACGCAGAAAAAATGTGCCAAGACGAGTGGCTTCCATTCAAGAAAGTGTGCGCAGGTATCAGGACCAGAGACGTTTTGTTCGCCAAATGCATCAGCTGAAACGCGCTCAGATATATACAGGACCTATGCATGACATCGTGTTATTCAGCAAAATGATGGATGTATATAAACACAGCACCCCAGGAGGTAGTGAGAACGACTTGGAAATGAGTGTGATGGATAACTGGGACAGTTACCTGAGAGGTGAGGTTAAGCTCTTTCTGCAAGTAATGCAACATATGTTAATCATTTCACTATTCATGTCAGGATATAGAAATGTATGCCTAATTCTTATCATCAAATATATTTTTATTTTACAGTCTAGACATCTTTGCTTAATTTTTAACAAAATTATTTCATTTAATATTAAATTCATTGTGAACTTTTATACGGTAGATTCAGACTTAAACTCAACTGACCCAGGTAACATTGGTTTTCTGCACTGCATACTAACACGTTATTTTCTGGTATCATTGCAAAAGTATTTGAAACTCTTTTAAACCACATAGTTTGTTACAGTTTAATTTCACACTCAGATCGACGGTCATACAAGATCCTAACAGTTATATCGAATTTTCCAACAAAGAATTCTGTTTTACCCACCCTTTTGGTAACAACTATTTTCCTCTCTAATGCCAGAATCAGTTGAAATGTTGTTTAATATTGCTTTATCACTACTCAAGATCTGATTTTTTTCAAATGATTCAACTTGTTTTAGTATTTAAAATGTGATTTTTGAAAACAGAAGCTGACAGAATATTGTGCAGGCTAAGAGTTTTTTAAAGATAGTACAGTGATTTTCATTGTTACATTTGATCCCTTTCAGACCAGCTGAGGTTTGTTTCACATTACTATGATGAGGACCCAGCTGTGAGAGTAAGTTGAAAAAAATATGCTCATTAGTGAGGTCATGTAATTCTTTGAATGAGCACTGTAAAATCGCTAATTTTGGTGGGAATTTAATTTTTGTTGCTTTCGTGTTATGAGGAGACCCATGAATTTATGTACTCCATGAAATATATAACAATTTAACACTTCTTATACCATGAAGTCAGTTCCTCATGGAGAGATAGTTTTCCTTCAAATCATAAAAATTTGACGCCACGAAAATAAGTGACTTTAGAGTATGATAATATTATTACTGTAATCCTAAACATGTATCCAAACAATATAATCTTCCTGCTTGTGATTTTCCGTGTAATATTATACATGTACAATTTGATATATATGTGATTTGTTTGTTATTTTGTATTCTAAATTATCTGATGACTGATTTGAAATACCGATATTTGTTGAAAACAGTAAATAAAAGTGGTAAACACTTTCGAAACTTTAAAGCACCTAAAGACATCAAAGTGGACAAGGGATTGTCTTTTTCTGTGGTAATATGACAAACGTACACGTATCACATAATCTGTGGTAATATGATAAACGTATTACAGGAGCAGACAAATAGGGTAAGGCGAGAGACAACAGAAACAAGGCGAGGAGTGGAGAGTCGATCGGAATACCTCGCACAGAGTGTGAAACGCAGAGAGGTGGGTAAATTGATGTTACTAGTATTTGGACCATTTTTCGGCAAAGAATAACAAGAATTGTATTTAGAGCATTTTCTGTTACTTGAATCAGGAGCACGAAAACAAAGAAAAGCAGGACTTAGACGGCAGAATATCTAATATCACTAAGAGGACAGAAGACCTCTTTGATAATGTGAAAGAACAAGCGGATCAAACACTGAAAGAAGCCAAGGAGACAAACTCTGGCTTAGACAAGTATTACCGGAAGGAGAGGTCGGATCTCCTCCACCACTCAAGGCCCCACAGCTTCAGAAGGCTGAAGGACGAAGAAGAGTGAGTATCACATAGTCATTTTCCTTAACATGTGTATTATAAAGATACTAGATTTGGTGTTAGAGATTTCTCAAGACTCTAATGTAGAAAATGACATCTTCTTAAAATGTATCAAAAAAGAGCAGTTGATGTTATTTTGGATGTTTAATAATTCAAATTACATCGTTTAGAATGGAAGAACGACATCGATTGTTCGAGGAACGGGAGAAGGCGCGAAAAGACAAGCACACAGAGTGGCACAGGAAGAAGGAAGATGAGTTGCGTAAACGTCTTATGAAAGTGTATGGAAATGGATCAGAAAATGGCTACAGTGAGTATTTCTGTACAGTCTTTGCGTCTCCTTTTATTGAATATTTATATCTATGTTGTTGAATTTTGTCATGACTTACCTGGAAAATCTGCATGGTATCACTACGGAAATTATTTTCTGTATTGATTTTCCTCTTTTTATTATTTATCTTAAATGTCTGCTTTGATAAATATATATGTAATTTAGGCTCAGTAGCAAATAGCTCATTCAGTAAGTATCATCTGTTTGGGAAAAAAGTGATATTTATGCGTTACAATTTGCTTACACGGATTTTTCTATCATGCTGTTCTTCTTTTTATTTTTGTAAGGTGGCAGTCACTTGCACTGTGTGTTTAATTGTTTCAAAAGAATGAGATACCCATTCACTTTGCATATACATGACTGTACTGAAAAAAAAATTCCACAAACATTTGTAACAGTGGAAAGTATATAATTACGTACATGCAGATGAATGGAAATTAATTTCTTACGCACAATTTGACTGATTTCACTTGACCTTAGGTAAATCACGAAATCTTGGTCCAATGAAATCTTCGACACCTCGAGTCCATAGCCTGGGCAATTCTCCAGGCTCAAGGCCAAAGTCCAACACGCTTTCATCCATAAGCGGGTCCCGCGCTCAGTATAGCAATGCAACAGACCAAGAACTCAGTGTTCAGATGACAGAGTTTGGATTCAGACGGGTAAAAAAGGCGGACGATGGTGCTTTTGGTATGCATGATTTAGATTGCTTTATCTAATAGCATGAAACAACGCGTCCATCCGGCACAGTCATTCTGAGTAAAGCGTTAAGGGAAATTACTCCTACTAGTCAACAATCAGTAGACTCCTTGAGATTTTTTAAAATATTTTTTTAATCGATTATATGATTTTCATTGTGCTGGGATAGATTTGAAGCTCAGTACGAATTTAGAGTAGACTTAAATGACATGGCTTTATAGCTTAGAATAGATGGACTATAGACCAGGCATAGATATCATGAGTTAATTTTCCAAATCTGAAAACTGTGTGGATTTTGAATTTTTTCCTGTATTATTATTATTTTTTACTTTTTTCAACAAAGTCCCATGTAGTAGACATGGCTGTGAGTATTTTTATCTGAAAAAAAAACTTCATTTTCTTTGTTTTTCAATTAGACGTTTTATCATTATTTTAGACTTTATTTCAGCATAGAGCACTTGCATGAATCTTGCCACTCTGTATGCATTTAGCAATCACAGTTACAATTTTATTCACAGGCAAAGCTTCCAAAGATCCATCGCAGTGTAGTGTTAAATCCTTATTATTTCATAAATCTGGCTCGTTGTCAGGTATATAGTGAGATGTAAATGTAGCTAGAATTATTTTAACCAAATTAATCATTATATGTTCCAAAAAGTTTTCCAACAGTAGTGTCTGCTTTAGTTTGGAAAATGTCGAGCTTATTGTGTTTTGTCTGTTTTAGTTTTCTTAGTGGCGATATATATTCTCTTATATTATGAATATACTCAATTACTTAAAACTTTAGAAGAGGTGCTTAGTTCAAATAATTAGCGATACTTATATTTGGAAAGAGGAGGAAAGGATTACTCTGTAGGCAAAACTCACAACTCCAGCTTTTGAAAAAAAAAAGCATATTTATTCCTTGTTTATTTCCAACTGTCTTGTTTTAATCAAAAGACACGTTTTCATCTGGTAGATTCCTCAGTTTGAGCTCTTACTCATGGAAGAGGAAATTTGGTATTAAAATTTTGAAGGTACAATTTACCTCTATAGCATTAAAATGTAAACACTTCTGCATGAGCATAGATGATCACATACTACTCTGTATATTTTAGATTATTATCAAGGTGAGTTTGTTAGAGATGGTATGAAAGAAGCATGACAGTAACCAAAAAAAAAAAAAAAAAAAAAACAACAAACAAACAAAAACAAAACTCAGCTATGTATGACTAAGGGCTTAAGCATGGATATGACATCGCAGTTCTGTAATTAAAAAAAATGCAAAATATCAGATATAACGAAAAACATTAAAAGTTTTCCTTGTATAACAATATTGTTATTGCCATGGATATAGTTCTTTAATGCTTTTTTATTAATGTAATTTACCTGTTCTTGCTACTATGGACTGTTTCCGGTTTACCAAATATGTCGACTTAGTCAAAAATAAAAATAAAAGTATCGTATGTAATGTCATATGACTTTCATTTCTTTAACATTTATTAATTATTTTTTATTGCCTTGTTTCAGTCCTGGTTTTACAGGCTGTTTGGTGAGTTAAACTGTAGACAGTCCATATGCACCTGCTGATTACAAAAATAATGACGTCATTTCCTTTAGAGCATATGATGCTGATATATAATATTATTCCTGCATGTTTCATGAATACCAATAAATTCAAATGATAGTTTTTTTTAGATGCTTAATACCTAAATATACACGTATACAGTGTTTGAAGCGAATGTCTTTATAAGAGTATAGAAATGTATTAATTACTCTACTTTTTTAATGCATGATTAAAATATTATACAGCAAATTAAGAAAACCTAGAGTAGTTTTAACTGTAAAAATATTCTTTAACAACTAAATTTAAATTGCACTTTAAATATCCAGATCAATATCATAGATATGTGTTTTAATCTATGCAATTGTTTAATTGCTCATATGTTTTAATTGGTGTGGAAATAATTCAAGTACATGTACTAAGGAGTCTTTTTTTTTTTTTAATTTTAAAGATATTGTCGAACGACATATATGCAATTGCTTTATGTCTCTTTGTCTGTTTTCAGCCAATTGGACACCCAAGTTTGACGGTGATGTAAGACCACGAGCTGGTCTCGTTTTCGTAGAGCCAAAACTTTATAACGAGTTTTTGAAAGAAGAGGCTGAGCTACGTAATCAGACCGCCATGATGGCGAGAAGTCGCTCAACGAACATTAACACACTAGAAGATGACACGACAGTTTTAGAAACGGTGGAATCGTGACAAATAGGAAGCATTTATTTAATTAGTTAATAAATTTATTCATTTGCAGATGTGATTGTTCTTTTTCTCTAATACTCGAGTGCTGAGAATGGAGAGGTCGTTGTTAATATTTAACTTATCTACAGTGAAAATCAAAGCAGGCGGGACTGATGTATTTCACTTGGTTCATCATTATCGCATGGAGTTAAACAATAGAAATTAAACGCTTGTGTATAAACAGACTGTTCCGCGTATTTCTCAGAAACAAACAATATCACTGACGTGTTTGTAATTTTGCTATTGTAAAATTACGCCTTGAATGTTTCCAAGTTATGACGGGACAACTCTCACAAGTTAGCTGATAGTTTGGAAGATAAACTATGCATTTATTATCTTTACTCAATATTCACGAATGTTGAAACACTTGTTTCAAAATATATGCACAAGATATTCTGTAAATTAGAAAACTGTTTTGTATGTTTATTTAAGGGAAAAAAGGTAAATAACTCAGAATATGCATGCATTTTTCAACTATTTTGTCTTGCAACCTGTGTGTTAGCTGTTTGTTCTACAAATGTTCATGTTTTATCATGTCATAACATTGTGTGTTTTCAATTTGGAGTGTACGACACCCTTGAATTTCGTCGTCTTCTCAAATGTGTCAACTTTCTATAAATGTGTTGGAGCAGGTATAATTCTTTTAAACATGAATTTTTTAGTGGTACACAATAGCTAAATCTGTGATAAACAATTGAAAATACGTCCAGAATGTTTTATTGAATTGATTTTGAGCATGTTCCTTTATGATTTCTTTGATAATCCTTGCCAGTGTCTTGTGCGTATTTGTTAATATAAAGAAGTGATCCGGCTGTTTGTAGGTAGCCATTTTATATGTACAAGGAAAGCATGTATTTTTCAAAATAAAAAGCAATGCTCATGATTGTCTCTCTGTGTGTTAAATTTCTAGTTTTAACCTGAGAAAAGTCCTTCGGTCTTCGTTCTCGATTATCGAGCTGAATTTGCAAGATTCTGTTAAACTTTTCTTTGACTTATCGTGATAAATTCAAAAGATACTTGAAATTTTTTTGTAATACTTTGAAATTCAGTGCAGGTTTAAAAAAAACTCTCTGCTGAGAGAAAATGTGGGAGGGGTTAATGTTATAATATGAGGAGTTGAAAGATCGTTATTTCCTAAAACAAAACAAAAAAAAGACTACAAGTTTTTCAAATTTGAAAATGTTTTCTACATTGTAATGTCCTTTGAATAAAAAGGAAACAGGTAAGGGATCTGAACTTGAGAAGATGAGGAAAAAATTGTGTTCAGATAAACTTGTCGTGTGGCACTCAGGGTTGACCACCAATGCCTATGGCTCTCTTTAAAATACAAATGCATGCTCAGTTTTATCAAATCTGTCGTGAAATCTTATTATTTTTATCTGACATGCTGTAAGAAAAAAAGGGTAAATGATATACCTGCACGTGTTCAAAAGTCTACCTACTTACTCGCATGTCTCGTTCATCATAATCTCTGTGGCCTTGCGTTAATATTTGAAAAATAAATTTCAGCTTCTTGGCTGAAATTATGAATTTCAATGGTTTGTGCCTCCCTGGGGTCTGAGGAAGGAGCCAAAACTAACAAAATTAATGCAATATTGATAAACCTTCTTTACGCCCAGACATTAAAAAAGTTCAAATTGTTGAAATGATTATAACAATGAGCCCTCTACCAACACTGTGAAATTTATGGCTTCAGTGTTCAGGTCCCTTGGTGAGGCTAAGTTGGTCATATTTTGAATATGCATCAGTAGTATATTTTATCTGCCGCTTTATTCATGATTATAAAGAGTACTTGAAACCTTTTACCAAAATTGTGGTCCGTGGTTCGAGCTAAGATTGGTCATAAGTTGAAGATACCTTACATCTTTGAAAATCTACTATACTCATGGGTATTAAACAGGCAAACTAATCTTCATTATCACAATAAATACTTAGCCCTCTACCATAATTGAGAAAATCTTGGTCCTGGACCAATGGTTCGAGCTCCAGAGTGTGGCAAAGTTGGTCATACATGTATATTGAAAAAAAAACCACATGAACATTATACCTTTTGAAATCTTCACCTTTAATCATGGACATCAAGCAGGTAAACTGTTTGCCTTATTACAATAAATATTTAGAGTGGGGCTTAATTTGTCATGTATTAAAAATACACTTCATCTTAAAAGTATTTTCTCTATTCGTTGACATTTAGGAGAAAAAAAAATATTTCACAATTATACATGCAAGAAATGCTTGGCCCTCTCCAAAAGTTTGAACTTCATTGCCCCAAGGCCCATGTTCAGGCTCCATGATGGGACAAATGTTGTCATATATAAAAAAAAAATAAACTTTTAAAAATCTTCATCTATCTGAAAAACCAATAGCAAGATGATAATATACACACATTTTTGCCAAAATTCATGGCCCTTTACCCATGGTTAACGCCAAGGATGGGGCTAAGTTGGTCATATACCGTATAGCGGGAATTTTTAGCGTGGTCGCTAACTTTGGCTTATTTTAGCGGTTTTGAAGTAGCCCGCTAAAATTTTAATCGCTAAATTTGCACCCTTGCATATAAATACTAAATACAGGAAAAATAACTTTGATCATTCTGTTGTTAAACAATATTATATCATCTGATATTGGTTTTTACTCAAATTCCTGTCTAAATGGGTATTCAAACATATTGAACATAAAACTCATTTAGATGATGAATTTCCTCCCTTTTATAACATCATGGAACTCAGCGTCCGCCAAAATAAGTTCCGCCAAAATTATTTGCATATCTTTAAACAAGCCAAACGCCAAATTTTACACTCGCTAAGGAAACCCGCTATACGGTATTGAAAGTTTATTACATCTTTGAAAATCATTTAATCATGGAAATCTAGCATGCGTATTGCTTGCTTTGTTTTTGGTAAGCAGCTACCAATTTACAAAAATTGAAGGGAAAAAACTTTGTCCTCAGGGCCTTGGGCAAAGTTGGTCATATTGTGAAAGTTTAAAACAGTTTATCATATCTTCTTTACTCCTGAACTTCTAGGAGACAAGGTGTATGAATTTGCCAATGATTAAATGGTCCTCACCTAACATACGAGTCCAGAGTTCCAGCTCAGGGTAGGACAAACGCGGCCATTACTTAAGAAAACCATGATATTCAGGTGACTGTCAAGGTCCTCTCGTTGATATTAATATCATGCATCAATTAACAGTTCTAAAATCTCTTATTTACAACCAAAACAGGTCTTCCGTTTTCTCTAAAAAAAAAAATACCAAAAAGATGAATTAATAGCTAATATCAGATTTTTTAATGAAAAAGAAATTCATCTATTAAATAATATTTTGTTTAGAATTCTTTAATTTTAAGCTAAGAAATTATTTTAAGATCAGCAATATACACTCATGAATAGTAACATAAAACTGGCATAGCTAAAACGTTTATTTCTTTATCAGAATGTTATTTTTTGAGGTTAGGATGTCATATTTTATTTGCCTCTGTGAATATCAATAGCTCTAGGCTTATAAGTGGGGAGAAAATTCAAAATCATATCAAATTTTAATTTCATAGGGCAATTTAGAAAAGAGCTCATGAGAAATTGCTTCTTTTCTGCAAATGCTTATCCGACATATTTCTTACAAAAATGTTTTACGCAAGAATTTAGCAAGTTTAGGATGATAATTGAAAATATTGTAAAGATAGTTCATATCATTTATGCTTTAATTCAGAATTTATAATATTTAGAACATCGAGTTACAAATACATGTAGTTTATAGAATGAATGTATTCTATAGAATATTTGATCCTCTTATTATTATAGTTTTTTGTGTTTATTCATTTTAAATTGTGACACATATGTTTAAATACAGTAGGTTTGATATAATTCACTTCTAGGGAAAAGGCGTATTTAAAAGTTTTTAGAACTTTTGCCCGATCCCAATTGTAAAAATTTAAAGACAATAAAATATGTACAAATCACTACAAATCGTTTTGTTGCAAAGGAAGGCAATTTCAAATAATGGAAATTATTCGGAAAGGTGAAAGTCGCTTATGGCGTGTAAAACTTTGCATTTTTATTTTTTTTTTCTTATTCAAAGAATTTATTACTATCATTCTCAACCATATCATTCATATTCGTTAAAATATGATTCTTATTCGATAAGTGTTATTTATATTCGAAAAAAAAAATGTTATTTCTGTACGATAATTTGTCATTTCTATTCGATAAATTGTTATTCCTATTGGAAGAAATGTGATTCCTATTCCAATTAAAATATATAATCATATTCGAAAACATGTTTCCTATTCGGTAACATGACATTAATATTCGATATATATGAAATATTTCCCGAGTTTAATTACCGGTATTTAATGCTTTTGATAAAGTTGCCAATATTTTTACCATTAAAAAATCGACTCATAAGTTTCAAATAGAACAGTAATTGCACTTAGCCCACCTTGACATTGACAGACATTGGCAGACTAGCATTTAAAAAATATTTCTGTGTAATGAATTCAGATGAATTGTATTTCTTATGTACATGTGATTCCTATTCGATAATTTTGTCATTCGTATTCGATAATGTCATTCTTATTCGATAATTTTGTCATTTTTATTCGATAATTATGTGATCTACGAGGATTGTCAGGTAAAATCGTGGACAAGTTGTGTAGAGTGAAAAATAATCATCACTGCGTTCTCAAATTTTCACTACTTTTTTGTACAATTTTCATCAATATACATAGCAAATTTTAAATAGATATATGCTCAAATAAACAAAATATGAGACTTTATATGGTATCGCCTTACGGCGCACGGATTATAACGTCAACGTGTCTAAAGCATGCAGCGTCACGTTTCTTCTTTGCTAAAAAAGCTGGGTAAAACCCACTTAAATTCTGGGATTTCATTGATGCACATACTTGAGTTTAAGGAGTTTCCCTCCTTAAACAGTCGAGGAACCAATCTTGCACACACATGGGACCCTCTGAAGATTTATTAGTAAGTTATGGTTAGTACTCTCACTATCATTCAACTAAATAGGCTACATATCATATCGACGGTCAACAGTGATGTCCAGCGTCTTTCGCTATTGCCAGTAGCTGTTTGTCCGTATGTTTTATTGTTCTTGTCCGCTTAGAAAACTCCCATTTCACTTGTATTCTGAAGATCTAGTGATATTTTTATATATTTTTTTCTTTTGTAGCTATTTAAGTTTCTTTGGGCGGCATTACTACATCTAAATCAAACTGAACTACTCTATGGTGCGCCGTAACGTCATTAAACGTCGCCGTTTTCGTGTGTTACGTTTACCACTTTCCATTCAAATGCTCGGGAAACTGCCAAGAATTAAGCAAATGCCTTGAAATTTTACGAAAGACGACATAATAGATAGTGGATTAAAATAGGATAATTTTTACCCCAACTTTTTCTATTTAATATTTTTATTTCGAAATAATACTCGTGTATTTACTTATGAAACCCAGCTGGTTTTTTGATCGCGTGCCGTAGGACCGTACCCTGTGCACATTCAAGCATAATAAAATCTTTATTTTTGTCAATATTTTATCAAAAAATTATAACATGAAAAACTAACATGAAATAAATTTCATGTTTGTGCGCTCATTATTTTTCGAGAAAAACGCTTTGTCAATGATTTTACCGGACAACCCTCGTATATACAATAAACTTGTTATTCCTATTCGAAAACATACGATTCCTATTTGATAATCTTGTTAAGATTATCGAATAGGAATTTTATGTTTTCATGTGAGGATACAGCTAATTACATACCCCACCCCCGTGACAAAACATTAAGTATATTGATCATTTCCATCTTTTTATATATAGACTCAGAAGAAGAGCCAGCAAACTTCAATGGTAGTTTACTGTTTGTGTCTCAAGGTGACTGCGTGGTTTCCCCCCGCTAGTTTATGTTAAAATTAATAGCATTAAGAGGTTGGCAAAAGAACTTTAGGCGATTTATTGTGAGTTAGACTTTTAATACATTCCGATTGAGAGATCTATAACGATTTTTAAAAACAGCTTTAACTATGGCAGGCCGGATAAACATTCGTTTTCCTTAAACAATCTTCTGTGGAGTTCAGAGGGGGGATTTAATCAGATGATAACATGGTATCTAGCGCATAAAATAGGTAAGTTTTCATATTTCCCCTTGTACTTTTAATATACTCCCGTTATACTCTTAATATGCATTTTTTAAAAAAAACTTTTGTTGATTTTTTATTATCGAACTTGATTAACTTCGGTTTAAAGGTGGCTTCTCAAAGATTCTGTGACCGTACAATCAATTGATTACGTAGGATTTGTTTTAAAAACATACATACGGAATTTCAACGAATATGCATCATTTTAACAATGAACCAGTCAGTATATTTATGCCTGTGTTACTACCGTTTTAAGGATACTAAAAATCTAAAGATATGCATTCATGATAGAGTACGAATTATAAGATCACAATCAATTTAATTTTTCTAAATAGCATCAATAATTTTTTATGAAGCATAAGATTAACTCAACAAACCCGGATACAAATCATCCAGTGTGCGCGATACAGAAATGATTTTTATTTCTACAGCTTGACTGTTTGACACAATGCCAATTTTGAGAAATGAAGCCATTGACAAATATATTCAGAGATAAAGAAATAAGGTTTATTGGATAAGAATTCTATACACGTATATGAAAACCATATTCATCTTGCTTTCTTCGTTACAATGTAGGAGTTAAAGTCCCAGGTAGTTAATGCGATTAAATATAGAGGTGGATGGTTCGTGGGTGCACCTTTCTGAATGGGTTTAATTGGAAAATTACTGTACTTCGCTAATTTTGTTAATATTTATTTATTCCTTCATTTACTAGTGAAACAAATTTAATATGTCGGTATGCTTTTAAAAGATTTTATTCAAACATTTATTTCATTAACGTGTTTGAGTTCAAATTGGAATTGATTGTTATTTCAGGAGATGTGTGAATTTGACATACAATTTCCATGTTTTCTGTTCCGTTCTTGATAAGATATTTGATCTTATTGAAATAGTAGTGGTTTTTGTCCCATGGAAACTAAGATTGATAGTACCAAGCCTGTTTAGCTCACCTGTCTCAATATATATAGCTAGAATTAAGATGAAAGTTTAAGCAAGTCTTTATTATTTATCTGTTAAAATAGTCTTTTTTAAAGATGTACACTTAGCGAGATTTGGGGTACTGTAAATAAATAAAATAGACTAAATAAATGTTTATTCAGTATATACTTATAATACCAAAGATAGCCCATAAAAGCTCGAGAGCTTATTTCCACTAGGGTCTTTTATTGCACGGATGTTGGCGCGAGGGGGTCATTTTTGTCATATTACATGCCATCAAATTCATTTAAGTTGCAGTGCAATACCAATGGATATACGTATATCTGTTTGTGACACGTATAGTGAGGGCACATCTCCATGTTGAGGACATTGTTTATATATTAAATTTAGTAACAATGGAATGAAGATATGTAAACTTTTAATTTCCTCTATGCAATACATGTAGCACTATCTCTGCAGCTTCTCAGATTCTCATTTCTACGTGTGATTGGGCTACGGTTTTACAACTTGAATTTCAGAAGGTTTTATTCATAATAACAGTATTCTGAAAAATTAAGAATACTAGTATTTATTTTTGCTAAGTCTTCAATTTTCTTGTATTGGTTCATTTGCTTGGTGTTCATTCGTCTCGTATTTTAAAGGATATTATTTATTTACAAAAGAATTAAAAATTAAGTAGCAATTTGTTCTTAAATTATTTTAACAACAAAGGTTTTGATCCAGCTTAAGACATTTCGTGGCGAATGATTCTTTTCTCCCCACGGGTGAGCGGAGGGGTCATATCATGTTTGTGCCTTAATCCAGTCTGTCCCTATTATCCATTCATTGAATTACGTATAAGTTTGTAACCAAAATAATTCAATAAATTATTTTCAAAAATCTGTTGAATTGGATTTAAATAATTAGCCTTTTAAATATCGACTGTCGATTGCTTGCTGCATTAGACACTAGAACGCTCCATTAGGGATTTAATAAAAAGTCCCTCGATTCAGCCTGTGATAATTCATCCCAATGTTTACCTTAAAAATCAATGTGAATTAACTATTGTTAGACTTTAAACTAGAGTATGTATCTATTGTGGAAATGTAAACAATTGCTAGATCTCATTTTGTTGCATTTAACAGACGAAAAATTAAATATTCAAAGGCTTTGCTAATGGATTCCAAAGTTCCCAACAAAGCAAAGAAGACGAGGTCTTCCGATATCAAAGCCAGTCTTATGTGATATTTGCTACAAAGATAAACTTTATACATTTCAATTTATAATCTGAACAGCTCTATTTGCATCGATAAAAGGAAACGGTACATTCTTACACACTTCTGCATTAAAGACTGCAATAAAAAAAAACTTGAACATTCAAATTTCTATAGGTATTCAATGTTGGTCGCCAATAGTGCTTCACAGATCACGGACGGTCAACATTGATCGCTTTAACCTAAACCATCAACACGCCGGCATGCCTCCATGCATTTAATCCTTAAATCTACCCCTGTCTTTGTGAAAATCCTCGTTGTTCTGTCTGTTGAAAGAACATTTTATCTAGTCTGTGTGGTTTACAAGTGTTAGAATAATTCTTCACCGACTGTCTGTAATTCCATCAACCCACGATGACTAGGGTATGTACCTTTTCTCTCTGTGATGTTTTTAGTGATTTTTGATTTATGTGTCAGGAAATTAATAGGTTTCAGCAATATTTCATATTAAGTATGAAATTCCGTTATCCGATCGGTAAGAAAGTCGTTTTCTATGTGATCAGTACCTACAAATTAGTTTATACCTGTAGTTATCGTTCGTAAGTTGGAAAATGGGGAGTGATGGTTATTTTTGAGTTTACGCATATAATTTTTTAGGTCATATTTATAGACGTAAACATTCGATAAAAATGCACATGAACTATTGAGTTTTTCATTTTCAAGTTTTTATTTATTTTTGTGTAAAAACTCTTACTGTCAAGATTTTCAGGGATTGTTTATATTTCATTTTTAATAAGTTGACGTATTTATGTATTTAGGATTATTCTGAATGAAAGCAATGACCATTTCTGTAGTAAACCATTTCCCAGACTTTGCTTAAAACAATGGGAGATCCAAACAGGTAATACGGCTCCATTAAAATCCTATTACAAATACATACTTCTGACTATTATTTTTCAAGCAAATGGTTTACCTTACACGTTAATTAATCGATCTCAGTGTGTTCATGTTTTTATATGAAAAGAGGTAAGCAGACGGTTTTAGTTTTTTTTTCTTTTAGCATTAATCGATTTCACTCCACTTTTGGGTATTATAAATCTTTTACATGTGAATGAAAATGTACATACATATTTATGTGAAAGCGGAATGTGAGCATTGGTGGATAAATAATTACAAATGCTAACTAAATTATATTGTAGTGTTTTATAACCAAAAACCATACAGTGCACAGTTTTAAAGAATGTACATGATTCAATTCGTAATTAAAAGATATATAATCACTTTTATCACGACATATACATCAGACAAACTTAGATAGTAAAAGATACTTACAATGGTCTTATTATACTTAAATCAGTTATAGCAGACAAAAACACCAAAATGAGTTTGATGATAATAATGATGAGAATAAACTCAAGTAAATTGAATTTCTTCTTTTAATTTTGAACATTATAAAGATATATTCCTAGTTTACAAAACTACTAATACTTTTAAAAAATGTTAGAACCAAAAACATTGTATGGTACTAATAAGTGATATGTAAACAAGTTCGGAATTGATTTTCAAAGTTTTCGTCATCTAAGGTTTTCTTTGAATTCGAAAGCTTTGTAATTAAATGAATGCATTATTTAATGAAGAAAATATCAAGTGGTAAACCTGAGAAATTGTCGTCAATTCCCCACCTGACAGAAGGGTTTTGAGGTTATTTTGTAGGAATATTGACAAGTTCTTAATGTAATAATTCACTTAATAAAATTGAATTGACATATCAAACAAGTTAGAAGTGCTGAACAGTTCTCATTCTCGTATTTCTATCAAGAAATGAGATACACTTTGGTAATAAAATAAAGAATACTTAAAGGAAGGGATAAATATACAACAGGATATAAATCAGGATAAATAAAAGGGGGTTTTAATTTGGCCAATAGGTACAAAGTACATCTAGAATCTGACCAATCGGCACTTCGCTTTTGTTATTTGAGAAAGTTCGCGTTCCTGTCCTGGTTTTATTAAGAAGTCAAGTAGGCTCCATGGATTTAATGTCGTTGAGCGGAGCTTGACGATAACTGGTCGTAGTCGGTTAGAAGCATTATTATAAACCCTCTTAAAACAAATGTCTGTTGTCCTTTCCACTGAAGTAGGAGGAAAGCACACAAAAAATTCGGAAAAAATTGTACAGTATCTTTTTCAATTAGACAATAATGTTTTTGTTTAGCATAGACACTCAACATATTTATTTAAAAAAATTAAAGTGCTCTCAATTTATCCCTCTTGCCATCTCGGCCTTTTATGCCAAGGATTCTTTGTATCGTATTCCCAGAAGTCCACGATAAGTACGTCCTGAAAATTGAAATATTTTTCATTTCAAGATCTTAAAAATAGATGTATTGATTTTTTTTTGTTCATGATGTGTATATATCTCAATGCCTTTTTACCGTTTGTCTTTATCCTTACAGAATTAAAAAAAAAAATAATTCAGTGTTCTCAAGGTTTTTAACGATTTCCTTTAAAATGCCATCAGCCTTGAAAAAAAGGTCGTCTTGAAGACAATTCTATACAAGAGTATATCATTTTGATAGTTTCGAGTCTTTGTAAGTTGAGCCGGTACTTTATAAATGTGTTTGATCGATGAAAAGCTTATATTTGTTGATAAGATATACTCGATAATCTTTTGAGAATTTGCCGAAGATGACAGAAGTCAAGTCCGTGTTTGTCGGTATAAAAAGAATGTAACTTCCCTGGTCCCCCTCACTTGAAAGCAAATAAGAGACAGAGCGCTCGTCCCGAGGAAAACGTATTTTATGTGTGTAATAAGAACAGTTTTTATCTCGATTAATACAAACAAGTTGGTTGTCTCGTTACAAACAAGATCGTTCTCGGACTTATTAATTCCAGAGATAATATGCTCTATTTAATGTCGTTTTTGGATTTTGCTTATCTAGGAAGGGGATATTTATTGACGGTTTTGTCGATATAAGAAATATATAGGTTGCAAAATTTTATTCTTTTTCACTTTCTTCTAGACACAAAGATTCAAAGACATCTCAACGGTGAAGATTTACCAAAATGAAAGGATCTCCAACTCTAGAAGAGAAGGAAAATAGTTCGAGATGCTCAACATTGGATAGGAATTCTAAAGATAGAAGTAATTCATTTAAAAGTGAGAGCGGGAAAACAAGGGTTTTTAAAGTCAGAGAGGACGTGTATTTAGTACATAATAACGTGGTTGATAAAAACTTACTCAAAAGCAGCATTTCAACCAAATTAAGACAGAGCATACCGGGAGAGCTTTGTAACAGGACAGAAGTTGTGAATAAATTAAGGAGAGAAAATTTAAAAGAGTATCTACGACTTTCTAGTCTGAATAAAAAATTCAGTTCCGAAATGCAGATGGAAAAGAATCGTATCAGCAATGAAGGTCATCAGCTGATTAAACGCCAGGAACAGATGAGGAGAAACAGCGATCTGGTGCGGAGGAACCAAGAGAAAATGAAAATGGTCTTCGAGAATCGGAAAACGCCATCTTCTACGCTTCCTCAGATTTCGCACCGATCGACCACACCCGTTGCCAAGCGCGTCATCGTTGATCATACCAATGGAGAAACCGCTTTTGTCAAACGAAATGACCGACCAGCTACATATCCCCGCGTTCCCATTGATAAGGATGACCCAACTTTTATCAAAGTCTTCAAGCATAATGGGGTTTTCTTACCTCAGAATAGATACCCGGATAAACATTCCATTGCCAAACCTGAAAACAGTATTTTGAAGAGAGGTCAAATGCCAATCACGCCTGACTACGAAGATTTGACCTTGTCCATGAATGACCTTGACTTAGATAGTAACCAATCTTCACCTGCCCTCTCGCCAAAGGAATTTTCGAAGCAAAAGTCGGCAAGACGAGTTACATGGAGCGGAGTCGATAGAGAGAAAACCGAAAAATCAGCACCAAAGAGCGCAGTATTTGTTCGAAAAACACCGGAGTTGTTTTCACCAGTTCAAGATAAAAGAAGTGATATGAATTCTACTCCATGTAGTCAGAAAAGTTTTAAAAGTGACTCTGCATTATTCAAACACCAATCCTATAGGAAAGGAAGAAGTAAGATTGAAACAATAGGTATCCAGTGGAAACTTCCTCCGGGTTCTAAGGTGGAGAGCTCTAGATCAAGATCTGCAGGACACCTTTCAAAGAACCTCAACCCTTGCTCTGCTGCTCTTGACAGTGAAGGGATTTCCATTACTAAAACGAAATGGCATGTTCCCCGGATGCAGTCTTTAGAATCGTATGAACTTTATAAGATTTGGCTAGAAAAATTGGAAAACCTTAAAACCGGGAAGGCTAGCGGAGTTCCGATGGGTCCACGAATCCATTCTTCCAATCGCAGCATTAGTTTGACCGTTCCTACAATGTCAGAAGCGCCTAATGCTTCATTGATCACTGGGTCAAATATGTAAAGCAATATAACAAAGACTAACGAATTGAAAGAAGTAATACAGCGACCTCTTGTTCAGGGTTGGTCATAAAGTTCCGAGAGTAATTCAACAAATCAAAATAATAATAATAATATCACTTTAAAAAATTGCAATCTTTATTTTTGATCTATTCAAAATATTTATACAAATTTTATTTTAATTATATTAATGATTAGTTAAAGGGTCGTGAGGGCCCGCGGCGTTGTGTCAAAACACGTAGCGCGATGTTTATTTATATACGATAAGAAGTATTGTATTAAATTCAAAATTTTACATAAAATTTCATCCATTACGTGAGATATGATAATTATATATATTACAAATATTCAAATCACTAAGATTATCACTTCTTTTTAAATATTCCAGAAAAAAACACCGATATGAAAAAAAGCATTTATCCAAACATCACTTTTGCTATTTTATTTCATTGTTTCATCAAGTGCTAACCATTGTGAATAGAACATTGTCAACATTCTGAAGAATATATCAAGAAAATGAATTGTGTATTCTAGAATCTTAAGAATGAAAGCTGGTTTATACGTTATAATGATCTTTTTTTCTTTTTGATGAGACATACATAATTTAATAATTTTTTTCCGGAAATTTAATGTCTTAAACATAAAACAAATTTAACACCATGTTCCTATTCTCAGAAGTTTTTGATCACCCATTTTGAGTGTTTAAATACTTGACCTTTTGCTACATTTGGTGCCATTTATTCTTGGGATGCGTGAAGGTAGTCACGCAAATGTTTATATAGTAATTTATTTTGATTCGCTGAGTTTTATTGCAGAATGATTTTTTAAAATTATTTATTAACTATTCACCTTTTTTTTTTTTTTACATGTTTTTCAGTGTATGGACAAGGACAAAGAAGTGAAATAAAAATTATATTTATATGAAATCTGAATTATTTTTGTTACATCCAAAAGCATTCTCAAGATACCAAAAAATATTTAGAGTCCTTCACAATGGGCATTGACGTAAAGATGTATAATGTACTTATTGAATATCTATAGTATAAATAAACTATAATTAATGTGGTAAGCCAAAACTCTTCGCAATATATACAAAGATTGCTGGAAACCATTTACAATGATCCAAACTTTGTAGTTTATCTAAGTTTGTTATTGTTTTAAATATTATCCAATCGTACTCCATTAAAAAGTGATATGTCAGATTTTAGATTAAATTTTTTGTCTTTGGAATGTTATCAGTTTAAGTCTCCTGGGCCGATATTAAACTCACGCCCTCTATTTGTTCAGCTCTTAAACAGTCGTTTAATGACCCTATCAAAAACGGTTCAGTCAAAAAGAGTTTTGATAAAATTGCTCAAAGTAATGTAGCAAAGATCTCGAGTCAGAAGATTAAACATTAAAATCGAGTGATTAATAACGCTTCATTCTACAGCACATAAAACATATGTATGCAAAGAGAATTGACTTGTTTGTTTGTTTTTTATGTTGAGTAAGAAATCCCTTGAAATGAGTACCTTATAGTGCAACATCAAGGTTCTGAAACAGAACAGTTTGTATTTAACGAAACATACAACAATGATAGCGTACCAAAAAGAAAAAAATTAAAGTGAAATATGAGGATAACGAACAGTAATCAAGCTCTAATGTTCATTGAAACAATATTTATCAGATTAATTTAAACAAGTATAAGATTTTAAGGTTTCAAAGAAAAGAATTAGATGACCACCTAGTTGATTGATACATAGAGCACAGACATAAAATATTCCTTCACACATTTCACATAAAAGTATTATATAAGAAAATTACGAATTACCTTTTATATAGTAATTAACAGAACTCTTTACTTTCCCTAAAATGGATATACGTGTGAATATTAAATATACACATGTATAATGTAAAACTTTTTTTGGTTTGCTGTTTCCCAAAAGCCAAACATAAAGTACTCTTTAAATAGAAATTCATTCTACTATTTTAAGTTAAATAGACCCTTCTTGTCTTATAAAATACGGTTGAGAGACCAACACAAACACACCCTCTCTTCCACACATCCTCCCTCACATACCTACACAAATTTTTTTTGCAAATGAAACGTCAATTCAGATCTATTGCCAATTCAGACCATTTAATGCACTGAAACCCCGGCATATGCATGTATTGTCGCCGGCGGCAATGTGTGCAAGGCAGTGTTAGATGGATACGCTCCAGCAATGCTTCAACAAAATTCTTCAGTGTTTCAAGTTTAATCTTCAGCTGCATGAAGGAAAGCCAAGAGCTGACAGCATTTAATAGAAAAAAAATAATGTTCGCCTTTAATCTTTATAATACACATGTAGCTTCATTTTTTCTTTCAAAGAAAGCTATTTTCAATGTGCAATCAAAGAGGGTACTTGAAAGTTCACAATTTATCGAAAGAGTCAATGGGAAGTACAACGACCTCATATGTTGTTTTACAAACGTGTTAGACAACAATGTATACAAAGTATAAAATGTTTAAACTTAAAATTCCTACTGATTATTTCAACTTTTCATAAACACCATAAAACAAGTGCATGGAAATGCTGTTCCGTGACAATAACATCTCCGCTTTGATGCTACAACTGTATGTGTTTAGCACCACAACCAACAAACCCCTGCACCTTGAACAACAAAAGGACGTACATACTTCTATTGTACACAAAAAGCCAGAGCTTTAAACCACAGAGATAGCATCGTGCCAACAAAAATGCCAATATCTATTTTTTGCTGTGTATTTATTACTTAAATGTTAATTGCGAATATTTAGATGAGATGATACCCAATAACATTCCTGTATGCAAATTGGTAGAGGTTCGTTAAGGAGGATAGATTTAGCGTTTCAGAATTTCCTGTGAAGAAGTCTTTAAATTACTTTTTGATCAATTGAAGATACCCTCTACGTTGCCAAGTCATTCTGTTGTTCATTCTGCTAGGAGGATAACATCGGCTTTGCTTCGAAAGATTTGGCAGTATTAGACAATATCAGAGAGAACGAACAAGTTAAAGAATCTAGTTACTGAATCATCGTGCTGAAGGAAAGGCATAGCGTCAAAATGGATGAGCGTATGCTTTGGAAGAATTGGCAGTATTTGAAGAATGAGATATACGTAGAGGATTTCATCGACGCGATGATGGAAGCTGGGATATTTACAGCTCAGAATAAGAGAGACATTATGATGGCGCAACCCAGCACGCGACAAATGAAGGCCGAGAAGTTTCTGAATGTGATGATCCAGACAGGGGAGAGGGGGTACGAGATGTTTACAACCGTCCTACACGACATGAGGAGTGATAACAGATATACGTCTCTGATGGAGAAACTCAATCTACCGAGCAACAACGTCATGGTCGTCCATCCACTAGTGGATGATGGTAAGAGATTTTATTAGTTTGAAAATGAGAAATATTTTCTGATAGATTTTCAGGAAGAATCTTGTGAGGTTACTCTGAAGGGAATTTTCAAACATAATGAATGGAGGAGGCGCAAACTTCTCATTCAAAACGAATTACTTTCAAAGAAAATCAGAAAAAGATATTTATTTATTTATTTATTTATTTATTTATTTATTTATTTATTTATTTATTTATTCATTCATTCATATTTGATATGAAAAATATTACATTTTGTTGTAGACAAATGAATATACTTATGAAGTAAATGAAGTATTTGTGGTATACCCTGATTCTCATCCTATTTTTTTTTATCTTATATGAATTAATTTGCTTTTGTTAGATGGTTTTGTACAGCTTATAGATTTCTTTTTAAAAATAACTCTTATCGTTTGGTTCGGTTTTTGTGAGGTTAAAGTACATGTATAAATGAATGAAAGTCATTATCAAAGACATACATCCATTAATGGAGGATGTCTCTTAAAGATGTATTTGCTAAATAACAAAATGAAAATTTCAGCTTAAAAATCATTTCAGATAATTCCTTCTCTTTAAATTCTGGAAATTTGACCGTGTGTTGACGTCAATGGAGTTACCCTAATTTTCAAAGGTTTAAATCACACATTTATCCACAACTTCCCCTTGGTCTAACCTTTGCTGCAGATGAGGTCACGTGACTATTCGTATTAATCGGGTCAAAAAACAAAGACAAAGAATAGATCTTACAAGTTACTCATATTTTGTAACTTTAATCCCAGGAACACCTCTGCAGTTCTAGAACAATGGTTTTTCAATATCTCGATACAACAGTCCTGAAATCTTGAAGTTTCCTTTAAAAAATGTTATTCCATTGACCTTGGCTTGAAATCAGTTTAATTAAGAATTATGTTTAAATTGAATTCTTTATATCAATTACAGCTTCTGCTGCCTCAGGTGACCATAGACCAGACACTCGAGGCTCCCAGAGACCTTCCACTGCGTCGGTAAGATGTTCTAACTTAAATGGAAAGTGGTTCGAAATTTTTTTCTTTTCCAAAATAGTTAAGATTTCAAACAAATGGAACTTAATCTTCCTTTCACATGCATATACAAAGACATTTGGCAGTTTTGTGTCAGAAGATCAGAGAATGATTGTTAGCTTGATCAAAAAAAAAAAAAAAGAATTATTCATGCAAAATTTTAATTCCTTTGAATACTTGAATTTTCTTAGATTATTTCAAGTACTAGTATTTCCTTTGGTAAACCGCGCATTTCTTATTTGTGTGTTTCGAATTGAAAGACTGTAGTTTAAATCTAAATACACTCTAGATGTATAAACTGATTCATTTGAAAATTACCTGTGTATTGCAGAGTGGAAGCACAGATATCAGCAGAGACGGGGAAACCGGAGAGAAAAACAGAAGATCAGCGAGACAAGCATGGAGATCTCAGACTTCAGGAAGTACTCCAAACAGCGCCTCCTCCCGGCGGCCGACTAGTAACAATGGTGCTCGAGGAATGGTTCGCCAACCGAGTACGGGAGAGATGAATTCAGTAACTAGATTCCCTGGTCAACCACAGACAGCACAAACATCAAACATGGCAGGTGATCAACCGCCATCAGCAGCTTCTTCCGACGATAGACGTTTAAACGAAAAAAGTTTATCAGTCGATATGAATATCTTGGAGCAAGAACTCGTCCGCATAGCACCAACCATCGCTGAGCTATTCCAGAAGATTTCCAAAACAACATCATCTAACATACCAGTCAGCGAGGAAGAAATCCGTAAGGTCAAGGATGAAAATGAAAGACTGCGGAAAACAAATCGAGCTTTGATAGAAAAACTTAACAACTTTCAACAGAAAATCATTCAGCTGCAGTTGGAAAATAAAAATCTAAGAGAGAATGGCGAGGGAGCGAAAGAAGCTAAAGAAGAATTGATTCGTAAGGCAAGGGAACTGCAAGATATGGAGCGGAGATTGGAGGAGCAGAAAAATGCTTTGGAAGAAAAGGAGATGGAGCTTAACATCCAACTCATGAAAATAAAGGAAATCGAAAAGGACATCGTACGACAGAAGAGACAGATTACAAAACTAGAGATTCTCCACGAAGAAGGTCAACAAGAAAATGAGCGACAGCAAGAGGAAATCGCCATGTTGAAAGACGATAGATTAAAACAGCAGGAGCAGATTCGCCAACTGGAGCTGAAACAGAGGCAGGGTGATGAACGTCTCAGAAGGCTTGAAGAAAGATTGAAGCAGATAGAAGAAGCTCCCGTCAACAAAAATAAAGGCATCAAAACTCGAGATCCCAAATTTAGGACGACCAAGCGACTTTTGGGTCAGATGTACAATAGCGAAATCACGTGATAACTTCTAATTTCAAATCACATCAGCACGGTAGCATCTCAGTGTACTAGCATTATCCACATTATTACATGTAATAAATGGCAATCCTTTTGATATTCCATTTCTCTGTAATTTTGCTTTGAACTTTCAATATGAATCTTAAATTTCGATGGATGTTTCCAAACCAGATTTTATTTGACTCTTTCCTTTGTTTTCATGGTTTTACTGTATTTGTTATTTCTCTTTTTTCCCTCTTCTTTTTTATTGACGAATTTATGTTTAAAAAATAAATGACTATTAGTCTTGATTTCAGAAATTATGAGTTTTATTGGCCATTAATTCAGATAGTTGTTGGTTTGTTCGTTTGTTTCTTGTTGTTTAACGTCCCTCTCGAGAATTTTTCACACATACGGAGACGCCACCACTTGCCGGTGGAGAGCTACAAATTTGGACCTATACTCGGCACTTAGGGCCATTGAGCAATGAGGGGTCCTTTTTTGTGCCAGCACCTACTGTGACACGGGACCTTGGTTTATACGGTCTCATCCGAAGGACCGGTCTCAACGTCCCAATGGGATTCGAACCCGCGACATAAGGATCAACTCCTTACTCCGCGACCCTAGAGCAAACGCTCTAACGACTGCGCCACGCGGGCGATCAGATCGTTGTTCAATCATAAGTTCATGTCACGTACCTTTATGGTTAGCATCTCGATATTTCCTATTGAAAAAACAAACGATTTTTTTTAATTCCAAGTGGTAAACCAGTGGCTAGATTTTTACAAATAAAAGAAACGAACATTTTGTTTTAATTTCTAAAAACAAATAAAAGGTTATCTTACACTTTTCTATAACCGAGTGCTATGAAACATTAGCACAAGACAACTTTACAATTCAGATCAATATTTCGAGCTCTCGCTCGTTACAACTATGTGAATTCTACGCGTTTGTTGATGATGTCAGTTAAAATGTAGAATAGCATACTAAGGAATGGGGTGTATAACATCCTATTCTACAGAAATAACGACTTCTAGAAAAAGTACGCAAAGGTTACAGAGCATGAGAAAAGAAAGAATTTCAGGCGTGCTATATAGTAAATTCTTATCAAGTCATGACAGGGACTTGTCATGAAATTTTCGAGTAATGTGAGAGGAATCAATTTGAGTGAACATCTTAGTTTCTTCCCCTCTTGAGTTAAGAGTATCAGAAAATTCGCATGAAAGAGGGTATCTTAAATTAGGAATAGCATAGTTGATTTAGATGGAAAGGAAGAAATGAAAACTGCAATACGGGCATTATTTAAGACTTTGAATGCTATACACCCTTAAGTCTGTCACATTACAGAACGCATTATCCAAATTACTACTTCTATGAACAAGGGGAGACATTCAGTTTCTTTTCTAAATTTAAACACACACACACACAGACAGACACACACAAGGCTTTTAAGACAATAAGATGTTTAGATTTAAATAAGAGTAGAATATTTTGAAAATCACTTTCATATATGTCTTCTGGTCTACTCAGAGAGAAAGTGGAAAACATGTTTTTTTCCTTAGTGTCATTATCAATAACGTTTTACCCTGGTAATGTTGGATATTGCCTTTGTCTTCAAAATCATAGGAATAGCTCGTTAATCAAAAGCAATACCGAAATGAGTGTTATTCCATACACTAGTAGTTAAAGGGTACAGCAAAAAAGATATAACATTAGTATTAATTATTTGCTGATAGTTATATAATAAATGATTGATGTCCAATTTATTATATGAACACACTTATTTATATACCAAAGGCATGTTCACGTAGGCTAAAACACACAAAATTTAGAAATGTGAAATCTATGGAAATCAACTTCTATATACGTATGTACCATAAATAGAATTCACGTCTGTTACATGATCTAATACAAGCAACCATGTTAGTGTCTCCTTGAAGTATTGATGAGTTTGGCAACCAACTGTTGTCGTACATGTTACCTCAATGGCCAGAGTTGTTATTGCCAGAAAATAGAGGTTTATCTTCCTAAATATTAATTATATAAATAATATCAATATTTAACAATGGCTGGCAGGAATATTTATTTGATATTTGTTTAATTCGACCCCCTTATTTGACCTCTGTGACCCCAACTCTATTATTTAAACAACGAAGGCTCATCACCATGAAGAATTCTGATCTTATGAATAAAATTACAGATATAATTTAAATCACAGGGAACAAAGCAAAGGCACAAAGGCAAAATTAAATCTGAATTCTGGAAGCCATTTTGAATTTTAGAAGTCGAAGTCAACACATCAGCTAGATGAAGCTCAGGAAGAGAAAATCGAGGAGGATGACGTAGAACACGTGAAAATGAATCCGGACAACGAGCGAAAATTGTGGCGGAACTGGATGTTCCTAAAACAGGAACTTCCAGTTCTGGAAATAACAGACAAAATGATAGCGGCTGGGATATTTACGGAGGACAACAAAAAGGACATAAATAACGTCAAACCAAACACAAAATTGATGAGAGCTGAGAGGTTTCTTAATATTCTGTTGGAAACAGGAGATAAAGGATATGAAACATTTTGTCATTTCCTCCGCCAAGAGTCTTCTGGAAGATTTGAGGAAATCAACGAGAAAATGGAGATCGCTGTACATCTGGAGCCAGTTATTGAGGGTTAGCTAATTTTTTTTTTTTTTTTTTTTTTTTTTTTTTTTTTTTTTTTTTTGAAAGTTTTCATTTTTTCAGAAAAATCTGATTTTAGTAACTATGAGTAGAAGTAGAAATACTTTATATGCTGAATATTAGATTTTTAACATTTTGCTAAATTAACGAGATGTCTTACAGATCCTGCGGCTGCCGGAGGATCCTGTGACCAGGTATGTTATAAAAATATTGGTATCCTTTTTCGTTTTACGTCGAATTTCATTTGAAATTATAAAAAATAAAAAATAATAATAATGAACTAGTATCATTTGGTTCTATTTTATTCATATAGAGCCAGACTGAAAAACCAGCAAACCTTACTCCCGACAGACAAAATACAATGAACAGCAGACAGTCGTCTTCAATTTCCCGCGCCAGTACTAATATGTCGTTTGCTCCTGATCCAGTGCAAGCAGCCGCCTCCGTGCAAACTGCAGCGGCAGTTATGGCAAACGTAGGTGTTAACGAATCCGGAGTAGACTTGAAACTTTTGGAAACTGAACTTGTGCGCATTGCACCGACAATTGCCGAACTTTTCCAAAAAATAGTTCAGACAACGAAACAGACAAATCCAACTTGGGATGAACTGCAGAAAGTGAAAGCAGACAATGAGAGGTTACGAAAATCTAATCGGGCTCTTATTGAAAAACTCAACACTTTCCAAAAGCAAATTATTCAACTTCAGCTTGAAAATAAAAAACTTCGTGACAAAGGAGTATGCGAAACTGAGACCAAGGGAGAACTCGACAGGAAAGCCGAGGAATTAGATAAACTGAAACAAAAGTTAGAGCAACAGAAACAAGAGCTGATAGAAAAAGACCAGGAGTTGAACGAACAGCTCCAGAAAATCAAAGATATTGAGGACGAGAATGATAGACAAAAAGTTCAAATTCTTAACCTTCAAGTCCTTCACGATGAGGGCGTCAGCGAAAGATCTCGTCAGCAGATTCAAATCACAGAACTCCGTGAAGAAAAGGAAAAACAGAATAACAAGATTGCACATCTGGAGGAAATGCAGAAAAAAGACGAGGACCGTTTGGAGCGCTTGGAAGCGCGCCTTCGACTGCTGGAGCAGCTCGCTCCCGCCTCGACTCGAGGCTCAACATACGGTGCCCCGCGTCGCCGGAATGCACGAGTTGTATCTCCTCCACGCGCCATGCCTTGGATGAGCGGGGTCGTAAACCGATCACATCATGCCAACGTGAAGTTCACACCACCTCCACCACGGGGCGGTGTTGGAGGAAAGACCCAAGAAAAGGGATGGTCTTTTTGAGATAAAAGAAGGATCCGGAACAACAAAAACAACATTAGGATTAAAATGTGTATCTGACTGAATATGGAAAAACTGCCTCCTTTGTTTGTTAAAATTATATGCTTTTAAAATCATAAACTTGAGGCAGCAAAGTGTATAAATTTACAGCCATCTTTTTTTTAAGTCACTGCTTTACATTAACTGTTTAAAATTCCTGTACTCCATATTTGCACGTTTTAAAGTTAACGCAATGCCTTTTAGAACAATTTGTTCTCAAAGGAGGTGCATAGAAGCATGAAGGTTGTTTCAAAGACAACAGTACAGGTGATCTTTGTTAGACATTCATTATCATGTTACATCTTATACATAGTCAATAAAACATTTAATAAAGCATCAATTTTAGCATTTAAATATACATCGATTTTATTGTTTTATCTCTATGAATTATTCCAAAGTTTATATAAATCATCACGAATCAGTATTAAGAATAGGAACGTTTCAGGTCTGATAATAACTCACAAATGACGTAAGTTGCTGAAATTTTATCTCAATCACACGCAATGCATTGGTGCAGTACAAAATGTATTAATGCCTCTCCCAAAGGAGTAAAAGACATACTGTTTTTACCAAAGTTTCAGTCTGTCTGTTACTCTGTCACATATCGCGTTCGGGCCATGCAATGAATACTTATTGTCCATGATTTAAAGATGTGTTAGCTCAAGATATCTTAACGCCAACGGGAACAAATCGTTTTGGTGCTATAACTTTAGAATCTTTGACAAAATGAATTCAAACTATGCATGTCGTTGTTTATATTTGAAGACGCTTCTTGAACTTGAGTCAAGGTTGAAATAAAGTCAATGTTAAAATTCTTGATTGGAAGGAAATTCGTTTATTACCTTTTATTCAAGTGTGTCAAGATCTTGACTCAATGACAATGTCATATTTCAGTCTTCAAGGTATATAAGCCACTTGGTATTGCAAATTTAATAAAAAGATAAAGAATTAATTAATCAATTTTAGAAATTACAAGTCAAAAAGATTTCAATTGCAGAGGTACATAAATAGATTATACATTAATAATAAGCATGCCAAAAAATCATGTGTAATATAGTTTTCTTTTCTTTTTAGCATACCCAAACTAAATAGATATGCAGAAACGACCATGATGCTTTTCATTTTAAGCCCCCCCCCCCCCATTTTGAGTATTGTCAGGTTAGTAAAGGCTAGATACGACTTATTTGTGGTACTGAAACTTGACATGGAAATAATGTTTTCACTGAAGCAAGATTTAGTTTTTCATATTAATTCAACTTATTTTACTTTTAAAATATTGCATGGAAAATATTTTTCTTCTGCAATTAATTTTTCTATTCGATTCCTGACTTTATAAACCCTTAGAGTTGTTTTTTGCTTAATGGTCAAGGTCATCGGGAACAGCTATAAATGTTACATGAAAATCCCCTAAGCATTAAGGGAAATCTAAATTCTTAGGCATTCTATCATACATGTATACCCGATTCTCGGACAAGCCACCAAAATCTTCAGGTGGTGACTCGGTGCATGCCAATGAAAGAGGAGAGAAATCTGATTTTGAAGGGAAAATAATGCATGTAAAAACAAGGGATGGCAATTTGTTACCGGTTAACCGGTTACTCGGTCGGAACGGTGAAACTATGTTTAAAAATCGAAAGTTAGTCGAAAAGGTAAGCTTGAACGCAATTTCCTTAAAATTTTCTGAATGTTCGTAAGTTAGCATTTTCACATACATACATTTATTTCATCTAATTTCGAGGAATTAAGACTCTTGAGATTGCAGGGGGTAATTAGTCTATTTGTGACGTGTTAATTACATGTATACTGCGAAAACAACATGCCGTTACCGAGCAGGTGCTGTATTTCTTTAATGATATTGATTAAATTAATTAAATCACCGTTAAGTAATGATTATAATCTGTATCTTACCATGTTTATCTTTTGCAGTTATCCGTCGAATAATATTATCAAACAAGAGATAGATTCGACTTTGTTCTGATTACAATGACAATCAGAACTTTACCGAAAATCAATAATGTATTAATCACCGAACTTTTTTCTTATCAGTACCGAAAATATTTATATATCATTAACGAAAAATTAATTAGTGAATCTCTGACTCAGTTAATAGCATTTTCGAAAAACCTTTCTCAGTTAGTCAGGTTGTACTGTTGCCCCCCTTGAATTTTACCTAAATTAATAATTAATACACAATTTAAAAGATACATTGTAGATTTAAGTCAATATTAAAAGTGGTTAAAAACGCTTATTACAGTCAACATGAGAATCCAAAAATCAGTTACTACTTGTAGACATAAGTGGGAATACAACTGGAGCGACATACCTCCATAAATATAATCGCTGTATTTCTGGATGAAGCAGCGAGATGGCTCAACCTTAACTCTGCGTACCAAAGCTTCAGTCTATCGTTCATATCCTGATATTTTATTACTGTCCGTATCTGTTTACGATCTTTTCAAAAAACAGGAAGATATAACTTATTGTTATACCTTTGAAAATTTGTTCCTATATAAATCAATACTAATAAAAGTCAAACATTTCCAATGTTTTACTGAGCGGGCATAAAAAAAATGGATGTTTGACCGCGGAGTGAGATATTGGACCTGTCGATGAGATGTTGGACGTCACATAATGGGCGGGGTCAGCTAAATCTTATTTGCATTCGTTGGTGTTCGACATACATGTATGTCAAAAAATAATAATAAAATGAATACATAAAAGGTATAACAAAACATTTATTGACTGTATTCTCGGTCAAAATGCGTTTTGTCAACCCCTCGAACCAAACTGTTAGGCCTCAGGCAAACAGTTTGGTTCTTGGGTCCGACAAAACGCATATTGCCCTCGAACCCAGTCAATAAATGTTTAATAGGAACTGGGTATTAAACTTTAATTGAAACGCTTCACTAATTTGAATTTTCGGTAATGATACCTAATATTCTTTCGGAAATGAAATAAAATAATTTTCAGTAATGATGACCTACCAGTTTTCAAAATTTCGGTAATGCAATTAGTCTAAACGGAATATTAAACGCCATTTTTAAAGATTATTATTGTATTTATTATAAATGATAATAATCTTTTAAAAATTATTTCAGTTTCAAAGCTTTCTTATAGGAAAAAAGACAAACACCACATTACAAACATCACACTACGTAAAAAATAAGATTTTCCACACATTTGTGAATAAATACGTTATTTTCGAGATATAAGTTCGAAGAACGCGAAATTTGGGAGGAACAATACATATACATGTATTAGGTTTTCATACAGAAAAAAGGCTTGTTTGCCCTTCCCCGACTCAGGAAAAAAAGTTAGATAGATAGGAATGGGAGAAATTTTTTTTATTCAAAAACACTTGCGAATGTGAAGTAAAAATAATTATTAATTGAATGATAAAGCTTCGGAATGAATAAAAAAAATAATTGTTTCCTGGAGGTTAAAAAAGTTTTGAGTCGGGCCGTTTTTAGTCAGTCGGTCGAGAGAAGGCAAACAAACAATTTTTTAAAGATGGCCTTGTATGCCATATAATGCGAAAGTTGATGTTAATTCGCCAAATGTATTGCAACGCGAACCATTTTTTTACCTACAAAAAATGAGCTCAGTGGATTTTCATTGTTCACAAAAAAACAAACAAACAAACAAGAACAAAACAAAACAAAAAAGCAAGAACAAACCAAATCCGAGATAAGGAAAGAAAAGAAACTTGGGGAAAAAATAAATTGACGTCTAAATGCTGGATACATATTTATAACTAGCTTAAATATGACTTTTGGAATTGTTTTCAGATCTATTGAAGCGAGGGACCTCTAGCTTCTTGTCCCAGCATATTTTTTTTTTTATACTTCCTATAAAAGTACATTATTTCATTTAGGAATTATACATTGTTTTGCTAGTTACATCAATGAACGCCTCATATATTTGGTCACATGAGATCATATTAAATTTTAATATGATCTCATGTGACCAAATATATATGAGGCTTCAATGATGTTACTATTAATTAAATGTATGCCTTGATGTTCACTTAGAAGTTTAATTCTCTTTCTCTTAATTTTTAAATAATTAATTAATTTAAATAATTGATTAATTTTTTCTTTTTATTTTTTTTCCATCCAAAAAAATATGTATCCATACTGCGGAATCTAGACATGTTGTTTACTGTCATGAGACATGATTTAAAACAAGTAATACATGTTATGTTAGAATATCTTAATTAAAAAAAAAGATACACTAAACTATCGTATAATATGCTAATTCAAAGTTTTAAACAAAAACAACTTCATTCATTATCATGGTATTAAACTTTTTTAAACTATTCACTTTTCAAAAAGGCATGAATGTTTGAACAGTCCATATTAGTTCCCAACTAACCATTGGTTAAAGGAAATTTGCGAGGTTATTTTTGCCCCTAATTGAACTTTAAAATATTTTATTGTAAACCAATGTCTCAAGTAAAGTTTCAACGTATCATAGCCAATTAAAGTAAAGAAAGTACATTTGTTTATCTACTAAACTATTGTTCACCATGTTTTATTTTGTTTTTGTTGTTGGTTTTTGTTTTGTTTTGTTTTTGTTGTTGTTTTGTTTCGTTTAGCTATGGTATCCTATATGAGAATTGTATACCGGTAGGTCACAACTTTAAAGAAAGTACATTTGTATATCTACTAAACTATTGTTCACCATGTTTTATTTTGTTTTTGTTGTTGGTTTTTGTTTTGTTTTGTTTTTGTTGTTGTTTTGTTGTTTTTTTTTTGTTTGTTTGTTTGTTTGTTTTTTGTTTTCGTCTGGCTATGGTATCATCTATGAGAATTGTATACCGGTAGGTCACAACTTTAAAGAAAGTATGACTTTTCAATGTTCTGTGAAAAAGTTAATGTGTTGTTAGTCTCATATCATGATGAATTCAAAGAATAAGTCTTTAAAACCCCATACAGATATTTACAAAAAAAAATATCGAGGTTAAAATCCCACCGATGATTCAAATTTCAAATTGGACCCTATCTAATGGTCCAAATTCTGATTACGCCAAATCATGGTTCTGATCAGAAAAGGTTCGCACAAGAAAATAAAGAAAAGAATAATAAATGCCAAACAGATCACCCTTGAGACAATTAAATTCTGTCAACAAAACGTTTATCTCAGACTGTAGCGTCAAGACAATAAATGCTAAATCATTGCAAAGAAACAAAATGGAGCTGTGCCAAACTCTGCCTCTGTCCCTACGGTCTTCACTCACAGCTCAAAAAGCCAGTAGTAGAGGTGGTGTTCATCTCTTAAGTAAAAGGTAAGTGAGATTTAATCTCCCAAATCGTTCAAATTCTACGTTGGGGATACCTAATTTTTGCTTGGTATTATCTCAGCTTTAACATATTTTCATCAGTAAGTAAGAAAAAAATCATTAAAATTAAAATCTCTCTCTCTATCGCCATTCTTTCCATCTGTGTGTCTGTGACAGGTCTTTCAACAAAAGATTTAACAAAGATTAACAAAATATATGTTGAGGACCATATTTGTCTATGTTTGTTTTCTTTGCTTTGCTTTATTAATCTTTAGAGGAATCGTTCGAAAAGAATGAGAATCACGAATAGACCTGACACATATTCATATCATTATTAACAGAATGGAAACAAAAGACCAGAGAAAAGTCACATTTAATCCCGATGTAGAACAAGCCTATCTTCTCGATGGTAAATGGAGTTTTCTGAGGTATTTTTGTAATGTTTATCATCGTCTCTTTCGAGATTTTTGGTATGCCTATGTCATCGTCATATCATGCAATTTTTTGTGATTATGAAGTTGACCAAACTTGTTGACCTGGTTTGTGGAATTGTATTAAGCCTCTGTCCTCTCGCTTTATATGTCAATGAAAACAAATAATTTTATGCATGAAGTACATGAACTTATGATGTCATATCTTTGGTAGATACCTTTTAACTCTAAACGAAGAGATAAACCTGCAGATCGTTTGTGACACTCTAGAAGACCGAGGCGTATTAACTCCCTCGGATAAAGACGACGTGCTGCAACAGGGAACATATAAAGACAGAATAGACACGTGCATACAACGGGTCCTTAAATCATGTCCCACCGGATATAACCAATTCTGTGAAGTCCTAAAGGATTGTGGGTACAATCACGTGGTTGAAAACCTGAGAACAGAGAGAGAAGACGCGGACTCAATCAGTAAATGTATGAAAATAAAATATTTCAAACCTATTAATTTTCTAAGAAATGAAGTTCAACTATACTCCTCTGTTCTTATAGTTTACGACAATATTTTCATTCATATTTACAGATACACTGAATTCCGAAGATTTCTATGAAAAAACGGCAAAGGTAAAAGAAAGTTTAAGATTTTGAAATTATAATGGGCAATTTCTGCATAAAATCTAGTATTATTTAACTTCCTCTTTCCACCAACAGGACATTTCTATGCCATGGGATGGTAGTTCGCCTCTAAATACTTCCTACAGTGAACGAGAAGAAAAACTAGCAATTGTTGGTGTGAAAATGTCTTTGTCTACACTTTCTAAAGACACTAAAGCCTCCCAAAGAGAATTCAATACTATCATACAGAGACAGTCTGAACTAGAGAAGCAGCTGGCGGACGTGATGAAAACTTTAGACAGTGCTAAAGACGCACTGATACGTGAGAGGGAGGAGAAGGCGCAACTTCTGCAGCAGCTACGCTTCAAGGACGACGAACTTGTGGACATGCAAAGAAAATACAGAGACTTGCAAAACGCCATGGGGAAATTAAAAGAGACAAACAATCGGTTTCATGAAAGAGTCACCAAGTTACAAATCGAAAACGAGCAGTTACGAAAGTCCGTGAAAGATAATTCAAACCTGCAGATTGACTTGAATGAAAAAAGTCAGCAGATAAATCAATTGAAAAGAACGATCGAGGATCAAGAACTACAAATATCAAACCAGGAACACGTGATCAACAAGAAACTAAGCATGATCGAGCATTTGGCTTCTGGTCATCAGAGGCTAGCCGATGGACAAATTAAATTAGAAGACCTGTTGGTGAAACAGAACGAGGAGATCATGAAACTTGGTTCTGAGAAAGAGAGTGCACATCAGCTGCTAGCACAGCAACAGAAACAGTTGAACACTCAGCAGGCGTCACTGGCTTTATTACAGGAAAATCTAGAGAGACTCGAAATGACTGTGCTCACACAACAAGAGCAGCAGAACGTGCTGGCGATACTACCACCAAGCGATCAAAATTATCGAGGGAAAAAACAACCACCAACTACTAAACCAATGTTGACCAGGCCATTCAATACATCTGGAAAAGTAGAAAATTCTAAAAACTCATACTGGAAAAATCCGAACGGAAACAAAATGAAATGATTTTCAAGTCTCTGTTTTTTTTACTGACGCATGTATCCTTCACATGCTTCATGACATCTATGAATAATTTGTTCTTCCGTTCGTGAAAGATCATTTATACGCTTAAGAGGAACTTGAGAATTGAAGCAGTTTTCGTGTCATCTGTTGGCACTTGCAATGAAAACTTTTAATTTATTACTTCATCCATTTTTTGATGAAGAATGAACAATATTTTTGGAAACTAAAGGGATGATCATTTAGTCGGTCATCACTTAATATAGTTTAAGAGGAAACAACATTGTTTAATCGATTAAATTTTCAAAGTAAATCATTAAAGAGACCTGTCATGAACTTAACATTTCTTTATTTCTAGAAGATCACCCAGTAGCCTTTAACATATGGCATATTTCCAACAGACATGGCGGCCAAAGTCTCACGAGATCACTGAATGATCTTTGTAGATTAATGAAATCAATATGCCATCTCTGTTTGGAAGTCTCCAGACTTAATTCTGTCAGAGCCTCCCAGATATAAAGATATCTTCAGATTTCAAGGGTCACGTGCCAGTTGTACTTGTTAAGGTGGCTTATCCTGGCAATACATGTTAAATGTCTACTTTGATGACTTAGTATTATTGTCCTCTACATCATACTTCAATTATTTTTCCAATACACTATTATATTTCTCCACGAGAACATGGATAATGAAAGGAATATCAATATGACTTTTCATTTGATAAAAAGTCTGATAATAAACGAAGTTTTGATTCATCAAATATCGCATTTAATATCTCGTCGTGGGAAAACTTTTTAAAATTAAAGAATATTAATCAAATCGATTCATTACTTATCTTAATTTCAGGCTTTAAATCAGAGATTATTTTTTAAGATTTAAAGTCCTTACCCAAAATTACTTTGTGTGACCATGATATCTTTAAACTTGAAATTAGTGGAAATTTTCTTGAATAAACACGGTTATGCTTGATCTAGGACAAACAATGGATCCAAATCTTTCTATATATATATATAGTCACTTTGGAAATAAAAAAAGCAAATTTAGAGAATCGTGGTCTTATTGAAATGGAATGATCTATGGCATATTGTAATTGTTTTGTTTATCCATAAAACTAAGAAAGATATATATTTTTTAAATAATATGTTCTGGTAGAAAAGTTAAAACCAAGGTTAAAGTTTTTGAAAGTCAGACTTCGAGGTCTATAGGTCATGAGGTCAAAAATCACAGAACATTCTGAAAGGTATTGTCGCAGGTAATGCACATGTGAAAAATATGAAAGCCCCGTCTGTACTGGTGCAAAAGTTAGGGCCAGGGTTAATTTTTTTTTCAGAGTAGGTCAAAATTGAAGGTTAAGGTCATGAGGTCAAAAATTCTTAATACCTGTCTCCATTACAATTGCCTGTTAAACCCCTAATTTTAATCATATCAACAAAAAAAAAATATAAAGAATAACTGCAGATCTGAGCCCGCTGGTCTGAAAAAAAAATCGGATGGACGACCAGAGAGCTACAGTGCCACCCAATGAAAAAAGTGCATATTTATTGCGCACAAAAAGTGCGCTGTTTCTCGATTTATTTGTATGTTATTTAAGCTGTCATCTACAAATATTACTAATCGTGTGTTTCTAACACATCCTTTACTACTTCCACACCAAAACATTCCCATAATTGGTTAATAGCCCACCTGGGCCTGAAGATTGAGACCATCGAAAATACTGCCAAATTTGGGTGGCAATATAATTCTGTCCAGCGCGCTTCGTGCAGATGTCAACTACAAGAGTAGTTTATAGACGTCTAAGGATTTTTTTTTGAAATCGAGCTTTTGTGCAGTTGAGGTAATTTGGAGAAATAAATCCACAACCGAGCGCAACTTTTTGTGTGCAATAAATATACATTTTTTTTCTAATGGTGTCTATGTAGCTCTCCGGTCTGTCATTTTTTTTCCGGAGAGCTACAGTTCTGAAGCTATGTAAAGAAGAAAGGGAAAAAACTCAATTTTTAAAAAAGAAAAAAAGAAGGATTTTAACGTTATGGTGCCATATACATTTATATGATTTCTTTATGAAAGAATACCCTGATATTTTGATGTCTTCTCAAGAACAAACTGTTAGAGTGGTTTAGCTGTAGTATGAATGTCATTAACAAATAAGTGTTGTCTGGATGATGCAAAGAAGTATGAACTTACAGGGGGAAAAATCATTAAAGCTAGGGGTGGCAATCGAATGCAGAATTGCCATCGGTTGACCACAAGAACGTACGTTCCGACCGATTAACCGGTTAATCGATCAAAATACACATTTCCTTGACATATTTTTCAAGTAACCTCTGTTTCTCTATTCATAAACATAAGCATACTGAAACGAGATGTGTTTGTGAAACACTATGCACCCGATGGTAACACAATTCTGGAGTGGGACGTAGACTACAGTGCAAAAGTTATGGCCAATGTTAACGTTTTTCAAATGTACGTCAAAGGTCACAGTTGAGGTCACATGATCAAAAATTTCTGTACCAATGGAAAGGTCTTGTCATAATGAACACTCATGTCAAATATTAAGGCCTTACCCTTGACAGCGAAATAGTTATGGGCTAGGTTAAAGTTGACAACAGACAGACAAACAGACAGACAGGACAAAAACAATATACCCCCGGGATCTTTCGATCAGGGGGCATAAAAAGACGTTTACAGTATTTTTTGGTGCTTGATCAGAACACTCTTTATATTTCATTTCAATTCCTATAGACAAGAAAAAAATTTAAAAAGCCAAGATGCATGCCTTTTGATAAAATGATGAGAAACGGAAATTCAACAAAAAGAGAAGAATTATCAATAAAATTTCATTATTAAAAATGCATTTGCATTTACAAGTATATGTGAATTGTGGACACCATTTTCAAGTATATACTAAAAACAACAATACATGATGTCAAAATCTGTATCACTCCCCAAAATCGACCAACATCAGCCCTCGGGCTGATATTGGAGTCTCAGAATGATATGGGGTGTGATATAGATTTTACGTGTATTAATCTCTATTTAAAAATAGGTACTCCGATTGAAAAGTACAGAAGGGTTCATGAAAGGTGTAATAAAGATTATGAAATGTGGTGCGTGTTATACACAGCGCGTGCCTGTGTTCATATCAAGGATACAAAAATTGTATATGATATAACAAATATATAATAAATATTGTGTTCGAAAAGTAGTCTAATTATTGTATCGTTATATTAAAACAGTTCAAGTATATCATGCCAAGAAATCCCGTCCATTTTTCCACAGCGATACAGTCAATAAAAGTGTAATTGATGCAAATCACCCATATTCCCCTAACGCTGGCGAGACAATTAACGGCAGCAGATTTGAGGGGGTGGATCCTAAGTTTTCCGTTTTCTTAGTAAAAGAAAAATAAACTTCTACCCCAGGAAGTAGCCTCCTATGCCCTGAAAAAAATAGTTCCTGTCAAAAACCTTTAATTGTTTACAAAATATGTAAAATGCACTAGACACAGGTACCAAAATTGTAAAAATAGACTGGAAGGAAATAAAAAAAAATTCAAAAGGAAAAAATAATTATTTTATATGTATGGAACTACAATTGACTAAGTTCATTTTCATTGGTCAATGAGCGGTATGATACCTTAATAAGGCGCGAGACTTGAGGCCTCCAGACTTCCACAACAACCAAGTTCATCGTGCCCGATGTTAATTTATACTCGGAAAAAACTATTTTGATATGGAAACACCGAAAGATTTGAAAGGCGTCTAATTTTTACTGAACAATTAATTAGTTTACTACAATCTATTTCACTTTCTTTTTCTTCTATTTTACTTTTTTTAACCGCATATGATTTGCATGGAAAATCCCCCCTTCAATAAAAACAAGACGGGAAAGAGGTGCAAAGGCTTCTAAATAATAAGTATTCTAGCTTTAATTTAAAACCAGTAAAACTTAAGATCCTTCCCTCAAAACTGCTGACATTAATTGCCTCGCGCACATCTCCCTGGGGAAAAATCACAGATTAACGCTAATTCCGCTTTTATTGAGTTCGCTCTAAAACTAGAATGCGTACCTTTTCTTGGCATGTCATTGAGGGAGTCAGCTTCGCCCTGTGGAACTAGAATCTTGCTGATTCCCTCAATGATATACTTTAATTCTATATTGAAATATGATAGAGAATTTTGTTATGATTGAGATTTTATTTTGTTAAACCATGGGCATTTTTCTTTTCTAATCTGCCCATCTTCTTTATAGCTTTTGTTGTTGCACAAGTAAAGAACGAGGGCGCTTTTGATTGGCATTCGACAGGAATCTGGGCGCACTTAAAAAGTGAAAATTTCATTGTTCTGTCACATGTAGTTTTAGCATTCTTTTTATGTATCGGGTTCCTGTGAAATAGGAAAGGGAATAATATTTTACCGATATTGTTTTTGATTTGCTAAAAATAATTTGAAAATAGGCTAGATGATTCTTTTGGTACAAAATGTCACATTTTTAAACACGTTTTTCAAAAAAAAAAAAAAAATTGCTATCTATGGGTCATCTCTTCATGATTTTCAAACCTTATTTGTATGCATTCTCATTCAAAGAAACAAACAATCATTTGTAAAAAATGGAGAGAAGACCAAGAGACCATAAAAAATGAACTTTTTCAACAACAAAAAAGTTCAATGTGTAAATGCGGTGCTTCATTGTCGTTTTAAAATCCAAGTTGTATGTGTAGCCATGATAGCTCAGTAGTATGTGTTACCCATCCGCTTACGCGGGTTATGCATTTTTTCTGGAACAGCTGCAACATTAATTCCCATACTAACAACTAAAGACAGCATTTTATTGTTTAAGTTAACCCTATAACTCTGTATTGTAACATCATTGTTCTCCTGAGCCATGACTGAGCAAACTTAATGTAAATCTACAGATGTTTGCCTAGTACATGTACTATGACTCTCTGAGGCCCTGGCTCAGGTGAGCTAAAACAATAGGCCAAACTGCACTACAGCAGATTACGTGTTTCTGCAGATTGGTTTTCCTTATTTTTGGCTTACAACAGGAACGTTTTACACTATCATACCCTGAGTAATGTTTTTCTGGAACTCGCACCTGTGATGTAATTCTCTGCCATATATCAATTTAAAGTTGATATTAAACACAAAAGGCTAATCGCCAGGCCTATTCACATTACAAAGATTTGTTTCATGATAACATCTTGAAATCACAGAGATTGGCTAGTGACTAGGTTATCATCAAAAATTCATTTTAAGCTTAAACCAAGTTAAAAATTCGTCTGTCTTGTCAAAAATTTGAATTAGCCTTCAAATACATGAGGACAGTTTCTAATGCAAAAAAAAAATCGATTACGGATATTGCATATGTATGCACCAGGGTTATTTATTCTTCCTGATTTTCCTTAAACATTGTACAACTTTCATGAAATTATATTGTGAAGAAGCAAAGCACTTCTGGAATTTAATATTACTACTACTCCATAGCCCTTCTTATTTAAACATGGCCTAATCATCAGTAGTGGGACAATAAAACAAAACATTAGTCTTTTTATCATACATCTTATCATTTTTTTGTGCCATCTGAGCCTTCCTTGTATCCTGTTCACACTCCCTGTATTTGATTAGTGTCTCTGCCTTTTTCAGCTCATAAGAGGCAAGAGCTCAAGTCAGCTTATCAAATTTTGTCCATCTTCCATCTTTTTATCTGTGAACATTTCACACTTTTTTTTTACTTTTTCAGTATACCAAGCCAATTTCTACCAAACTTGGCACAATCCTAGGGTTTTTGTATGTTGTTTAACGTCCCTCTCGAGAATTTTTCACTCATATGGAGACGCCACCATTTGCCGGTGGAGAGCTGCAAATTTTGTCCTATACTTGGCGCTTATGGCCATTGAGCAGTGAGGGATCTTTTTTGTGCCAGCACCTACTGCGACACGGGACCTCGGTTAATGAAGGTTTAAATTTGTTCATATGAAAAGCCATACCATTTTTAAGAGGAATTAATTAAGAAATTCAGATGAAAGGAAAAAGGGTATGGTCACTTAAAAACCTACCAGAAAAGACATAACTTCCAGTTCTTATTAATTATAGATTCAAGTTTTTTTCAAATCATGGCCCCTGGGCTGTGCTAGGGTGGAGCCATAACACAAAATCTGAGTTAAACGGAAATACAATGTACAGCAAACAACAGCCCTATGGGCCATAATGCTTGTCAGTGCATTATAATATATACATGTATATACTGAGTATATTTTTGATGCTTTTAAACATGTAAAATGTAAATATAAGGAATGTTTTTAAGTTTAGTATGAATTATTGGTGTGTAAATCACACAGACTTGCACATAGGCATATTTTTCATGAAGCGCTAGCACGCTTCATGAAAAATATGCCTACGTGACAAGTCTGTGTGATTTACACACCAATAATTCATAAAAAAAACTTTTAAACATTCCTTAGATATCATTTATTAAAGATAATGTTAAATCAGGATATTCATCAGAGTGAACAAACTCAAACTGTATACTAGTGTTACTCACTGTGAGGGAGGGGAAGGGATAACTCACAGAGTCAGATTTTGCTAAATTCACACACTCTCAATATGGTTGCAAATCGAAGAAACATTGAGTAATTTATATGTAAAAAGTCATTATACATTCAGTATAAGCATTCAAGGTAAACTTTATATTCACCCAAATTTTAAAAAAAACTCAATTAGGTGCCAAAAAACTAAATCACACAACCTCTGTAGAGTAATTCACAACATAACATACAGATCATTACAATGCTGTTTAATGAAAGGTAGACTACATACGAATACTTTGAAAAACACTGGTAATAAAGAAACTACATGTACATGTATATACTCGGCTTTCATCTTTGAAATATCTCTCAGTCTCTTCTAGATATAAAAAATGGAACTTTTAATATACAAAATATATTTATAAAATGTGCCACTGTGAACATAGGCTTATGTTATGTTGAATGTTTTTCAGTAAACCCTGATAAAATGCAAAATAACACAATAAAATAGCTATACTGAACTGGAGTCATATATAATATGTGCACACACCCTTCATAGCTTCTGCATAAAATGCTTGGCACAAATCTATTTGGAGAAATCACAAGATTTATGACCATTTTACAAATTATTGTTTCATGGTTAAATTTTAACAGACTTTTCTTACACTTAAACATTGATAAACTGAAACATAAGAATATCTTCAACCATATTCTGAATCTGTGTTATATCTAAAACAGTTACCATTATTCATTTGTCCCACCAAGTTAAGGATATCAAAGTTTTGCACTCTGAAGTTTCAAATAAATGGATATTTCCCAAATATCAAGTGCTCTGTTCTGTAAGAATTACAAATGTCTTTAATTCAGGCATTGTGAAAAAAAAACTCCACACAGACATATATCTCCTAAGAGAAAAAGATTTGTACATGCTTTTCTCCTGCTATTGGAAGTTCAACTCCTGGTCGCAGTAAGGGTGTACAGTAAAACACACTTATTGTGAACCCAATGTACATTGTGCGCTCAACGGATGTAAGGAATTATGTTTATAACGAAGCAAAATTGTCCATCCCTGGCACTTTGTTAAAAGCATGTTTTACTGTAATGTGTAAATCATTAAAAATAAACACATTTATCACTTTTCTAAAAAAAGAAACAGAGTTGAGATTTTATATGGAATTGATACATCTTTAGTCTAGCTGACAACATTATCATCTGACTGGTTTAGATACACTCATTGTCTTAAATTTTGCTGCATTTTAGCATACTTGTCTCTCTCCTGAAATAAAAAAGAAAAAAATCAAAACACAGTAAAAGGAAGTTAACGGAAATAAAATTTAACAATTTCAAAGTGAAATAATGCACATCTTGGATCTCTTTTTTAAGGAAGATAACAGAAAAAAATATTTCAAAAACCAAAACACATTTAGTTCCCACCAAATTATTCATTAAATCAGCATCTAAATTACAAAATATATTTTATTATAATATTAAGGATTTAATTCTAAAATTATGTATGGAATTAAAAAAAACTGCACTGCATCCAGATAGCATTAGACAATTGTATCTGAAAGGTTGGTTTAGAAGGCATAATGAACAATTGACAAATAGTGGACTAAGATCTGGATTGTGTTTCAATATTTACCTTTTCCTGGACAGACGGTTTGACACGAACAAATGCTTCATCAAAATGTTCTTTATTGACTGCAACAGGTTGTCTCCCTTCATGGGCACTCTTCATTACAGTTCTTAAGGCACAGATGGATGCTTCCCTCACCAAAGCTGCTAAATCTGCTCCTCTGAAAAAGTACACAGGTTTTTCAGTTCTAATCAAAATGTAAGATAAGTTCCATATATGTTTACAAAGTTTGGAAGTAAAGAGTTTATAAATAAATATAGTATTACACTGCACATCGGCGGTATTGAATGTTCATGTACTTGCTGACAAATTTTCAAAAATGAAAACTTACGTATAACATTCACATTTAGGGTTTTTTGCAATTTCTTCTAAATTCACATCATCTGCCAATAAAGGTCTGGTTCCTCTCTGTTCACATAGATACAAAATTCATCATTATAGTAACATTTCTGCATAAAATGAATATTTTTCAACTCCATAAGACACAAGTGACTCATCATCTTGAAGTACGTAGGACCAAGAGATCAGCGGATCTTTTCACAAAAAATCTTAAGAAAGTCGTAAGTGCAAAATCTGTCATAACTTTACGAGAGCCCCAACCCTCTCTTAAGTATTTTAAAACCGATTTTATTACAGAAATATAACCGCAAAAACCAAAATACACGTTAAATTGAACTTTGTAAAGCAACATACAGGAATATTTTATATTTCTTTCACAATCATTATCGAAAAATTAAATGAAATACACTACAAAATATTTACGATGTAAGTTTAACTTAAGATTTTCGTATGACCTACTTTTACGTCAGACTTGTGATTGTGGCGTCAGATTTTAAACTTTCTTGCTTCACAAACGATTGCATTTGATATTTGTTGTCAATAATGTTTGTTATGCTGACAAAATGTTGAAAGCTAAGTTTTATTTTTATTTTCACCCACTTATTTAAGGATTATAAAGCATATTGAAGTCGTTGCTAGGGATGAAGTCTGTCATAAGTAAAATCGTAAGTTCAATCTGCTGTGAATGCGTTCGTGAAACACACTTAAGATATGTCATAAGAGATTCTTAAATTAAAATCTTACGCAAAAACTTAAGATTTTTTGTGAAAAGGGCAACAGGATTTACATGCAAAAGTTTTCATGAGTCTGGAAATTTCCAGGTTTCTTGATTAGTTTTTAAAAAAGAGGCCCATAGGCCTTAATGGTCACCTGAGTATAATACAACACTGTAAAGGATCCATAGAAGTATAAAATAAAACAAAAACTAATAGATGAAGGTATATTGCCCCAAAATCATGAGAAATACAATGATCAGGGATCAGCAAAATAGTTCTCAGTAACAAATCATAATAAGCAGATCTATTTACTTGCCAGTGCTAATACACTAATGCATTTTCACTATATAAATGATATCAATAGATCCCCAACCACCACCAGAACATCTAACCCAGAGGCCATGAATTTCTCAATCTCAGAAAAGGCACCCTTGCACATCATAAACTTGTAATTAATTTGTCTACTAAATACCTAAAGGCAGAGAAGATTTTTAAAGAATTTATGCATTTTCAATATATGATCAACAGAGCCCCACCCTAACACCAGAAACTGGCCCAGGGGCCATGAATTTCACAATTTTGGAAGAGGCACTCTTGCTCATCATAACCATGATGTGCACTTAGATTGTTTGATAAATACCCAGGGGCAGAGTAGACTTTGCTTAAAAGACAGGAGCAGAAAAAACATTTTCATAGAAAAAATGAATTTTTACTATATGATCAACAGAGTTCCACCATAACACAGAAACCCTGACCCAGGGGCCATGAAGTTCACAATTTTGGAAGAGGCATATCCATGCACTTAGTTTATCTGCAAAATACCAAGGAAAAGAGTAGAAGATTTTTAAAGAATTTATGCATTTTTACTATGTGATCAACAGAGCCCTGCCCTAACACCAGAAACCCTGACCCAGGGGCCATGAATTTCACTACTGTGGAATCATTTTAATTTGTGGGGGTCAATGTTGGTGGGCAAGCAAAATTTTACTTGTTTTGGGTTTTTTTCTCAAGCAATATATCCACAAATCAAACTTTGATCATGTCTTATTAAAACTGAAATACTAGTTCATGAGGAATATGTTACCTTGGTGATTGTTTTCAGTATATCTTCCCTGTCGTCTGCTGAAGGTAATCCCACAAAAAGAATTTTGTCTAGCCGACCAGGTCTAAGTATGGCCGGATCTATGATGTCTGTTTTAAAGAGATTTGATAGCTTTATATTAGGGATGTCAATTTTATTCGGACAGCTTAGTCGAATAGTCGGAGGCTTTAGTCGAACGATAGTCGAATATTAGTTGAAATTTAAATTAATGTTTCATGTCATTTTAATATTTGTCTTTTATAGACTAGTTGTACAATATTTATACTATGCTATCAACATTATACAACGAATCTCTGAATCGCAAACATTTACGTTGTACAATAAATACATCTACATGTATCCACTGTATTTGATTTACTTCACATTTTATCTAAATGCAGAATATCAAACACTGGCATTTGTCCTTTTTTTTCATAAGGCTGGTACATGTACCCGTTACTTGAAGTCATTTGTACGTGTTTTGTTAGTGATCTATAGCTATGACTGGTAAACAATTAAAGCGTGTCTCTTATAAAAACAGAGAGAGCTTGCGATAAATTTTAATTATGAGATTTTGTGCAAATTATCAATACAATCTTAAAAAGACTGCATGATATTAATATCAGAGAGAAACACCATTTAATTATGCTAACTGTCCTCCAGTTAACATGTATTTACAATTTTGTAAAAGCTGTTTAATTATTCTTTATGAATATTGCATTACGTCAAATCTTATGGAATTGCAGGTTGAAACTTTATTATTTAAATCAAAACCAAATAATTCTTGAATGTCCTCTCCATTTACAACAATAAGAGGTAGACATTCCTTGATAATCATGTTTGTGTTAGCAACATTTTCCTTTCCGGCTCTGCTTTTTTGTCAATTTTGCGGAGAAGTTACTAGGAAAGTTTTACTTTTAAGACTATATGTTTGACGGATTCGGCATACGATACATAATATTTGATGTTCCACTGCAGAATACAAGTTCAGTTTCACAGAAACTTGATAACTTACTTTTCACTGTTTTTCCATCCTAACATCATATAAAGTATGCCAAAAACTGTAGATTTTGGAGGCATGTTTGCTGAACATAAATCGACATATACATAATTTCCTTTGAACAGTTAAACCTTATCCCGAGTTTTACTTATGATCTTGATCTGTAAATAAATGAAATGGGCGGATCCAAGTTCATTACCTTGAATTTAAAATTACTATTAGCTAACACATTTTTAACGAATAACCGACTGAAAAAATTTTAGTCGATAGTCAGTACGATCGAACGATAGTCGAGTACTCGAATATTCGTTGACATCCCTACTTTATATACAGCCTATTATTCAGCATACACAGGAAACCACAGTGTCTGTGAAGTCTGACTTAAAAATTTTTGTCAGATAGATATCAAAATGTCTACATTTATAGTATTTCTTGTATATTGCTTTTTTGGTTTATTTTCATTTAATCACTAAATACTTTGTATTAGGAAACTGTTGTAAATTTTGCCATTATAGAAAAACAGAATATTGATCAAAAAGAAAATATCCTAAAATTTGGCTATATAGTTAACCTGGTCTGTTGGTGGCCCCCATAATAAACACTTGCTTTCTCTCCTCCAGTCCGTCCATTTCTGTCAGAAGCTGGTTCACCACACGAACACTGGAGCCACTCTACAATAAACAGTAACAACAAACTAAAAACACTGTACCTAAACGTCATAACTGACAAAATAAAATTATACTGGACACACACATCACAACAAAGAACTATGTCTAACCTACACTGGATAATAACTGAGCCATGCTACAACACTGAACTTTATCTATCCTTTATGAATTGTAGTAACAATTTAAAATAACACTGGACCGAAACTACAACATAGAGTACTGGTAATACAAAGTACTTTTCAACTCAAAGTAAGAAAATCTTTTTTTTTAATTTAAAAAAAAAAAAAGAAGATGTGTTTATGAAACACTGATACCCTATATGGCATCTCATGGCCATGCAAGGTTGATGTTTTTTCAAAAGTAGGTTAAACTCCGGGGTGAAGGTCATGAGGTCAAAAATGTTGGTACCGGAAGAAAGGTCTCATCACAAGGAACATGAAATATGAAAACCCTTGCGCCAACCTCTCAAAGGTTATGGCCACGGTTAAGTTTTACAAAAGAAGGTGAAACTCCAAGGTCATGTGATCAAAAATATTGGTACCAAAGAAAGGTCTTGTCATTAAGAATATACATGTGAAATGTGAAAGCCCTTGCACCAACCATCCAAAAGTTATGGCAAAGGTTTAAGTTTTTAAGGACAAAGAGACAGATCAAAAACTATATGCCACCCCCCCCCCCCCCCCCCCATCTCCAGTTACACAGGCATAAAAAATATACAGATAAATGTGATCTTTTATTAATAATGTTATGCTTCAGAAATAAAAAAAAAAAATAGTCCTGCCATTTCCTGCTAAATACTAACTGTACTCTGCTTTTAACAAAAATGCATTACATTTTTTATTCTCAGAGAAATGAGAAAAAACTTCAGCATTTGGAATTTAATTTTTCTATCCAATTCTCATACATTTCATTTACAGCATATCACTGTAAAAAACAAAACTTAAAGAAAAGAGTTTGCAGTTTAGTACAAGTTACCTCCCCTCCATCAGAACGTTTAGGGCAGAGGGCATCCAATTCATCAAAGAAGATGACACAAGGTGCTGAGTTCCTGGCCCTCTGAAAAACCTGTCTGACAGCTCGCTCACTTTCACCTACATACTGAAAGGGAGACAACTCTTGACATCAAAATAAATCTCTGCCTTTAAGATGCAAAGTTAACACGTACGAGATGTTCTGTTGCAATGTTACTATGCCACATAATAAATTACAGAAAAACTTCATTATAAAGAACTCAGTTATAAGGAAATCTCAATTATAAGGAATTTTTTATGAATCCCCTAGGTGACTTTTTACTAATGATCCTTATACGGATATAAAGAATCTCAGCTACAAGGAATTTAAATTTGAGGTCCCAGTGACTTTCTGATAACCAAGTTTTACTGTACATGTCAATTTCAAACAATTTTTTCTGTTCAATTCTATTATGTTTTCAAGAAGCCCTGTGGTTTAGAACCATAGCATGGGATAATTTCATTAGGAATTCAATCCAAAAGTTTTAATTTTTCATTTACAATTTTACACTAACATTCCCTTAATGACTTTATTTCTTTAAATCATGTATGATTTAAAACTTATGGTGCAGAGACCATTATATATCCAATATCTTTTTTCACCTGATACTGATAATGAGCAAAAAATATGTATCAATATAAAAGATAAAACTTACCATATTCAGAAGTTCAGGTCCTTTCACAGAAATAAAATTTATTCCTGATTCATTTGCTACAGCCTGAAAATAAGCAATGCATTGATCTATCTGCAGGTAATCTACATCAATTACAGTTACATATTTTATCTATTAAACAGAACTAAGATTCATTTAAATAAGACTGTACTTTATATTACTTTTTATTACATTTTCAACAGTGAAATACTGTAATTTATTTATTGAATAAAAGTGATATTCTCTCACAGTGTGAAAAGATATCAAAATGGTATTCTCCCAGTGTGAGAGAATATCAGAAGTGCAGCAAAACTCTCGATTTTCCTTCCCTTCAAGAAGAATGTTGTAAAAAAAAAAATCCCTGGCCTGTAATTAGTGAGAATAAATAAACCACCCTGACAGAGACTACTACTGCCAAAATTTCTCCAAATATGTTGGTAAAAATCCATGTTTACAATATTTTTCAGTCTTGCAATCACTTAGCTATGACGTCTCAACTGCTCAACTATGATGTCGCAGCCTATGACACTGTGTTACAAAAAGACAGAGGCAAAGGGAAAATCAAAGAAAATGTAATAAACAGAAAATTCAATGTTTTGTAGTTGAATATGGAATTTACTTCACTCATGAGACAGGATTTTTTTTTATATTTTCACTCATGCTTCGTACTCATGAAAATATAAAAAAAAATCCTGTTCCACCTGTGAAATTAATTCCAGATTCAACTACAAAACATTGAATATTCTCTATTTATTAGCTTTATTCTCCTAAAATGATTTGATGTTTCCTGTTTGACATACTTTGGCCAACATAGTCTTGCCACAGCCTGGGGGTCCTGACAGTAAAATTCCCTGAGCACGGTTAATTCCCAGACTTTTGAATTGGTCAGCATACCGAACAGGTGCCTGATAATAAAGAGGCAATGCCAACAAACACAGAGCTTTAAGTGAAAAAAAAAATGAAAATACAAAAAAATCATGTGAAATCATTACTCTATGGCTTAAATCAAATTAAATTACTACATGTAATAAAGCATTTTCGAAACACATTGTTTTAATTTTTTCAAACGAAATACATCAGTATTATCATTAGGGATAGAAACCCATTTCACTGGACTTTGGTGACACATAGTATACTTGTATATTAACATACACTGTGAGTTACTTGGTTACCACAGTTGAGCTAGGTGCCTATGTTATTTTACACACTTCAAGATTTATTTAAAAACAGTAATAAAAGAATATGAGGTTATTTACGAGAATGGCCAGTTCTAAATCTTCTCGGACTTCTTTCAGAGCTCCAATATCATCCCATGTTACATCAGGAATTGTAGCAAATCCTTCTCTCTTAGCAGATGGCTGAACATGTTTAATGGCCTCCTAAAGTAAGGATAAGGAATGTCAATCAATGGTCTGTTCGTAATAAAATTTCATAAACAATTAAGTCATATTCAGTCAACCTTATGATAAAATATACATAAATACCTCAAAGTCTTGCATGGTTATAGACATTCCCTGGAGTTGTTCACCTGTCAGGGGAGGTTGATTCTTCAGTAGGTGTAACACTGAAAAAATAAATGACACGTCTCCATTGTAACAGAATTTGTATGCCCAACTGAATTTTTCTCTTAAAATGATTTCCATACGTACAGTATTCTAGTTGAGGATCCTCTCCTTTGTGAATGTCCTTTATGTTTGACTGCACATTTCTGTGTTGAGTTTCTGAGGTTTGTGATGTAGAGAGAATCTGTGAACAGTCCTCTGAGTTCTCTCCCTTGTCAACACTACCTGAGTTACTATCCTTACTATTAACCAAAGTCTCCCTACTGTCTTTTACACTTTCACTATCATTGTCTTTTTCAGGCACAGACAAATCTTTAATATTCTCTAACATTTCTTTGTGACTAATTTTGGTGGAATCTGACTTAGTAGTGTCTTTTTTATTACAGATTTCTGGTTGATCTGAAGATTTGGTTTCTGGTTCACTGGTCTTCCTTGACTGGTTTTCTGGTAACTCTTTTTCAGTACTAGAGTTACAGGAGACTTCTTGATCACACATCTGTCTTAGATGGCTTGGGTGGGACTGCAGATTTTTAAAGACTCTTAAAAAAAAAATTTAAATTATTTTGTTATTCAGTAAAATGTGTTTAACAATCGCTGTTACAAGAAAGATGTTAAAGATTTTATCACCAGTTTGTATCTACTGTGTTGATTTCAGATTCTGATATTTAAGAGATCATGTTTTTTCTTTATATTTTTATCATAATGAACAATTATGTGGTCCTTAAACAATGTGTAGACCAGCCCCAAAGACAGCAAACAAGCTATCATAAACAGTGTTAGTTCAACAATCTTAAAAAGTATTACATGTACATCCAATACAAAATGCCTATGCATCAGAATCATAACAAAGAAACTTCAGGATTTTTTCTTTCTTTATGAGACAAAAAGTGATACATCCTCCTCACAATGGCATTCTAAAAGTCCTTTTGATGAACACATGTAAATCAGCATTTACTTACCTATTAACAGCTAACATGGCAGCTTCCCTAGTTAATGCTGTTAGGTCAGCCCCTACATAACCTGGGGTATTCTTGGCAATACTTTCAAGGTTAAAGTCTGGGCTCAGGGTCAAATTACGACACAGTACTTGTAAGATTCTACAATCAAAGGATAAATGAGCTAAACTTGAGGAGCTTTTTACTTCAAAAAGAATACATTTCATCAAGTAAAATACAGTCGAACCTTGTCATTTCGAACTTGAGTGGACTAAGAAAAAAACTTCAAGATATCTGAGGATTCAAGATATCAAAGGTAAAATACTTAAAAAGTAAGTGGTTGGGACTTGCAAATCACTTGACATATCCATGGTATTTGAGACATCAGTGTTCGAGATACAAAAGTTCAACTATATTATAGTTTAACAAATTCTAATCATGATTGACTATCACTTTTTATGAATGAAGTCAAACCTTACCTTCCTCTGGCTTTTTCATCTGGAATTCCCAAACAGATTTCTTTATCAAACCGTCCGGCTCTACGTAGAGCTGGATCCAGAGAATCCGGACGGTTTGTTGATCCAATAACCAGCACATGTGCATCTTCTTTCTTGTTCAAATCTGAATTCATCATGATTATTATTTTAGAAATTAAATCAGTGGAACGTAATGATCTATAAACTAAACATAAGCACCCTGAATGTATTGGGGTCACTCACCATCCATGCAGGAGAGGAGTTGGGCCACAATACGTCTCTCCATGTCTTTTGAGGCAGTCTCTCTTTTCGGAGTGATAGCATCGATCTCATCAATGAACAGAACACAAGGTGCTGCTACCTGGAAAACATTGTGAACTACATCAATGAACAGAACACAAGGTGCTACTACCTGGAAAACATTGTAAATATACATGATGAAGCTTTTTACACAATCAATCATTTATATATCTTCAAAAGTCAGGTATCATGTAATGAAATTCAATCTGGTAAAAAGAAGTTGGAAAGTTCTTTTCTTTCCTTGTAAATTTTCTCAATAGCAATTGAATCAATTCTCAACATTTTGTATGAATCTGTTTAAAAATTTTATTGGTAACAAATTTATACTCAACATTGAAACCTTTTTATCCCAATTTGTGTTTTTCTTTTATTATGTTCCTCTGAATTAAATTTTCAGTTAAACAATTTCAGTATCAATGTACAAAATATGTATGTAATTTACAAGTATATACATGTATGTATGTAATTTACTAGTATATATGAATATAAATGTATCCTGTTCACAATAAATGTGTGTTTAAATTTACTTTTTGCTTAAATACATAAAAGTAGTTATACAAAAGAAGTTTTACAATTACAGAATTGAAAAAAAAGGCAAACAGAACCCAAGCTGTTACAGCTTGACTCAGCTATGCTAAATGTAGCCAAGCTCAAACATAGTGCTAAAACACTATGAAATATCGAACAAGCTAACTTGACATATTAATTAACTAATAATTGATGATTAATGGTTTACAAAAGAAACATATTCATTTTGATTCAGGTACTAATTACTTCATTACCTATATCAAAGTGAACATGATTGAACATCAAAGTAACTAATAATTGATGCATGGAACTGTAATTATAACCAATCAAATTTCAATAAATTATTAAATCTACCAATGAAAATATGCTTAGAGCAATTTAATGAATCCATCCAATGAAATCACACAGCACAGTAATGGTGTTATTGAAAGCTAATATAATGGATGATTTTCTGAATTCCTCATCAAAAGTGAAATCAACAACAAGCTGATATCAGAAAAGCTTTCTTTGCATCTTAGTGCTTTATCTACTTTTGTTTTCTAGTTACAGATATGGCTGGTATGACAGACTCTCAGGTGGTTCAGTATGCTACAGAGTTAAGGGATCTTCTCGTCTCTCATGAGAAGGCCAACTCACAGATAACTGCTCTAGGTAGGAATTTTACATTAGAAAACTCATTATCTGTTTAATTGACAGAATTAGAATGTCTAGCATTTTAATTTACCTGTTTTTGCAGTTTCAATTTTCTTTTTTAAAAGTAAATATTCAAATTGTCACATTTTTTCACACATTTCTCACACATTTTGTAAAATTCTTGTTTTATAATGAAAATCAATTCCTTTTTTTAATTTACAGAGTCCTACATCCAGCACCAGAGCCAACAGACCCTCAGATCCACACTACAAGATTCAAAGACCATGGCGTTCCATCATCTAACCAAGAAGTCTGTGGCCAACGGCATCAAAAGGGTCTACCAGCAAGTCTCAACCAACAAGTGGAAGAAGGTCACAGAGTTATCTGCCCATGTCATCCAACAGCTTGACCAACAGTCAGAACTTCCCACCTCCACCACTAGTGCAGGAAGGTCAACAGAGATGGACGAGATGGCTCCCCTCACCACCGAGAGTTTCTGCCAGCTGTACAGGAGTGCTTGAAGATGTAGTGATTTGTGATGTGTGTTCTATACTGCAGTGCCTAGACTGATTTGCCTGATTTTGGTGTTGGTGCTTCAAAATAATGTGCTGTTTTCTTTATTTCTATTATAGTGCTACAAGTTTATGATTACTGGAATATGTTATACATGTATTAATCATTGCATACTATATATGATTCTAAAATAAACATTATATGAAAAAATACGCATTTCTTTTTTTTTGTAGGAAAAAATTGAAGAGGCACAATATAAAATTGTAAAAACTGTAGTTTATTCCAAGTCTATTTAAAAGATAAATGTTGATGTGTGTCAGGTCAACTTAGCATGAAACAAGTTACAGGTGCTAAATCAAAATGCTCTATTTGTGACACGCCCTTCAGTGGTGCCTCAGAAATATTCATCTTTTAGAACCTATGGTTTAGATATATAAATTCCTGTCGACTACTATCAATTAAAACATGATGTTCAAGCTTAGTTAATCCAACTGGGGGAAAATAATACGAGTATAATGTAAATGCAATGTTTTCTCCACAAAATCAACAATGAATGATAAATTTTCATATCCATGAGTTGTCCAATATTATTTGTTGATGAGCTGTCTTTATACTAGATGTCATGGACCTGGAGTTTACATTTGATATGTAATTCCTTACCAAACACACACACACTCACTTTCTTTATCACAAAACTATCACAAATTACCCAATATGGGTGAGAATAAACAATCCTGAGGCCTGAAACTTTGACCCTCAGAATTTCAAAATGTTAGCATGGCCCCCTGCTTATCATTATCATACAAACAATTTGTCTAGTATAAAGACAGATGATAGTGTGAATAAGCATTTTCGTTTACATTTATGATGAACTCTCTGGTTCAACCAAGAATAAACTTGAACCTTTACTACCTAAGGATGCATGCTTGCATTTAATGACTTTTCATGGCCACATTGTACAATAAATCATGATGTTAAATACACCCCTTATTGTGGTTGCACCCTGTCATTTGGGGTCATGATTTGAACAAACTTGAATTTTCACCATTTGATGATGCTTGCATGACTGATAAGGGCTTTGCTCTTCTTGAATTTGTTATTAAATATCCCAATGTAAAACTTTGATCCTTTGTTGAAACTTTTCTTCATTATCACCCTAAAAAAGGGGAAATCTTCTTCATTTGAAAAATTAAAACCCCATTACCTAAGGTTACTCTGTGCCAAGTTTGGTTGAAATTACCTAAGTGGTTCTGCAGCAGAAGATGGATATTGCAAATATTATGTGTATTAAGGATCATGCTTTATGCCAAAAAATTGGAGGGCATGCAATGAAGCAAATCTATAATACAAACAGAACATATTTATGACAACATATCTCGAGAATTTGATCACTGACCTAGCTAGCTCATATAATAATACCAGTAGAACAAGTAATACAAGTACACTGAGGCTATAAATAGTTTAAAGTTATTACAGTATCATTCCATCTATATTCCAACTTCAGGAGATTTATTCTTACATCATTTACACAACCTACATGTAACTGTTTGATTTTAAAAAATGGATTTTTATATCTTTAATAACTGGCATTACAGTTCTTGGGAAAAAAAATAATTAAAAAAAAATATTTACCATCTACTATGGCATGTCAAACGTTGCAATATTCGATCTTTTCCATTTGCAAATGGAAAATTATTGAATACAAATAAAAATTATACAATACAAATAAAAATTATACAATACAAATGGAAAATTATACAATACAAATGAAAAATTATATATGTACAATACAAATGAAAAATTATACATGTGCAATACAAATGAAAAATTATACAATAAAAATGGAAAAGGTCGAATATTGCAATGTTTGACATGCCATATTCTACAAGAAACAATTTAACATAATCATTTTAAACACAAATATATATAATTAATGAGAAATACATGAATGTTTGATTGAACCACAAAAGAAACATAGAAGAATATATTGTACATTTAAAATCATTATTTCTGGATAACTTTCGGTATTTCAAATGGAAAATACATATATTTCAAAAAGATTCTGTTGTACTTTGTCATTTTCATAGTCAGCCAAGTCATGAACATTGGTGCCCTTATTTGATGTGAGGAACTTTATCACCCAAGCAAAAAGGAAATTTCTAATCCAAAGATTAATTGATTGTGTCTACTACTCCTACTAAGAGGAAAACTATGTAAAATACCTTAAAGAACGTGCTCAAAACATCACATTATAAAATTGCTGTACTAATTTCAAAAAATGCTCTTTGTATGAATTCTCTAAGGAGACTGTAGCTCTACTCTTGTGTACTTATAATAAAGAAAATATATCTTAGTAGATTTTGCTTGTGTAACGCGCCTTATCAGACCAAAATTGCGGGAGGACTAGCGTTTTTAAAGATATTTGAAGAAATTTCTAATTTTAGTACCTTGGCAACACTGTTTGTCAGAATCAAAAGAATAATGAATCGTAGTAGAGTTTACTTGTGTTCCAAGTCTTACTGAAATGGGATAAAAACTGTAAGAGGAGGAGCATTTAAAAGAATTTCAAAGAAATTTTTATTCGTAGTAACCATGGTTACACCATTAAGTTTGTGAAATTAAAAACCAATAAAGAGAATTATGTATCTTGGTATTGTCTACTTGGGTACCAAGTCTTACTGAATTTGGTCCGAAACTGTCTAGACCAATCAGAGAGGAATTTTCAGATCTTATATATTCTCTATAAACCTTTGATCCCTTACTGTGCCCCCCCCCCCATCCCCAGGGATACCAATTTGAACAAACTTTGAATCTGCATTACCTGAGGATGCTTCCAAATTAATATGACTAATTATGGACCTGCTGTTCTTGAGGAGAAGATTTAAAGAAATTTCTTCCTATATATTTCCATGTAAACAATTTGAATCCTCCCTGTGGGCCCACCCTATTCCCTGGGGTCATGATTTGAACAAACTTGAATCTACGCTACCTAAGTTCTAGTTGATGTCTATGTGAATTCCCTTAAAATCATTTACACAATGTTTCATGCATATGTATGATCATTCTTTAAAATGTAATAGAGCCAACTTTTAGGTTAATTTTAGAACCCTCTCTACACTGCACACTAAAGAGTTTCCATTCTGTGGTATTTTTCTGCAGTTAGAGTGATCCGCCCTTAGATCTAAATTCAAATAAATTGAAATCTACAGTGTATTTCTCAATTTGTAATCAATTCAAGCATTCTTAACATTTTAAAAGGCCAAAATAAACTAACTGAACACTTCTTTTTTATACATTTTATCCACTGAAGTAAATAACATTGATTTCATCAATACTTCTTTGAACATTTTTCCTGGGGGTAAATGCCACGTACCATATATTGAAAATCACAAAGATAAGCTCAAAATTTACACTTATATACAATATAATTTTCTCAATGTCCCAAAATAATTTTTGCACTGGGGTATAGAGGGTCCTTAAACTTTTTAATTTAACATATTTTAGTACATGAAAGTTTTACATGTACATTTCAATACACACCAGTCTTATACTTGATATACATTTTCAAACTGGTCGTTAATAAAGGGTATTGTGATGTCACCTTTATCAAACAGTATGGAATCAGTGTATTTACTACTAATATATGATATACTAATATATGATACCTCAAGATAATTCCAATTTTTAACAATTATTATATTACTCTTGTCAGCCATATTTCCCTCTCATTAATATCTATGAAAAATATGTCAACATTAAGTTATTTGAGATTATTAGTAACCTATTAGTTTCCTCTGATTTCCATTTTCTAAATTTTTTTTCTTCAATGTGCAGACCTCTTTTTTCCAGATTTAACATTAATTTAAAATTCCTTTATTGTGCATAAGAAAAATCCTTCAAGATAAGAATTGTTGTGAATTCTAACACAGTTTAATGAAAAATTGTTTTCATTTCTTATGTCAAAAGATATAATTATTTAGGTATCATGGTCACTCATCAAACTTCATGCTCATTTGTTAGTCAAAGGCTTTACATAAACTTTAAAATTTCATTAGGAAACACAAGTAAAAATTGTGTGTATTAATTTTATATGTCAATAAAAACAATCAATAAAAAATTCCAATCTCAAAAAAATTAATCCTTGATCCCCGTTAATGTATTTCCTTGCAATTTTTGAGGTAGAAGATGACAAAAAGCATATCAATTTACACTGAAAATATATATCTTGTTTTTTTTTTTTCAGTTAATCTTTAGCCCATTTACTTGGTATTCTGTATATTTATCTGTTGCAATAATAAATGGGGGGAAAATGAAAACTGAATGCCAGAGCAAATAGGTCAATCCAATCCTTTTTGAAGCACAGCATGACTTCGTAATTTTTCAGGACTGAAAATATCATTTATATACTCAGAGAAAAAGTTCTTACTACCTTAAAGAAAACTAGAGTTCTATAAATCTTACATATCGACAGACATGACATCTTCCCTTATCTGGACAATGATAAAAAGACTTCATCCTAAAAGCAGTTTTTTTTTCTCATTAGTTTGACTGACACTCACCGATCTTGTCCCAAAATTCACATATTACTAAAATGATCTATACAAATTGAAGCAACACATCAAATTAGGGGGAAAGGGTAAAAATCTCACTTTAATAATACTGTTTACCCTATACATTTATATTCCTTAATTTAAATATGTAGAGCCCATCTGTAGCCCATAATCGCATATTTTTACTGGATATAATGAAGAATAGAATGATAAAAAAAAAATGAATCTACAAAAGATGGTAATTAATTCTATTTTAATTTGACTATAACTGTAACATAAGTATTATTATTATTTTGTCAAATATTCTTTCATTAACAAGAATCAGGTTAAGGTATAACTTTTAATTATATAATGTAAAACATCCAGTTTTAAATTTGTAGAATTGTAATGAATAACTAAGACAACAGTTGATAATCCAAGCTGTTAGATTAACAGTGTACCAAAGCTATATCAGCTTACATACAGGAAAGCTGATGTAAAATGGTGATCCATACAAGCTGGAGAGGATAATTATCCAATAATCAATTATCATTGGCTTACAAAAGTAAAACAAATTCACCTTCATCCAAGTAATAATTACTTCATTATCTTTATCAAAGTGAACAAGATTGAACATCAAAGGATCAATAATTGAAGAAATGTACAGTAATCCTTACTTGAGTGACTTCTCAATTAAAAAGATCAAATAACTAAAAATAATTTAAAGCCAATTACCAAATCCAGCCAATGAAATCCAACCATCTAGTTCAGTTTTTCTGCTCAAACAATAAATAGAAAGGTTTTCAGAATTTTTCATCAAACTGAGATAAAACAACAAGCTGCTCAAAGAAACCTCTGTCACCACTAGGTGCTTACATATTCCAGATTCATTGTCTTTATCTATCTTGTTCTCTAGTTACAGATATGGCTGGTATGACAGATTCTCAGGTTATACAGTATGCTACACAGATGAGGGATCTACTCATCTCCCATGAAAAGGCCAACTCACAGATAGCTGCTCTAGGTAGGAATTGTATCTTATTACCATTAAATAAAATTCTAAAAATGTTCCAAGTTTTACAAATTACATTAAAAGACATAGTGCATTAAACTTATTTTCTTTTATTTCTATTTTTTCTCTTTTAAATTTTGATTGCAAATCTTCAATGAACACGATATGGGCATGTATTTGTGCTATACTGACTGATGTTTTTTTTGTTACTTTACAGAGTCCTACATCCAGCGCCAGAGCCAACAGACCCTCAGATCCACACTACAAGATTCAAAGACCATGACATTCCATCATCTAACCAAGAAGTCTGTGGCCAACGGCATCAAAAGGGTCTACCAACAAGTCTCAACCAACAAGTGGAAGAAGGTCACAGACTTATCTGCCCTTGTCATCCAACAGCTTGACCAACAGCCAGAACTTCCCACCTCCACCACTAGTGCAGGAAGGTCAGCAGAGATGGACGAGATGGCTCCCCTCACCACCCAGAGTTTCTGCCAGCTGTACAGGAGTGCTTGAAGATGTAGTGATTTGTGATGTGTGTTGATGAAGTGCTCAAGCGGAAGATGTACAGGAGTGATTTTGTGATGTGTGTCTTGTGTTGAAAGTGCTCAAGATATTTATATAAATATTGTTGATGATATGATAAACAATATCTTTTACCAATAGGTGCTTTATAAAAGAATTAGTGCTAGAATCCTACTTTTAAGTTCCTGTGTCAATTTCTTCTATGGCTTGTACAATGGTCTCACACAGGAGTTTTATTACATACTTGTGCTATTTTATTATACTTATCTGAATAAAATGTTTTATTTTTTAAACTTCTTTTATTTTCATTACAGAATAGGTCAAAATGATACATGGAGAACGCATTGAAAGTTTATCAAATTGTAAAAATTCAACCATCATCCTTTGTGAGGAGTACATCTGTTTGATATGGATAATGGGACACTGATATCCCATCCTGGATATGATCAAAATCTTGAAATTTTATTGGTGGAGAGGAATACTGTGTCAGACAATATATGTTACGTACTGACCTTATACTATATACAATAGTTAATACCCCCCTCCATGTGACCTAGCTATTGACCAGATATCAATTTAATTTGCCTCCTACACATGACAATCTGACTAGATACATGTATTTATAACATATACTGTTTCCATGTTATTCTTTAAGATTCATTGATAATCTGATAAGAAAGACAACTCTATCTGGAATAAATGTCTGTTATTCCTTTATGAAATTGTCAAGTTAACAGGCCATTTCTGTTAAATTTTGCCCCACTAAGTATGCTAAAATTTTGTGCATTTTAATTTTGAATTAGATTTCTTTTGGAGATCAAAAGCCTTAAGGAAACCTCTTATATGAATGAGCAGAGGGATGACGACCCTTTAAAGAGCCTCATAATTGACATTTAATCTGACAAGACAGATTTTATTCATTGGCTAAAGAAATAGTTTGGGCAAGCTTCGTCAAGTAAAAATGAACCCCTTCAGCAGGATAAATTTATTGTATAGAGACTAGGGTAATACAAAAAAATATGGTATTCTTGGGGGGAAAAAACAACATATTTTTACACCATGCCCAATAAGAATGTTTTCAAGGGCCCCATATATTTCTGTAGTACTTCTAAGAGCTAGTTTACATAACTGACACTACAGTATACATATGTGTATTTCGCTTTACTCTAATGATTTTCTCCATACCACCAGGTAAATTGTCACATTTATATATTGACCAGATAAATTGTCATATTTATATATTGACAATCATAACTTATTCCTCTACCCTAAATACAGTGAAATCACTAATTTCACTAGTAAAATGATCTAATGGAAGCAACACATGAAATTAGGGGGGAAAAGTCAAAATCTGAATTAAAAAACCTTGTTTACTCTTTCTAAAATTATATTATATCATTCAAATATGTAGATCTGATCTATAGTCCATAATTGCATATTATTAAACGGGCATACTAAAGAATAGAGTGATAGAAAAAATGAATCTACAAAAGATGGAAATTATCCTATTTTAATTTGAATATAACTGTAACATAAGTGTTATTATTTTATCAAATACTTTTTCATTAACAAGAATCAGGTTAAGGGTATAATTTATGTTTATATAATGTATATCATCCAGTTTTAAATTTGTAGAATTGTAATGAATAATAAGGACAACAGCTGATGATCCAAGCTGATAGATTAACAGTGTACCAAACCTGTATCAGCTTACAAACAGGAAAGCTTAGCTGTAAAATGGTGATCCATACAAGCTGGAGAGGATAATTATCCAATAATTAATTATCAGTGGCTTACAAAAGTAAAACAAATTCACTTTCATCCAGGTAATAATTACTTCATTATCTATATCAAAGTGAACAAGATTGAACATCAAAGGATCAATAATTGAAGAAATGTACAGTAATCCTTACTTGAGTGACTTCTCAATTAAAAAGATCAAATAACTGAAAATAATTTAAAACCAATTACCAAATCCAGCCAATGAAATCCAACCATCTAGTTCAGTTTTTCTGCTCAAACAATAAATAGAAAGGTTTTCAGAATTTTTCATCAAACTGAGATAAAACAAGAAGCTGCTCAAAGAAACTTCTGTCACCACTAGGTGCTTACATATTCCAGATTCATTGTCTTTATCTATCTTGTTCTCTAGTTACAGATATGGCTGGTATGACAGATTCTCAGGTTATACAGTATGCTACACAGATGAGGGATCTACTCATCTCCCATGAGAAGGCCAACTCACAGATAGCTGCTTTAGGTAGGAATTTTATCTTATTACCATTAAATAAAATTTTAAAAATGTTCCAAGTTTTACAAATTATAATAAAAGCACATAGAGCATTAAACTTATATTCCTTTATTTCTATTTTTTCTCTTTAAAGTATTCATAGCAATTCTTCAATGAACACCTTATGGACATGCATGCATTTGTGCTATACTGACTGATGTTCCTTTGTTAATTACAGAGTCCTACATCCAGCGCCAGAGCCAACAGACCCTCAGATCCACACTACAAGATTCATAGACCATGACATTCCATCATCTAACCAAGAAGTCTGTGGCCAACGGCATCAAAAGGGTCTACCAACAAGTCTCAACCAACAAGTGGAAGAAGGTCACAGACTTATCTGCCCTTGTCATCCAACAGCTTGACCAACAGCCAGAACTTCCCACCTCCACCACTAGTGCAGGAAGGTCAACAGAGATGGACGAGATGGCTCCCCTCACCACCCAGAGTTTCTGCCAGCTATACAGGAGTGCTTGAAGATGTAGTGTTTTGTGATGTGTGTCTTGTGGTGATGAAGCGCTCAAGATCTTTAGAGCATTGATGACATGATAAACAATTTCTTTTATTAATTAGTGCTTTATAAAAGACTTAGTGCTAGAATCCTACTTTTCTACATGTTAATTTCACATATGGTTCAATATGTACACTGGTCTGATACAGTTTTATTACATAATTGTGCTATGTTATTATATTTATATGAATAAAATGTTTTATTTTAAACACTTCTTTTATTTTCATTGCAGAATAGGTCAAAATGATACAGGTTCAAAAGCAAAGAATAGAAAAGAAATTGAAAGTTGTATCAAACTGTTAAAAATTCAATCCTTTGTGAGGATTATATCAGTTTGATATAGAGGATACTGATATCCCATCCTGGATATGATTAAAATCTTGAAATTTTATTGGTGGAAGGTATAACGTGTAGAACAATATGATCTTGCCTACTGACCTTATATACAATATACAAGAGTTAATATTCCCCTCCATGTGAGCTACTGACCAGATATCAAATCCATACGGTATGATACCCCCTCCATTCCTCCATGTGACCTACTGACCAGATATCAAATCCATATGCCTCCTAAACATGACAAACTGACTAGATATCTGTACTAATTACATACTGTTTCCATGTTATCCTTTGAGGTGCCTCACAACTGACATTTAATCTGACAAAAAGACAGATTTTATTCAATGGCTAAAGAATAGTTTGAACAAGCTTCACTAAGTGAAAATGAAACCTCTCAGCATCAATATATAGAGACTACGATAATACAGAAATATATATTAGTATCCTTCAAAAAATACATATTTTTACACCTTGACTTATATGAATTTTTTCAAGGATCCCACATAGTTAAGGAATCACAACCTAGTTAGTAGAGTATGCCAGGGCATCAATGATAGTTGGAAACGTGGGATAAATAAATTATCCCACGTTTCCAACTATTATTGATGTCCCTGGCATACTCTACTAACTAGACAGTGATTCCTTATATTTTCATTTCATTGTGAAATAAAATTGTAAATTTAGATTTTAAAAATGTAGACTAATAGATTTAAATTAGACGAGGCCTCACATGTTAATTTCAATAGTCCCCGACCACTGACACCAAACACAAAGACAGCCGCACGAGAATTACATGCATATTAGGCCTCCTTAGCGTCAGACACAAAGACAACCGCACGAGAATTACATGCATATTAGGCCTTCTCAGAGTCTGACCTTTCGCTTGGCGAAATTTACATTCCGGTAGAATGATCAAGAAATCAACTCAACTAACTTTCAAAAATTTATCACACAGAAAACAAATAGAAATCGAAATATTTCTGTATTACTTCTAAGAGTCTACATAACTGACACTACAATACACATATCTTGCTTTACTCTACTAATTTTCTCTGTACCACCAGATAAATTGTCACATTTATATATTGACAATCACCGATTCCTCTACCCTAAATACTGTGAAATCACTAAATTTTGTGGGAGTTTAATTTTCATTGTTTTCATAGTATGAAGAGACCTATGAATTCATATTCCCCACAAAATGTTAAAATCCCATATTGCAGTATGATTTTTTTTCTTTATCCAATCCCCCAAACCAGTCATTTTTCCTCAAACAACAAAAAATTTGATCCCATGAAAATAAGCGATTTCAGTATAAAGCCTTGGTAGTGTTTATTCATACACACTGAAATTTCAATATCCATGTTTCCTATAACATGCATCTTTTAAGTTCTAGTATCACCTTTGATATCTTTTATTACAAAGCCAGATGCCCATGATTTTTTTTCTGAACTTTCCATAGTCTATTCAAACAAATCTACATGCTTGCTATATTGTCTGTTTAACTTACCACAGCCTGTTCAAACAAATCCCGGACTTTCTCCTCAGACTCTCCAGAAACACCTGATACAATCTCTGTGGCCGCAATTTTCAGAAATGGCAAATTCAGCTCCTGAAAAATGTTTAACCATTTTGTATAAAAGAATATAGGAAATTTTCAGTTAATGATCAGTTCAAATGTCTACTAACTCTATGACAGCACTGCATGTGCATTTCAATTATAAGATACAAATATTTTTATCTGGAAGTTTTTGTTAAGATACCTGATGAATGCTTATTAGTTATCTCAATGCTATATACTTCAGTTACAAACATTTATAGGGCAACAGCAATACTGTAAATATATTATATTTAGCAAAATTGATTTGACAACAAGTTGGTGTAGATTTTATTTAGTGCTTTCTGAACATGCTAGATATAAATATAATACGGTATACACAAGACATTTAGCCACATATTTGATTAAGCAGAAGGTGCCTTCCACGAAAGGCACTAAATAGAATACACTGCCAAATGTAATACCGCAACAGATAATTTAGTAATCACCAGCAAAATCTATCATATTCCTCCTTGGCCTTGTACACATCTTTTCTTAAATTTCATTATATTTTAAAATACACCAATTTGCTTACTGAGATAAACAATGTGGATAAGAACATCCATACATAAATTTACTTTTATACTGCACAAACAGTACTTGATGATTGTGTGTGCTGCATCGTTAAATTTATTAAGAAAAATATCTAACATAGCAGGTACCATCTTTCTAAGTAAACACAATGTCAAAATAAAAACAAAAACTAAGCATACCCCTGCTATGGCATGAGCAAGCAATGTCTTTCCACAACCTGGGGGTCCATGCAGCAGAATTCCCCTGGGAGGGATGATTCCTAGCTGTCTGTAGACTTCTGGGTGTCTCATGTGTACCAGCAATTTACAAATGTCCTACAATAGTTAAAGAGGTATCTATTAAAAATAGAAAATACCAGGATGTTAACAATGGAATTGATAACATCATTAATCATTTTTTTTTAAGTTTTTTTTTTAATAAGTTTTCAAACTTACCATCAACACAGAATCATTTCCCCCAACATCAGCAAAGGTCACACTGGAGGTTTGCACTTCTGCACCTACAATTAAAATCAGGCCTGTATATTTACAGAAAAATATACACAATGAATGGGTCAGGGCTCTTCTCTAAACTAATACAGTACCTGATTTAGATTTTTTCTCCTTTCTTTCTCCCTCAGTGCTGGATTTCTTCATCTTCTAATAAAATATACTTGTATTAAAATCAAACATTCAGTTGAAAGAAAAACACTCTGAACTTTGGATGTTTTGAAACATGCCTGGACCATTTTGAGCTAAAGAATATTGAGTTTTGTTTTGTTTTTTAAAATAAAAAAAATGCTTGTAGTACTGAAAAAATCTTGATTATTTGGTTCAATAAATTCATTTTCACATTTTATTTTAGGATTGCTAACAAACAACATACATTTTTCACTTACATTTGCTCTTGGAGTTTTTCTCCCTGAGTTAACCTCCTCAGACTCTTTTCCTTTGGTGCTAACTTCTGCCTTACTCCCAGTCTTCTTCTCCTTAATCTGACTACCCTGTGGTTGTACATCTACCTCTACAAGGGGAGCAGGTGATTGACAGACAGAAACATTAGGTACCTTACCCTGGGTACTGGGATCACTAACGTCAGTATCCTTCTTTGTCTGTGGTTGGTCTCCCACTCGGTCCAAAAAGAAGGCAGTACTAGAATCCTGGCTGGTGGATGCCATCTCTCTGTCTGATTCTGAGGAATCGTCTATAGTGATGCAAGCATCTGCTCCAGCTGATACTGGACTCCTGTACCCAGAATCTAGGACAAGAGGTCCTGGACCAAGAGATAAGGAAGGCATGGTGGATGTGCTAGGTGCTGACATGTTTCTGTAAATGCTTGACATCATGCTGTTCATAGCATTGGAATCCTGGAAAACCAAGACAAAATAGCTAATTTATTGTAATTGCAAAAGTTGTCATTTATCTGTAGTGCATGATTGTTCAAATCTTTAATTTCCTATACATTTTGCTAATATTTGTATTGCCCTCTTATGAGAACTATCAAAGCAATCATATATATATGAATATTTAAATAGGTTTTACTGGTTCCTAACTTCTGAATGCAGGAGATATTTGTCTTTTGTGTGGGAGCAATATCAGTAAAGAGAGAGATTCTGCAATTTGCAGGTTGGTATTTTTTTAGGATTCTCCAAAGAAGAATGAGCGAGTTGGCATTAATGCAATGTATGACCTTAACCTTCCATTATACCCACTCCCACTCTGCTTCAATATTCAGATTCGGATAAAGAGATAGCTATGATATGTCTGTATACTCACCTGGTAGTTTATGTAGTTTGGGTTGTCATCAGAAAAACTAACATCGCTGTCATCAGCAATAACATCTGAACCTGAGTCTGAATCACTACAAAAAATTGAAAAAATATTGAGTTCTTTTTTTCTACAGGCTCAAATTTTTACCGATTCCCAAAAATCTTTCCCTTTGTGAATTGATCATTTTTATTCTTGTAAATGCAAAACATTAAATATAGACAAAATGTAGGATTGCCTTTGAAAACACTATATCTTTATACATGTATAATGAAAAAAATATATATATTTCAGTCTTCCTAAACTCAATGGGACCATGATTAAACTTTGAGATATCGAAGGATTTGAGCTAACAAGGTTAATAAATATAAAGAAAAAAGTGGTTGGGACTGCCAAATCACTTCAACATATCCCTGGTATTCAAGATATTGGTGATCAAGATAATTCAGTTCAACTGTACATAAAAGTATATCAAGAATTCATGTGGGAGGGGGGAGGGTCAATAAAACAAACACTGCAGATATAGTGTATATACATGAAGGCTTACCTTGAGGATGAAGTTCTACGCTTGCTTAGATGTTTTTGCTCCAGTCTAGACAAATTATCCATCTCTTTGCCTTTAATCAATTCATATGCTGACAAAGAGAACACATTATAACAAAACTCTGTACATGTATTTAGTATTATGTGTCCACTCCATATTTTTAAGAATGAGATTTTTTGGATAATTTTATTATGCAAGTGTTAGCACTGAATGACATAATTTCTTTTGGTTGTCCAATTTTTACAGAATTTTGTAGATCAGTCAAATTTGCAAACAATTCAATTCCAGAATATTCCATAACATACCTTTGGTAGTGAAATTCCAAATTTCTGCAAAATTTCTGAGTTTTTTAATTCATTAAAGTAATTTTATCAAAGTACCAAATCAATACCTTTTTCTACAGACTTAAAAAAAGCATTCTTCTTCTTTCTTCCATATTCCCTACAATTTTAGACAAACAACAAAGCAAAGCTTATTACATGTTTAAGAAAGTATCAACATGTTGAAATAAAATCACATTTATGATATTCATTTCGCACAATTTTTTTAAGATAAGACTCTACCTTTATAGAATTCTGAGGTATATTTGCACTTTTCTGAAGAATAATTGTTTGAGCTTACCCATACTGCCTCTGTAGATCTTCTGCCATCGACCGCAGATTCACATTTTTTGACTTCTGAGCATCCAAATACTAAAACATAATTACAGGTCATAATTACAGGTACACATTCAAAAATAAATATCTTACATCTACAACATAAACTGTTGTCCAAAATTTCAAGCATATATTAGCACAAATTACAGTATGTACAAGTCACACTCAATGGCTCCAAACAATTTCCATTTCTCTACCTCTCAAAGTAAAGACCCAGTCCCATTTTCTCCCCAACAGATCAAACAAACTTAAATCTTGATTTTTTAAAAACCTTGAACAAAGTTTTTTTTTCTTTTATGTAAAACAGGGCATATTTTACTCTCAATAATTATAAATTGTTTTAATAAAATAGTTAATACAATCTCAACCTCATCTTCATAAGTCATATTAATAGCAGTATGTGAATTCATTCCTTTTTGTAAGATGAATACATTTATAAATTACTTGAAATATTTGCTGATTAAATTAAACAAAATAGCTAACAAAATCTAAATAATTTCAGAAAAAAATCAATTTAGATGGCAATTTTAAAATACCCGTATCATTTTCACCATTTTAACTGGCTTAATGGCTCAGTGTGATATCTAATGAAGGAATCACAGAAAAATTTAAATGTGATTCACACTTTAAACACACCTCTGAGTCTGAGATACTGATTAACATTTCTGTTTCTCACCTGTCTCACACGTGGAATCAGTCGTGGATCTCCTATATAACTGGTCTGGCTTCTTGGTCGCTTTTGCTCGGGGTTCTGTGCGCTTCTGCCATCATTAAGTTTGCGTTTCATCATTTTATTCCTTATTTATATGAAATTAGACGGAACTGTTTAGAAAACATTTGCTGCACCTTGCTCACTTGGTATGAAAACAGCCAAATTCGAAACGGGAAATACTAAAGTCAACGTAATGTTAGAGCCAAACCCAGCAGTATATTTCCCGGATAAAGATGACAGGCATATTTCGGGAGAATCCGTGAACTTAGTTCACTTTTTATTGTATAATGTCAAGAGTTTAAAAGATCATTCATCTAATGAATATTAAAGGCCCGTAATACCCCCTTTATTTATTTTTACTTTGTTCTAAATTTAGTAGAGACTTTTTTACTCCATATTTTCTCAGTTGCACGGGCCGGCGGTCTGCAAATCCCGACGCCTATGAATACATGTGACGTAGAAATAAATACATTTATAGAATACGAAATTTGGTACTATTTATACGGATTTTAATCAGAAATTGTTTCCTTAGTCGTCGATTTCCACAATACAACCTGGCATCGAGTCATCGACTACTTGATACCAAAAATTTCTTAACAATGATGGAACCAAAGACTTCGTTTTCGGAGTTCACGCCGTTTTTGGAGTTCATCTAGACTGCAATTTACTATATATCAGTTGAAAATGTCACTCAACCATGCTTAACAAACTTGTCGCAAGCAGGGATGTAGCATCGTTTTTGAAATTGCGTGTAGGAAGGGGGGGGGGGCAGAAAAAAAATCAACTTACCTAAAAAAAAAATTGACAAGTAGAAAAAAGGAAAATTGTTCAAACTCGAAAATCCTATTTCGTTGGGGAAGGGGTAGGTTCAAACTTCTTTCTTTTTATATATACACTACTACATTACCCTTATTTGACTACACTACAACAAAAAGTGGTAGGGGGGACCGGCCTTTCAATGAACATTTTCAAAAGTAAAAAGTTGTATTTGGAAAAAAGGGGGCAGCCTCCCCCCCCCCCCCCCGATGCTAAGTGCCTGACAAGAAACTCTTTACTAACCGAAGAATGGCTAAATTGTTTATAGCTAGATAAACAATGACGATCCTATCGTCAAAAACCCATTCCATTGATTCCGCTTCGTGCCTCTCATTGATGGAGAGAAAAACGAAGCGTAATAAACCGTGGGTTTCTGACGATGTGGCGATGATCGGTAAGAATTTTAAATTTCGCCTCCTTTTCTAATAAAGGTAATTTAAGAGAATTTCTAGGACAAGTAAAGTGAAAACATAACAGTGAAATGTATTGGGGGGGGCGTGAATTTACCCAAAAAAATTGCAGTTTTTTTTTGTTTTTTTTTTTTTTTTGAGAAGGCCTTCGGTCTGTAGCCATATTTTTCCCCGGAGAGGCTGTACATAGATGTAGCTGTGAAAGGTCTATCATGCAAAAACAGTTTTGTATATTAATATCATATAATACTAGTAATTAGATGCAAAGTTTCACACAGTTTTATGAAAATCAACGATACATTTTTTAAAACATATTTTCATCATATTTACACTTTAAAGTCTTTCTGACTTAGAAATCTTTTTATACATACAACATAAGATATTTGCAAATCTAACTAATCCCTACAAGGCAGGAATTGAGACCAGAGGCGTCTTAGTAATTAGCACATATAAAGTGTATTGTGGTTGTGGTGGTGGTGGTGTGTGTAAGGGGGGGGGGGGGGGTCACATCCAAGATATATACTCAAATTGCAACTCATTGAAAAGCAAATCAGTTTGACAAACCACAAAGAAAACGTGATTAATGAGAAATTTAGCAATTTGATAATTGATATCAAAATAAGTTGGGGGCTGCCTCACCCCGACTACTCCTATAGGGGCCAATTATAAGGTTCAGTTTTACTCTTAAAATTCCTAGAATTCATGAGCTTATAGGAACTTTACACCCTGAACCTCCACTTGGACCCACTAGGGGGCCCTTTGCCTCTGAAAATATATTCCACCCTCTAAACGGAAATTCCAAGATCCGCCCCTGGCGGACTTGGAAATTTTGAAAACTTTGGATTTCAATAGAAGAGAGGGTATATCATGCGTCTGGGTTGGGTTCATCTAATGATTTATTGCTGACAGTGGTTCATTGTTAGTGGTGTGACCGAGGCCTGCAACTGAACCTTGTATTCGTGAGTTTTCATATTTTCTGTTAAATATTTCCTGTCTTATTTCTAGGAAAAAATAAAGTAAACTGATTTGGCAGTTGAGAAAAGAAATGGATATTGAACAGCAGTCTTATGTCTCTAGCCAATGTCTATGGTGGATTTAAATATCACAAATTTAAATATCTATCCCTAGATTGATATTGCTAAGTCCTTGTTTTTGTTGTTACTATGTGTTGTCACAATGTCCATATTTTTTCAGCCTAAGATCGCCCGAGACAGAAAATGACAAGTAAGTATATTTCTCATTACATGGTAACAACCCGGCCTGAAAATCGTTAAATGACACACATTGTATAGCAAAAAAGGCCTAACAATATTTAAACTAGGCCTTCTTCTTGTTCTTAACAGAAACGAGTAATTTAATATCCTGCATGGACTATTATATAGAAAAAATATCAAAACATGTATCAAATATTAATTATGTAAAGTACACGGACTGAGTCTGAACCAGAAAATTGTTCTCAGAACTTGGGAGGCTGATTGACTGTAGTTAGTATAAATGTACTTTAGTTAGTACAGAGTATTTGTACTACTTCATAAATCTTTTATTCTGTTTAGGTGCCTGGTTGGTATTGCGAGATATTTGGAAAGACTTCATAATATGCGATGGAAAGAAAGTTGAGATAGTAGGAGGATTTCGGGGGTTTAGAAATATCCCTCCTGGGAATCACACGATAGAGAACTATGGAGCAAAGCTTGAGGTAGATTTGAAGCCGGGGGAGGTGAAAGTGTTTGTTTTAGATAGTCACAATAAGGTGAGTTGTGCTAGCTTCGTGATGTGATTCGCAGACTGCCAATCAGTCTGGTATAATCCGAGTACAAGTTCATATCAAGCTTATAGATTAAATGTCTGGGTGTAATTAAGTGTCTTTTAGAGTAATTAAAGGGTCATACATATATATGCCTAACAATCTATATTTTATTTCTTTTTATATATAAGTATACAAAAGACATTTTAACAGTCTTTCTTTTGCTACGTTCTGGGGGAAGAGACAAACTTGTATTTTTACATTGCCTTTACTAAATGATTACTGTGTTAACATAAAACATACCCCCCCCCCCCCCAGTTCTTCAAATGGAAAGTTTCTGAGTGCAAAAACATCATCTCTGGGTTATATAGATTATTCTTCATGTATTTCTTTCTGTGAAGTAAACCCAAATCAAAGAAAGGGGGGGGATGAAAATCAGAAAATTGAATGTTCGTAGTTTTTAAGCAAATTTTCTACATTGCATTTTTTTTAAAGATATCTCATCGGGGATTTCTTGGACAAAGTTTCCAACTAGATTTTCAAAATGATGACTCCTAAAAAAATGTTTACTATGATTGAGCAGGTATTCAAAAGATTCTCGGAAGAAGAAGATGATTTTGGATTCCACCATTTAGCAAAGAGCGGTGCGATGGGCAAAGCGTTATATGAGTGGCCGACTTGACGCACAAACTGAACCAACGGTGACCATTCTTAGATAGATTATGTGCATATCATATCATGTCTAAGCATGATAAACTTATAGTCTATAAGATGAAAAAAATGTTCATAAGTGCACTTTAAACTAAGCGGACCGATTCCAACAACGAACAAACAGTTTATGTTGTGAATGTAATGAATGCATTTGAAATAAATGATTTTACACGTGGTCTGAATAGTTTTGCTTTCACTACTAGGTACAAAGAATTCAGCAGTACTGTTAAATGAACAAACCATTTTACGTGTGTTTATTGTATAAGTTATAAATAATCTTAAGATTGAAATACAAGTCTCTGAATGGACCAGGGCGGGACACGTCATGTTCACATGAAATATTTGAATCAATTTTAATGTCTAGAGATTTGTATCGTGTTCACATCAAAATTCGTGAAAGTTGTATAATGCTTTAGGATGGATGTGTAGCTTCATTTTATGTGGCCATTTTTTTTGACGTCGGATTTTTTTTTATATATATACAATCGCGTCTCGGCGACTGCCGACGAAGATGATATCGAACGTTTCCATAAACACTGTTGAACAGCATGTGGTTTATAAGCTTAGGTAGATGTATACATAAACTTTATGCATCGTCGCAAACCACGGCCAAAATGTACGACCCTCTCCCATTCTGGAGAGAGCTATATGCGGACTCCGGACCGTGGCTTGAGACGATGAACTTTATGCGGATCTTCGAAAATACGATCAGAGGCCCATGGACCACAACGCTCACCTGGGCCTCCTGTTCTTCAGAGGAAAACATTAAAAGTATGTTTTTTTCCTCTTTTTATGCATTTCTTTAAGGTGTTTCTGTTTGCATTAAGTAATATTCTGAGCTACCCTTCGTTCTATTCTAGCTATCTTCGTTCATTGGCCGTCTTCCTGGCTGCTGCCCAGTGATTCGTTGAAAACAAACATGTAACTAGGTATTACGCGAGAGATTTGACAAACCACATTCAAATTGAAGTAGGCTGAGCTAGTAATTCTTCTATTTATAGCCCATTATCAAGGTTTTCAACTCTCCATATAGACAAGACACGCTCCTACCAAAAAGAAGTACGTTTAGCCCTTGATGTTAACCTTCAATTTCAGCAGGGACCTATATGCTAATAGTACAGGTTCTGATGTCAGGGACTGGATATGAAGCTTTTTTTCTAATAAATTAGTATACAAATGAAATTAAAAAACTGTTTAAAATTATATGTATTTCGTGTTTCTGTGCCTCTTTGATTGAACTCCGTCCATCAACCAATCACTGAATCAGCTTTGAAAAAGGTTCGCCTATAAGCGAGGGCATTGTTTAACACCGACTGGAATAAAGAGTGAAAAGAATTATGAAAGGTATTGAAATGAGTCCTAGTATTTCATATTGAAAAATATTGACTCCATGTTGTGGTTAGGGCCAAGGAGTTATGATCTAAAACTTGAATCCACTCGAAATTGAGATGCTTTAATATAAATATGACTTACATGGCCACATCGCAAATTAACCTCAGGGTCCACAATTTGAGTTTAAAAATGAATCAACAGAACTTAGGAATGTTTGTATATTGATATGATAGACCGTTGAATGAGGATGTGAATCTTCATTTAAACAAAATGAATCCCTTTACCTAAGGATGTTTTGTGGCAAGTCTGATTGAAATTGGTTTAGTGGGTTTTGAGAAGAAGCCAAATAAACGGACGGAATGCTCATTTGAGTTTTAAGCCCAGGTGAGGTAAAAGTTAGATTTTATCATTTATGGAATCGTATGTTACTGTTTATAAAATTCGTGTTTCAATTTTTTGGCATTGGTTTATTTAGCAATTAAAAAAAACATAACAACTAACAAACATTTCGAAACAATATCGCAAGGATAAAAAAAAAATAGATAACCTGTCATCATATGTCACCGAAGTCCGATGTTCTCAATAGTTAAGATTATGAGTAAATTGAAAGTTTAAATATAAACAATAAACTATTTGATCTGCGTAGATGATCAGTTTTGTAACATAAAATGTTTCATTTGCTCCATCCCCAATCTTGTCAACAACTGTAACTTAAAGTAGATGATTAAATTCCGATCTTTGATAGCGTTTGTTACTCATGAAACGTGCCCTTGTTTGTAGGGCTATTTTGATTCTGTCACACTGGGGAATCTCCATTCGTGGCGGATCTTCATTCTGGCGATCATCTTCCTCATGTTTTATAGATTCCGCCTGGTTACCGGAAGTATCCTCCACATCGTCCTTGGTATCCTCCGCTGACATTTGAACCTGTTACAGTAAATGAAATCTTTCGTATGAACATTCGGCACAACGATTAAATATGATATATTTATATGATCATGCATTCGTCCTTGTCCTTGCCATCTTCACAATGTCAAGGTTTTATGATTACGGATGTCCTTTCGTCTTGTTCGATTGTCTTACATTTGTGAAAAATAAATAAATAACAGATTATGCTGTTGTTCTGTCTACTACTACAAATGCATAAAGTGCGAGGAGTCTCTACTACAATTTGTGTTAATAATAATGTTTCGCTCAAGTAGAAAACGATAGCAAATAACATTTTACGTCAATGTTGATATTCCAGGGCTATTATTCATTTCATAGACTTCACTCAGGAGAATTCGACCAAAAATATCAATCGATTCAACTGAATAATTTGCTTAACATCATGAAAATGGGTCGGTTACTGACTGAATGCAGATCTTGCAGAATTCTACAAAGACGCCGTGTACTCGAGACAATAACATCTGAAAGGTAAACTACAGAAGCAAAAATGTTGAAAAATGATATTTTTAGGGAATCCATCAAATAATTCGTTTCTTATGAAATTGTATGTAAGATCTTTGCATTTAAACATGTACATGGCTGAAAATTATTGTTTAAATGCACTGTTTTCTTCGTCAATTACCATTGCCACAACAACATTGGTTAACACATGATCAACGCAGGAATGTCAAATTCTGATATTCTTTTCATCTACGTTTTTACTAGCAGTTCAACAAATCATTAGTATATGCGGCATATGCAATTGCAATAGCCTGCCATATATACTTTTGGATCAATGGATATCATAACAGTATAACACAGATTAGATTCTTCTTGAGGTGCATGACTTCAAGATAAAAATCTTTAGTTTTAAATGTGAATGAAATCAATAGATGATATTTAGAAGATTTCGTCAATAAATGGTACAAACGGACACCATGTTCGAAGTGAAAGACTGGAATGAGTGGAGATGATGGTATTTTGGTTTTATATATACAAAAGAAAATAAAAAAGCTTACGTGCTAGTGGTCCAATTCCTCGACTTCTCCAATGTTTGTCATATGAACTCTTGACGATTCTCTCGCCGAGTCGACTCGCTTTAAAGGCTAATTGGGACTGTAGAAATCAGCGTTAAAGGTACATTGTTTATAGATCTTTTTTTTCACAGGAGGTATATAGCAATCGTTCACGCGTCAACTTATAAGAGGATTTACAAGGTCGATACACTGCGAGGATTTAATGAATGTGGACATTTTGTTCCTGTCAGGGACGTGCGTTTAATTATAAGTGCTGGTTATACGAATATTCTGTTTGTCTATTGGCTTAAAACACGAGACCTATGGGCCACAATAGTCACGTGAGATATCCTACTCTTATAAAGTTTTGGCATGGTCACCCTATTCACCGGGTATATCCCAACATATGGGATGTATACTATGTTGTGCACAGGGTGTATGCTTTTGAAGCGATAAAACGGGAGTCGAGGTACGTTTTTTGTCTAATTTCTCAATTTATTTCGCCGGAAAGCATCTGCTCACGGAAGAAAGCATTTTTAGGAACATATGGATACATGTACCTATGAATCCATCGTACACTTTCTAGTTTCATCAAACACCTCAACACAATTCTGACGATTAGAACAAGATTGGCGGTACATTGTGTTTATGTATAACATTCATTTTTCGTCAATATTTTTTAATACGAACTATTTTATTTCCAGACAATTAATTTATTCATACATTTATATGAGTAACATGTTTAATATAAAAGTGATGATATATCAAAGCTTTGTTCTGATATTTGATCATAATCACAATGTAGCGTCAATCTTGCTCTGATCTTCAGAATTGTGTTGAGGTGAAACTAGACAAAAAACGTACCTCGACTCCCGTTTTATCGCTTCGAAAGCATACACCCCGTGCACAACATAGTACACGTGACTATTGTGGCCCATAGGTATCCACATGTTCATAAAATAATGCTTTCTTCCCTAAGCATATGCTTTCCAGCAAAATATATCCATATATTGAGAAATGTGACTAAAAACGTACCTGAACCCCCGTTTTATCGATTTGAAAGCATACACCCCGTGCATGTAACATAGTATACACCCTGCACGTTGGGATATACACGGTGTGATTGTTCAAACTTGAACAATTATAGTGTTTAAGGATGCTCACGTATGAATTTGACATTTGCAATGACAATTATAATTATTCAGTCGTATTAAAACGTTGAACCTCTGATTCTAAGAACTAATTTATCATTTAACAGAATATACTCAGTAATTTAAAAATTTACTACAGGTATTAATTAACATATCCAGAGACATAAATAACATGTGTCTGAAACACAGCGATAATATAAATATTGACAGGAAAAAATGACAAAATCCTAATTTACAAGGCGAACTGAAGACGCTCCGTTTTGTTTAACCTTTGAAGTTCTTAACAACATGTGCACAAGAGTTTTTGGATTATAGAAAAATGCCTGAAAACACTGCGAGTAGCTTTTATAGTTCTCTTAATTTATGGCCTCGTGGTTAAATATCAGCAAAGATAAAAATCCGGTGGATTTAAGTGTGGTAAAAGTACGGACCACACTTAAGTAAAACTAAATGCCTGAGATAGACCTAGACATATAGAAAATCTAAAGTATCTTGTTTGTTTTTATATCTTTATAATTTTTCTCTTTTATTCTAAGCTCTCTGATCGGCACAAACCTGATCACAAGATCAAGTATATAGACTTGTATTACTATTTAAAGATTCTGAAATGCATATCGACATGAAGTTTCTAAAAATGGAAATAATCTTTTATAAAACAATAATAGTGATGACTTCACAATTATATAGCTTATATGACTTGGTGTTTCTGAAATAAAAAAAAATGCATGTACTTAAACTCCTATAATTTATAATTGTGATGTTCTGTAATAATTGTTCAGTCGTAACAATGCCTTATAAGGATCTAATTAATATTAAAACATTTTAGATACGTTATTCATAAATTGATATAATAAAACAAATGTAGCCTTTTAAATAAGTACATTTCCTAAACTAATCTATCAGTATAAAGGAAACACAATTATTAAACAGCTTAAATTATTTTTATCTCTAGTCTCTCTGTGTTTAAAAAAAAGACAAGAGCGAAAACTTGTGGTTTGTTCCCATTAATTAGATATGGGTCTTGTTGGTATTATCCCACACGGTGAAGGCGTATTCGACCTGGGGTCTCACTAGAGTCTTATAACTGGTTGCCTTGATGGACCGTGGGCAGCCAGAAAGTCTACGGCTCAAGAAAGCAATGGTGTTGTTGGCTTTTCTTGGGATGCTATTTATATGTGGTCCCCAGTTGAGCTTGTTATCGATGGTAACGCCCAGGTACTTTGCTTTGGTGATCTGCAAAGTTTGGCCATGGATGGAATAATTGGCCTCAATTATACGTCTCTTGTTGGTGATGCGTATAACTTCACATTTTTCTGGGTTGAAGCTCATCATCCAATCAGACTCCCATACTTGTTTTAGTCTTGCTGAAGAGTGGTCGTGTCCTCCTCATTGGTAATCTTTAGGTACACCAGGCAATCGTCTGCAAAGAGTCTTGTTGTGGATAAGTCATTGATGTAAACCAGAAACAACAGTGGGCCAAGCACTGTGCCCTGGGGCACTCCAGATTTACAGGAGCAGCTGATGATATCTCCCCATCAACAACTTAATTCTTCTATCAACAAGAAAGCTTCTGATCCATTCCAGTGTCTGTCCTCTCACACCATAGTGCTCCAGTTTGATGGCTAATCGATGTTGGGGAACTTTGTCGAAGGCTTTGCTGAAATCAAGCAACACTGCATCCATCTGATGGCGTTGGTCAACATCCCAAGAAATCCCGTCCGATTTAGCTTTGAGCTGAACTCAATACAAGTGCTATTAACGCTAATCACCGATATTCCCCTAAGAGTGATTTGAGACAATTTATGGCAGAATCTTGTAGAGGTGGATCTAAAAAAAAACACTTTTACAAATATTTTCCTCGGATGTCATTGATAATTATAGCATTTATTTCCTTTAATATACTCAATATTATTTTGCTACCACGCGTTCTTCTACTTTTTGGCATGTGGAATTTATTTAAATTTTATTTAGAATTCATTAAATTTATCTTGAATTTGAAATTTAGCGATTTCTTTTTCATTATAGCCTTAAAATATTTTTAAATCTAAGGAGGATCTATAGTGTACAAGTCCCTCTATGACACCGTGAGTTACCCCATACCCTGCATATTTAACTTACCCCTTGAGAAGAAGGTAAACATGGACTATTTACACCCTTAATTCCTACTACGCCTTCAAAGGCAATATTTCTCAATATTTGAAATTTTAATTTTAATTCTTTTCCCCCAGACACTCTCCTTCCCACCTATGCCCTAAAATCAGCCCATTCCACTCCGTATACATCCGAAGACATATTTATGAAAAAACCTGTGTTTTTATATGGCACTACTTGGTCAATGAAAAGGGGTAAAATTAGTAACCTGTGATACGCTTATACTTTATTAAAAAAATAAGGGTTACAAACTCAAACATGTATTTTAGTTTCCGTTTTATTTTAATTTGTTTATCGTTTACTCGTTTATTTTCTATAATTATATGTTTCATTTTAAACTCGTTATTATTATTGAGCACGTAGGAAACTGAAATCACGCCCCCCCCCCTTCCAATGAAAGGCGTTATCATGCGCATTGCATGACGGGACGGAAAACTCTCGTTTGGGGGTATACCCCTGTTCGGGGGTTCGACCAGACTGCTTATATTGTTCTTTTAAAGCTTTAATTTAAAATCTGAAAAAGGGTTGGATCCTTCCCTCAACAGTGCTGCCATCATTTGTCTCGCATCACTCTCATGGGTAATATAAAGATTAGCGTTAATTGCGCTTTGATTGAATTCAGTCTAAAGCAACACCGGAGAAAATCCACAGAATTTCTTCCCATGGACTGCTTGCTAGATGATGGATTAATGTAATCAGTTAACTTTCACATGATCGTCTCTTTCTAAAGCCATGCTGCTGGTCAGAGAGGATGTTATTTCTCTCGAGATGTTTAATGACATGGCTATGAACTGTGTATGCTCCAAGGTCTTACAGCATACAGAAGTGAGAGACACAGGGCGAAAGTTAGATGCCTCAGATTTATTCCCTTTCTTGAATAATGGCGGTCGCCCCTTCTTTTTTAATTCGGCTTCTCTTTGGCATGTGACTTCATGGGTTAAGCAAATTTTGATCTACTGGTGTTTTATTTCGCCATATATTATAATTATTGAAGCTCATATGATATGACAGAACTGTTCAGCATCATCATTGAAAATGTTCAAATATAAACTAACCATGTATATTCCCCGTATATTCATTACACAGGGTTACTATAAAATTAACTGAACACTGCAAGCTAACTCAAACAAACTAATAAAAACATTCGTAAACACAAGCCATCTTCATGATTATCAATATTATTTTTTTCTACAGACGCTAAGTTTGAATTTCGATCATAAAAAATACCTTGAAAAACTTTAATCAACTTCTATACGTAACGCCAGTTTTATACATGTACTTTATCTTTTCTAAAGTAATGGACGTTTGTAAACGGTAGTACATTAAATAGAGATATTTCTTCAATTATGTACCTTTCTATACTGTCTTGTGGGAAAAAAGCGTTTCAAATATTTACGTTTTTTAGAAATGGAACATCGTATTTTAAACTAACGCAATCGACATGATAAAGAGCATTACGAAATCGCTCGTTATTTATTGTTCATTTTATTTACAACTCTCCAAAATTCTCCTGAATTTACCGATGAATATACGGTTAGCAATATGATTTTGAACGGATTATTATTTAATTAATGCACAGTGTCAGCTAAATTCTTTGAGCTTCATAAGATAAAGGTGTGTGGGTAAACACACGCTAATTATAGACGCTATTGTTTGTACATGTAGGTCACAGGTAACCGCCTTCAAACTGACTGCATGGCCAATGTTTTTACAACAATTAACACGAATGCAAGATAAGTATGGTGTCCGGATAGGGCCATTTGCAAAAGCTCAACAGCGCGTTCAGAAAAACACGCCGTCGCGCTGACACACAACACGCTGTCACGCTAACACAAGTTCGCACAACACGCCGTCCCGCTAACACACAACACGCTGTCACGATATCACACAACACGCCGTCGCGCTAACGCAACTTTACACGTCACGCTGTCACACAACTCGCTAACACAACTTTGTGATAGCGCGAATGCGAGTTGTGTGTTAGCGCGACGGCGTGTTGCTTGAAAGCGTGTTAGCGCGACGGCGTGTTGTGCGAACTTGTGTTAGCGTGACAGCGTGTTGTGTGTAATCGCGACGGCGTGTTGTGCGAACTTGTGTTAGTGTGACAGCGTGTTGTGTGTAATCGCGACGGCGTGTTGTGCGAACTTGTGTTAGCGTGACAGCGTGTTGTGTGTAATCGCGACGGCGTGTTGTGCGAACTTGTGTTAGCGTGACAGCGCGTTGTGTGTTAGCGCGACAGCGTGTTGTGCGAACTTGTGTTAGCGTGACAGCGTGTTGTGTGTTAGCGCGAGGGCGCTTTTTTCTGAACGCGCTGTTGAGCTTTTGCAAATGGCCCTATCCGGACACCATATAAGTGTGAAAATGTCGTTTCTTGAAAAATTATCGTCCGGATAAACGAGTCATTTTTTCAATGAACTATAATTTTTTGTAGTAGAAATTGACCGTCCGGATACGGAACGCGAATTTCCGGATTAATGAGACAAAATAACGTGGAAAAAATCGGTTCCCAAAAAATATCGTCCGGATGGTGAAGCGTCCGGATAAACGCGGCGCCACTGTATTTGGCGGCCGCCAGATAAAATATTTTCTAGCTGGCACTTACCGGCTTCCGTATTTTCCAAATGCTTAATTGATTAAATTTTTTCTCGCATGTCAACATAGTTTTTATGTTGCAATTTGACATATTGATGTTTTATATCGACATAATGCATGTTAACATATATAGAAAAAAATTGCATAGAGGGGCAGAAACGTCCTTTCCGTTCTGGGTTCTAATATTTAGACACCATTTTATCATCCTTCTTCCAACTGACTAACTGACCTGTTCGGTCGTCATAATTTTGGCTGTTCGCGGAAGATGTCGATAACAACAGCACGCTACGGAACTTGGAAATCCCCAATCTCAAGTAAACTTGCCACTGAGAGCAGTGTCAGTTTTCAGGAGATTCGCTTGGACCCTGCTGGAGCTGCAGGTGCGCTGTGACACAGGAGTCGGTAATTTTCAATAAAGTGAAAGTAAATAATAAACAGGCATATATCCTCGCTACGCTCGCGAAACTCACAGGTAAATGCCTGTTTATCAGTAGATCTATCATTTATTTTCACTTCATTGATAAAATTTCCGACTCCTGTGCTGTAAAATGAATTTTGTGTTTTTGCTTCATATGGCATTCTCTATCCGGTATCAGGTTCGTTCGCCCTATCTACCTGTTCGCATGAGTCCGTTCGCCATTATTCTTGTTCGCCTTATATCTCGTTCGCCCTGATTTATATACAGTATATAGTAACTATTAACATTTGTTATTAATTTTATTCAATATTTTACGACTTGGTGTTTTTTTTTTCAAATGTTGCTACAGTATTTTTTTTATTTACCGTAATATTAATTAAATAATTCAAATTTGATAGATATTAATGCTTTTTACATGCTTAATTGGTTTAATTATACTTAATAATGTAAATGAAATTAAGATATCATATCGGTGTTTTTTTTCAATCTGCGTTATGTTTTGAAAACAGGGAAAGGACGGAGACGTTAATTTCTGTTGGTCTGCCGGGTCTTTGATAGGACAGGTATTTAATGTAACCACATGCATACGTCTGTTGTCTCCCGTGTGCAATTTATGTACCAATGTACATAGAATTTATTTAAAAAATCCATTGGTTCATTATTTAACTTTCTGCAATATTAACAAGCAAACTGACCCTGTGCAAACGAGTTTTAGGGCGATCGGACTCTGGGCGAATGAGAAGTAGGGCGAACAAATTTTAGGGCTAACGAACATACAACCTCTCTATCCAGAGTTGTCTGCCGCTACGCTACTACATGTAACACCCCTGTCAACGCTCGTTTTACATATACAGCATAATTAACTATTGTAATTATTGATAAAGATGATAATTTATCATTTCCTTTAAATCTATCATCCCTCAAAAATAGTTTTTAGGGAACTATTTTGTGGAGTAAATATTGAAAAAAAATTAATTAAAATATCCTTTTAAGGGGTAATAGATTAATATAAATCCCGTTTACCTATAAGAAATAGAATTAAAATTGATAATTAATACAATTTTTCATCTTTTACAAATTTTTCAAGAATCTTGTAAAACAAGCATTGTCAGAGGTGTATATATGTGGGAGCATAGCGGGAACAACAACTCTGGATAAAGAATGATCTCATGGCTCAACTTCTTCTCAAGAACCACTGGGCCAATTTTAACCAATCTTGGTAAAAAGCATCCTTGGGGGAAGGGGGGTTTAAATTGTTAAAATAAAGGGCCAAGTCTCCTACAAAGGGGAGATAATCAATAAAATACAAAAATTGGGTGGGGTCATTAAAAAATCTTCTTCTCAAGAACCACTGGGCCAGAAAGGCCGAAACTTATGTGGAAGCATCCTGGGGTAGTATAGATTCCAAATTGTTCAAATCATGACCCCCGGGGGTAGGGCAGGGCCACAATAGGGAATCCAAGTTTTACATTGAAATATGTAGTAAAAATCTTTAAAAATCTTCTTCTCAAGAACCAGTGGGTCAGAAAGACTGAAACTTATGTGGAAGCATCCTGGGGTAGTGTAGATTCTAAATTGTTCAAATCATGACCCCCGGTGGTAGGGTGGGGCCACAATAGGGAATACAAGTTTTACATTGAAACATGTAGTAAAAATCTTTAAAAATCTTCTCAAGAACCACTGAGCCAGAAAGGCTGAAACTTAAGTGGAAGCATCCTTGAGTAGTGTGCTATACATTTTAAATTGTTCAAATCATGACCCCCGGGGATAGGGCAGGGTCACAATAGGGAATCCAAGTTTTACATTGAAATATGTAGTAAAAATCTTTAAAAATCTTCTTCTCAAGAACCACTGGGCTAGAAAGGCTGAAACTTACGTGGAAGCATCCTGGGGTAGTATAGATTCTAAATTGATCAAATTATGACCACCAGGGGTAGGGCGGGCCACAATAGGGAATCCAAGTTTTACATTGAAATATGTAGTAAAAATCTTTAAATATCTTCTCAAGAACCACTGGGCCAGAAAGGCTGAAATTACGTGGAAGCATCCTTGGGTAGTGTAGATTCTAAATTGATCAAATTATGACCCCTGGGGGTAGGGCGGGGCCACAATAAGGAATCCAAGTTTTACATTGAAATATGTAGTAAAAATCTTTAAAAATCTTCTTCTCAAGAACCACTGAGCCAGAATGGCTGAAACTTATGTGGAAGCATCCTGGGGTAGTGTAGATATTAATTATTCAAATCATGACCCCTGGGGGAAGGGTGGGGCCACAATAAGTACTACGGGGGGGGGGGGGGGGGGGGGGAAGAAATCAGGTGAAAAACAGCAAGGCCAAAGTTACTCAGGTGAGCGTTGTGGCCCATGGGCCTCTTGTTTTTTTTTTCAAAATTAAGTTTCAGTATTTAAATACTTAAGGCTGCGGAACATTAAATGGCAAGATTGGAAATATGCAGCTTACGTCATTTACATCTGTAACAGTCAAAACATTTGATGATAGAAAACGAAATGGGCTGGGGCAATTCTACACAGACGTCTGAGAAAACATTGGTTTGAAATTTTAGTCTGAAATTCATTTTCAAATGACAATCCACCTCATCTATGCCTGTAAGCACAGCCTAACTGATTGATCCAGAATAAAAATAATTTTGATTTTGGAATAGTTTGAAATTCATATAAATTAGAATTTTTTTTCCAGTGTTTTTGAAGAAATAAAAAGGGACAAACATTTGATTCCTGGTGGTGTGTGAGTGTTTCGGAAGAAGAGGGGTTGAAAGATCTTGGAAATAAATCAGAAAGTTTTTTCAGCTTGGACCCCCCACCCCCTTCTTGCTTGTTAAACATTTTTTAGTGAAGAAAAAATATCTTTTAATTGTCATCCTAGAAATAAATATTTTCTGTTATGTAAAGGCATGAACGTATTAAATAATCTGACTCGACAAAATTTGCCCCCCCCCCCCCCCCCCAATCAAATGGCCATCCCCTGAAAAATAATATCTCTTAACTTCTATAACTTTTGCATGTCCTTAAAAATATATGCTAAAAACTCTAATATACATTAACTTCAAACTACATGTATTTAGGTAATTGGGAACTGATATTATCTGTCTTTTGGATCATAATATTTTCACTTTGTGTATGAGAATAGCTTAGGTGGATTGAAGATGAATTTCAAACTAGAATTTCAATCCAATGTTTTTTCAGATGTCCGAATAGTACCCGCCCATTTCAATGTCTACCTTTAATTGTTTTGCTTTAAGAGATGGAAATGAAGTAAGCTGCAAATTTCCAATCTTGCCAGTTAATGCAGGCCTCTAAGTGACCTCTAAAATTTAGGCGCCAGCTGGCGCCGTATCAAAAAAATTAAGTCGCTAATGAAAATTTTTAGTCACCAGGCAAGTTTTTCTTAGGCGCCAATTTTAAAAGCTGATATCCGTCAATATAAAGACCAATTGGGGTAGTCAAGGAAAAGGGGTTTATTGCAGTCATTAAGAAAAAATCAACAACACATATAAGCCATTAAATAACAAAAGTTAACAAAAGTTAACTTAACCATACAGTTAAAACTTAATCGTCTCAGCCACTGTCCGAAGTCCCATATAAAGCTCTCTCCTACAGGCCAGAATTGGAGAGGATCATACATTTTGGTTGTGGTTTGCAACAATGGTAAAACTCACAGTCAAAATGTTTAAATCAATCTTTTTTTTTTTTTTGAAGAAACTTGGTTCTAATGAAATATTCTTTTAAAATATAATAATATCAAGGATTGCTTACACAATTAACATTTTATGATCGTATGTATACAACTACCTAACATTACTGTCAAGACGATATCTCTAACGAGTGAGAATTCAATTGAAAACAATTGACCACATCACATGTTCACTACTTTTCACAATTATCGATTAATTACCTGGTTCAGCTATTGTCTTATCTGCTCTACCTGAGATTTATGTGCACTGATGCGATGTGAAATTTCATTTGCTTGTACGTGACTAAGAAAACAAACAAGATGACAAAGAAAACACAATACATGTCCATTGCTAACTTTTTAACTGCTTTTCTCCTTTTTTGAAAAAAAATTATAGTTCCAGAATTTGATGATCGCGGAGTAAATTTAAAATGGTCGCCAATTTGGCGACTTATGAAGAAATTTTAGGCACCACTCAAAAATTTTAGGCACCATGTCGACTAAATTAATCGCCAATTAGAGCCCTGTAATGTTCTGCAGCCTTAATTTGTTGGCTGATAATGAAGCAACCGTTTTCCACACTTAATGTGTAGTGTATTCTGTGGGAAGTGTAAGAACAAACTATTAAACTTCAGAAACTGTTTTTCTTTTCTATGGATGATTTTAAACATTATTTAAACACTCAAGTGCTTCAAAGTAAATCATTTACTTTATCTTCATTAATTGGCGATTCATTACATAATGATTAATGTCTTCCCCCAAATGTCAAATGTATGCATTTTAATCCAGTAAAATAGTAGAATAAACTGTATACTTGTATTTGTATTTAGTCAAAGTAAGGTCATTCCAAGTTTTTTCTATGTTTAGCACCTGGGTGCACCTTGGTTTTGGCACCCCAGATCACAAAAGCAAACAAAAACAGGGGCCCTGAAATTGATTCTTTTGGTCAAAACCTTTGAATTCTGTCAATTTCTTTCTATATTTATAAAAAATCTGTCATTTTAGGAATATATTAAGAATTTAATACCTTCATTTTCCTAATAAATAGATCTTTCTATAAGAAAAATAGATTGTTGAAATCAAATCCTTAGAATGGTGTCATTTTTCTGACTTTTAACTCTGTGTTTTAATTTTTGGCTTGTGTGTTTTTTGTGAATAGGTAGGTAGGTTTTTGAAAGATGGGTGGACACTAAACAGAGAAAAAACTTGGAATGGCCCAAGGTTTTCCTCACAATTCAGTTGGGAAAGTCTTTAACAAATGAGTTCTCCCTATGATGTTTATTATCATTTATTTCTCCAATTGAATTGAATCCATGAAATAATTAAAAAAAAAAAAAAAGAAAATAGCAGTAATTGTCCTTTATGTGGTAAACAAGGTAGAAAAAATTTCATGAAAATATGGACATTTAACAATGTACAGTAAAACTTGGTGAAAGGAAGTCACTGGGACTTTAAATTTTACTTTTTAATTAGTACCATGTTTCCTTTTGTCCATATAAGGAAATAATGAAAGTCGCCAAGGGGATTCATAAAAAAAATTCCTTATAATCAAGATTTCCTTATAAGAGAGTTCTTTATAACCAAGTTTTACTGTATTGGTATAATGCAATGTAAGTAGGACTCCATATTTTGAAAGATATTGGTATGTTATTAAAAAATATTTTAGGATCTGTGTTTTGGAGTGAACTGCGCTTTGATGAAGGTGGAAGATATGTTATCTGTTCACTGAAAGAGAATGAAAAAGATTTCAAAGTATGGACTCCAAAAGATTTTAATGCCAGAACCAGGGTACATGAGTATGGAGGGGGAGCTTTTTTTGTACATGAAGGAGCAGTATACTTCTCAAACTTCTCTGATCAGCAGATGTATATGCAGAAGTCACCAGACTGTACACCAGTCGCCATAACTCCAAAAGATTGTGGCTGGAGATATGCTGATGGATCTCTTTCTTCTAAAGTATGACATTTTTATTGATGTTTTACTGGCTATTTTTTGCAATCTCTAGCTGAATATAGGAACTATTTCATATTAGAGACATGTTATGCCTATTAGATCATCTTAAAAATAATGTTTGTTTGCCCTCCCACGACTCAGGATAAAAAAAAAAAAACATGGGTTGGTAGGTAGATAGGAATTTTTTTTCTCAGAAATTTTCAACATTAATGCTAAATTTTAAAAAATCTATTAAAATTGAAGGTACATGTATTTATAAAAGTAAAATAGCTGTTGATGGGATGAAATTGAAATTCTGTATTGAATTTGAAAAAATAATTGTTTCCTTGAGGTTTAAAAAAAGGTATGAGTTGGGCCATTTTTAGCCAGTCGGTCAGGATAGGACAAACAAACAATTTTTTAAAGACGCAGGCCTTAGTTGGGGACAAATACTTGACAATAGACAAGGTGTAGGTTAAGCTCACAGAACAATAAATCAATCCCGGGGGGGGGGGGGGGGGGAGTTCATGAAATTTTGCAAAAAGGCATTAATTGTTCCAACAAGTATAAAGATCAGTTATGGGTGTTATGTAAAGTTAGCATTATTTATATACCTTCACAAAATTGCAAACTTCTTGAAGGGAATACATGTACATAAACAAGAGGGGTCACTCAAGACTAGTCACAATAAGACCTACTGAATCAGATCAAAGTTTTTGAATTGTTGATTGATAGGATGGTGCTTCATTTGCTTGTACCTTTGGTGTCTTCAAACCCCCTAGTTAAACTTTCTTTTCCTTACTAAGAAACTGCCACCAGCATATGTGGGTATTGTTAATTCTATGTGTGGCGGTCAGACGGGTTCAATGGCCAGTGGCCAGATAGCTCAGTTGGTAGAGCACCTGACCAGAGATTCAGGGAGCCTGGGTTCTAATCTAGGTCTGGTCCATCTCATTTTTCTCCTCTCCTGTTACATATGAAAGATTTATATAAACGTACATGAATTGCAATTTTGACCTAATCTGAGTCTGGTGGTGTAAAACCAAAGACTTTCTGCTGAAGAGGAAATGGGGTCAAACAGATCAACAAAATTATAATAGGTGATGAAAATTATTTTGTTTATTCATAAAGCTTTCATGAACACAGTATAGCTAACCTAAAAGAACTACAGGTAAGAAGTGTTGATTTTTTTATGATACTTGATTTTTTTTGTTAGACAGGGAAAATCTACTGTATCCGGGAGGACCACAGTCTTGTTGAGAAGAAAGAGGCCAAAGAACCTCAAAATACAGTGGTAGCCATTGACCCCAAGACACAGAAACAAACAGTCCTGGTAAGTCAGGAAGCTGGAAGAAGGGGGGGGGGGAGGGTGCAAAAGAACAAGGGAGATTTCTCAGGCAATGCCTATAAATACCATCTTCATACAAAAAAGTCAAGAAATCTATTACACAATGTACTGAATGGAATACAGATTATAATATGGGTATAAATAAATACACACATAGAGATCCAGATAGTCATCATTAATGTTTGGGTCAGTTTCACTAACATTTGAGTTAGCAAGTCTTTTGGTTATTACCTATTGCATAATATATTGCCAAAGTTAAATCACGTCATATTGTACTAAAATATCTCGGAGTACTCACAAAGGCTTGAAATGTGCATATATTAAAAAAGACTATAAGATCGACACTTCTATCTACTGGTAGTCTAGGATTATTTTAAATTAATGAATAAAATATGAAGAACTATTTATTTTTATTTTGATTTATAATGGACATTCCTGTGCAGAAATTCACATTTCAAGTGTGAAGGTAAAATGTAACTTTAATTTCAGAGTCTGAAAAACAACTGCAGTGAGAAGGAAACACTTTTTCTCATCTTTTTAATGAGGGATGGCTAAAGTATTAAATGATTTAAAAGCAAATTTTTCTCAGGATACATGTACTTTTCTTTTTAATTGTCCATTCCTGTGTAAATTAGGTGATTTTGCTATATAATTGTGTGTAAATCCATGAAAATTGGACAATATTTTGAAATGGATACCAGTTCACTATACGATCAAGGCAAAGTAGTAAAATTTTGATTTTTATTTTTTGAAGCATGATTTATACTAATATATACATGTATGTAAAATTCAAAAAAAATTCTCCGGTCAATTTTCTTAATTTCCAACTATCTTGAGCCTTTTTATAGAAGCTTGTAGAGAAAATTTTCTAAACTGTACCCATTAGGATACAGTAAACACATGGCAATATACTGTGCCACAGTAGTGAAATAAAGTTAATAGATGAACTAAAGGAAATAAAACAAAATTTTGGTGTGATATATTCGTAATTCTATCAAGTTTGTAATTAAACAGGCCAGTGGTTGTGATTTTTACTCCAGTCCCAGATTTTCACCAGATGGAAAGAAGCTAGCTTGGGTTCAGTGGAATCACCCTAACATGGTAATGGGCAGTTTTTAGTTCACCTGAGCTGAAAGCTCAAGTGAATTTTTCTGATCACATTTTGTCCATCGTCCATCTGTAAACTTTTCACATTTTCAACTTTTTCTCCATAATCACTGGGCCAATTTCAACCAAACTTTCCACAGAGCATCCTTGGGTGAAGGGAATTGAAGTTTGTTCAAATGAGTTGTCACGCCTTCTTGCAATAGATGATATTAAATTAAGAATTAGTGAAAATTTGGTGGCATCTTTTAAAAATCTTCTTCTCAAGAACCACTTGGCCAAAAAAGTTGAAACTTATAAGGAACCTTCATTACATAGTGTAGACTAAATTTTATTCAAATCATGACCACCGGGGGTAGGGTGGGGCCACAATGGGGGATCAGAGTTTTACATAGGAATATATAGGGAAAAATTTGTTAAAGTCTTCTTTTCAAGAACAACAACAAGGCCATGATTAGTCATACTGATATGGAAGCATGCTCAGGTAGTTTATATTTAAATGTGTTCAAATCATAATCCCAGATAAGTTGGGGCCACAGTGGCAGATCAAAGGTTGACATAGGAGAAATCTTTAAGAATCATCTTTTCAAGAACAGTAAAGCAGTGGTCAGTCATATTTGTATGGAAGCATCCTCAGGTAGTGTAGACTCAATTTCGTTCAAATCATGACACTTGATGATAGAGTGGAACTGCAATGGCTGATCAAATTTTACATGAGGAATACACAGGAAAAATATTTAAAAATTTTCTTCTCAAGAACAGCAAAGCCATGACTAGTCATGTTTATCTAAAGGCATCATCAGGTATTGTAGATTCAAATTTTTTCAAACCATGACCCCTGGGGGTAGGGTGGGACCACAATGGCCAATCAAAGTTTTGCATAGGCATACATGGCAAAATCTTTTTAAAATCTTCCTCTCAGAAACAGCAAGGTCATGATTAGTCACATTTATATGGAAGCATCCTCAAGCCAAAAAAAATTAATCAATAGTTTCTCAGGCACTGCCGCATCAGGTCAAAAACTGCCACATTGCTCAATTTTATTGACATAGTGAAAAGGGAAATAACTCAATTTTCTATTTTTACAAGTTGGAAAGACAAGTTATTTTTTTATTTTTTTGTTATGTTTTTTTCAGCCTTGGGATAGTACAGCATTGTTTGTTGGAGAGCTTTCCAGTGGAGGAGATGAGATTGTTCCAGGATCTGCCAAACAGGTTGGTTGTGAAGTTCATTTTATGCATAAGTTACAGTATCTGGATTATTAGAAATGTGTATATGACAGTATCTTAAGATGGAATTCTGTGCTACATTTACAAAAAATATGTATTATATCATATTGCAAGCATATTATTACTTAAACACTTAGTTTTTGACTCAATACAGAGTCATCCAGGGTATGAAATGGAAATCAGTATTGGGCAAAGCAAAGTTCCTGTATAAATTTCCAGTTCACACCCTGGAAGAGTCTGTATTAGATCACAAACTAATTGTGTTCCAAAATTCATCCCAGCAAAGTCCTAGCTAACAAGATTTGCTTCGAGGTCAGTAACATATTAAGATAAAATTCAAAATCTAACTGAACATCATATATTCTCAGTATTAAATAGTCAGTTAAAGATATATACATGTATAATAAATTTCAACAAACAAATTGTTTGTTTGCCGCTATTTGTTTGCATCAGGTGCATGTACAACTGGATCTAGAGTTTCAGATGTACAATTGATTTGTTTTGATTACATAGCTTTCATGATAGTTTATTTAATTGATGTCTTTGATTGCCAAGGGGTATATATATATATATATATATATATATATATATATATATATATATATATATATATATATATATAACAAGATTTGAAGACCTTTGTTATAATTACCTTATTTAAATCTGTGCTTGTTGGTATAAGATTACACAGACATCAAAAGCATGGGACTCTTTTTTAAAGAATGGCTGATTTTAAATTGTTCAAGTGTAAAGTATTAGAAATGGAATTACCTTATACAGATGGAACAATGAATATGCTAAATTACCTCAGACTAAAACTTAACACTGAAACCATGTACAAGACATATTGTAAAAACAGCCATACACTTACAGGATATTTGAATTCTCCTCCATTGCAACATATATCAGGGCTGAGAAAGAGAATGTAACAAGAGCTCTTAGTACATAAAGGATAAGATAAACATAGAAATTTTTACTATGAGATGTACATATCACCAGCAAGGATGTTTAGAGGTCTAAGAAAAAAATCTGAGTACTTCACTGTTTTAAATTTATTTTTTATTTTATTTTAAACCAAGGTTATATATTGCATCTCTCTCTGTCTCCCTCTCTCTCTCTCTACACATACAGTTGAACTTCGGTATCTCAAATACCATGGATATGTCGTAGTAATTTTGAAGTCCTATTATCACTTATTATTAAAAGTATTTTATTCTCAATATCTCAAATCCTCGGATATCTCAAAGTTTTTCCTCTGTTCCATCGATTCAAGATAACGAGATTTCAGTGTGTATATATATATATACGATTAATATGGAACTGCCTAAAAAATCACTATACTGTAAATGTGAATTCATTATAAGCTAGGGTGTCAGCTGTAAGTAACCATGTTGTATTCTTTGGGCATTGATTTTCATTGTTCTGTCTCGGATTGATTTTCAGATATCTAATAATTTAAATAAATCCTCAGCTATTGAAATCAGCATCTAAAATTTCTCCTTCCTGAGGTTATAAGTGCATTCAAAAAAAGTTGGTGGAAAGAATGCTCTTAGACATCTCAGTACTTTGATTGTAGGTTGCAGGAGGTGAGGGAATCAATGTGATGCAGCCCATGTGGAGTCCTAATGGAGATCTCCTGTACATCAGTGATCAGACAGGGTGGTGGAACCTGTATCAGTGCTCCCCAGAGGGGAATCACCAAAATTTGCTCCCCTGTGAGGCAGAGGTGGGAGGGTGTCAGTGGGTGTTTGGAAGACCTGATTATGCAATCGATCCCTCTGGCAGTGGCAATGTCATTCTGAAAATGAAAGGGGTAAGGCTTTGATATCTGTATCTCATTAATGCATTATATTTGTTATAATTGCATGCAGGTAATAGCACATGTATATTTCAATACAAACATTCATACAAAAAATTCCTCTTTCTGGAAGGTTAATTAATATTGTATATTTTCTTTTACTTTAATGTCATCTCTAACAGATTTTGAAAATACTACTTTTCCAAAACAAGAAAGGGTTAAAAATGTATTGTACATGTACAATCTACTGTAGCTCTTCATATTAACTCTTACAATTTGTGATGTGCTACAAAATTTAATAATTTGTAATTCTTCACAGGAAATTATGAAGTTGGATGTCAAAACAAAGGAATGCAAAAAGATAGAGGTGGGATACACATCTTATAACATGCTAAATTTTGGCTGGAATGGAAAATTATACTGTGAGGTGGGAAGCCCTACAAAATTTCCCTGCATAGTACAGCTGAACACACAAAATGGAGAGGTAAGATTGCCCTACAAAGGAATTTATTAAGTTTTCATGGTGGACATTAATTTAAGGAGAAGCAGGACACATGACTCAATTGACTATTCATATTTCACATGTATTTCTTGTGACAAGATCTTCCCTTAGGCACCAACAATTTGGGCCTGTTATCCTTGACCTTGGAATTTGACCTGCTTGTGAAAATTTTAACTTGACCATAACTTTTGAATGTTTGGTGCTAGGGCTTTCATATTTCACATTGTATTTCTTGTGACAAGAGGTTCCCTTGGGCACCTTAATTTTGACCATTTGACTTTGACGTTTGACTTACTTTTTAAAAACTTTAACCTTGCACCTTTTGAATGGTTGGTGTAAGGGTTTTCTTATTTAATTCACAGTTATATTCTTTGACACAAGACTTTTCTCTGGGTACCAACATTTTTGATCTATTGACCTTGGAGTTTGACTTGCATTTAAGAAACTTTACCTTTGCCCTAAGCTGCCATTCAGGGGCATCAGTACATGTATTTCACAAACACATCTTGTGTTTCAAATGAATTTCAGGTGAAGGGAATAAGGGAATCAAAATCGCTATCCTTGGACAAGGACTATTTCAGTATCCCTGTAGATTACAGCTGGAAGACTACGGACAATGATGTCTGCTATGGATTCTTGTATACCCCAAAGAACAAGGATTACAAGGCTCCTGATGGAACCCTTCCACCACTCCTTGTCAAGGCACATGGAGGACCAACAAGTATGTCAAATTTCATTGACTTTATTTAGAACAGGTTTCCTATTGTAGGAGAGATAGGGGGTGGGGCTTAGGACAAGAGGAAAAATTCAAGTCACAGCCCTGTATCTCTCAAACAATAGGAAATATGTATTCTAATTGACTTGTAACAAGACTTTTCTGATGACCTCACTAGTCTACATATGTGTATGGGTATTACTTGTACTTTTCAACCAATCAAATGATTCTGCAGCAAGTTGACAAATTGTTATCAGTTATGGTTAAAATTCTGAGTGTGGTGCACATGCACTGTAACAGATGGACAATATTACCATTTATAATATTGGTATGTGTTATATAACATGTTTTCCTCTCTGAACTGATTTTGTGTCCTGTAGAGGTTTAAAAATAATTTTATTTACATATTTATAAAGAAGTCTTAAAATCTTTAAAATATTAAACTGACATTATTTTCCCAAGTGTTTTGAAATTCAGTTCATCTGAAAACTTTAGTACCCCATTGTAAGTTTTGTTATGATTTAATACTTCCCTGAACATATTTTGATAGTTATACTTGAAGGAAAACATGTATATTGCAAATTTGCTATATATATTTCAACAAATTTGTCATACAGATAAAGCAAATTACATATAGCCAAAAAAAAAAAAAGCCCTGAACTTTTCTATAAATGAGTTTTACTGTATATGATGAACAAACCTTTTTACCTGTAACTGTTCTTATTTGAAGCAGTACTAGTAATCCCTTAATTTTGTTTTTTGTGTTGTAGGTTACAGCCCTAACACACTTAGGCTTCTCATTCAGTACTTTACAAGTCGAGGTTTTGCTGTATTGGATGTTAACTACAGAGGAAGTAATGGATTTGGTACACAATACAGAAACAAACTCAAAACAAAGTAATTATTGTATATCAAAGAAGCAATGAATATCTAAAATTTAGTATATGTCCATGTACAGGTATTCTTATTAGCTCACTTGAGTCAAAGGCTCAAGTGAGCCTTTCTGATCAAAAGTATGTCTATCATTTATTGGTATCTGTCTGTCATCTGATCTTTTTCCACAAATTTTGATGTCTCTTTTCAAGAAAATCTGGACCATTATCAGACTTGGCTCAAATTATCCTTGGATGAAGGGGATTCAAAATTATTATTTCTTTTTTTTTGAAATGAAAATTTTCCAATAGGAAATAATAAAGAAATAATGAAAATAGACTGTCACAGGTCATTTTAAACATTCTCAAGAACTGCTGAACCTGAAATAAAAAAAGCTTATGTGAAAGGCTTCTATCACAAAAACAATATAACTGAACATTCTTTAAATGGCTGTAACAAATGGATGTGTTTTAAAGGTTGTAAAAATATTTGAACCACTAATTGGATGCTTTTTTTTTTTAAAAAAAATATGACTGACTGGCATTCAATGACAGTCAATGGCATGACTGGCTTCTCACCCATAGTTATATCCCATGCACAATTTACATCTCTAAAATCTTTCATCTATAATATCTTTTTACTAGATGGGGAATATATGATGTTGATGACTGCTGCACAGGGGCTCAGTCTTTAGCTGATGAAGGTCAAGTGGACAAGAATTGTCTGTGTATTGATGGGGGATCAGCAGGGGGATATACCACACTGGCTTGTCTGGCCTTCAAGAATGTGTTTAAAGCAGGTAAAATAAGGTTGACAGAAAATATTTCAGTTCATTCCAACCATTGGGAAATATTAACAGTATGTGTCAGCTAGCACTCTGGAGAACATTTTTATTGCACAAGTTTTTCACTTTTTATGTGATTTTTCAAATCACCCGTTAGTTGTCTCCCTTTTGTGTATGTATACATGGAAGTATTAAACAAAAGAACATTGATTAGTATTGAAGGACACATGTCATTAAAAAGATTCTTCACTCTGAATGTATTAGACAAACATCTGATAACAATGCACAGATGGATTAATAATGAACTTTAACACCAGTGGCAGCAACTCTCCAGAATACAGAAGCTAGTGTATAAGAATCAGACAAGAGCATTCATGTAGTAATCCTGTGTAAAAAAGTGTAAAACAAGATGTGCTTGATAAACACAAATGCCCCAAAAGTGTCCATTTATAATGAAAGACAATGATTCGGAGGGATGCACGGTTTAAACAAATAAGTAACTGTAAGGCCAAAATAAAAAACCTTTGTTTCCCCTAATGCGACCGACCCAATAAAATCTAGCCGACTGAAAAGTTTTTATTCAATTTTTTTTATGTTTATCAACTTTCATAAAATAAAATTTCATCAAAATCTGCATTTATCAGAATGGCTGAAATTGTTCTACAGTGATTTTCAAGCGTATTGTGCCCATAACATGTGGTCACAGAGGATTATTTCGTTTACAGTGTTATAAAACAACTTATCAACATTATGCCTTTAGCTTATTAGAATCCTACACTCTTTAAACATTTCGTTAATAAAATATACCATGACTAATTAAGAGTGTTTCGGTGGTATTTGCAATCCTGTCTTTTAAAATTGAGGTACTTAGTACATGGTAAGGCCAGCCTCATGAACAGTCCAGGCCGGGCATACTTTGTGGACATATCAATCAATTTCACTGCATTTTATTTGAGTTTTGATGTGGTTTGAGTGTTTGAAGACTACAGTGTATATGTGGTTATACAGATCAATCACATAATATAAATGGTAAATAATTGATGTTCTACTGATTTAAATCAGGATTTATCTCACTACTGTTATGATCTTTGGTGTTGTTCAGTGTGTGTTAAAATGTCATGAGTAATTCACAACTATATCTTAACCATCCCTGTCTTAAATTACAGGACCTTGATAGTTACAATGTACTAGTGTTGTACCAATAATCAGAGAACATCGATTGTCGATGAAAAAATGCTACCAATTCCGATGATCAATTATTATTTTTCATAATCGATCATCAGTAACGAACTTTTTATAAAATACAATCTGGAATTATCCGTTCCCAGTTTAAAATTAAATGAAAGAAAAATGGCATCTTATGTGTTATAAAGCCAACTAGCACAAAGCATAGGTGATTAAGAACCAAAAGGTACAAATATAGAAAGTGTAAAAGAAGCAAAACAACAAAGAAAACAATATATTTTATATATTCATGTTAAAGAAATAAAATGAAATACTTGTAATAGTCTGCTTTTTATATACAAAACTATTACATCCGATTATAATCAGAAAAATCACATCGGAAGCAGTAACCAATTCCAACCGATGATCAGTTAAAAAAATTACCCGATGTCCCATCACTAGTAGTCACAAGTAATTGCACAGTTTTCAGTGCAATTTTCAGTTCATATACCGGTAGCAATGCAAAATAAATTTAATCAGTGAGTTAATATATAGCTGTATTATTGAGAAGGCACTAAGAAATTGATGGACTAAGAAATTCTCATAGATGTACACAAAAGCAGTAGGCCTATCCACTTTTAGGCCATCACTAAAAAATATCTTTGTTTCCCCTAACCCGACCCTAAAATCTCAAGTTGGGTAGGTAGGTAGGTAAATAATTTTTTTTTCTGACAGAAGCTTTGAAAATACCTTCTGAAATTTAATGGAATAATACCTTTATATTAAAATAAGATCAGTACAAAAGAAAGCGATTTGTAAACAGAACATCATACAAATGCTGTTTAAAAGCAAAATTTAAGGTAAATTAATTCACAACTATTATCAAATTGAACTTGTGAAATATCTGATGCCAGTGTAAATTTATTGAAATCGAATAATTAAAAAACAAGATTTTCAGATACTAGTACGCAAAGACCGACATCCGAGTATATTTTTCAAACCTCTAAATTTAATGTCTAAAATGTCATTGAAAATACTGAATCCAATCCATTTGCATTAAAAATATTTAGTTATATTCAGTGTAATTTCCTTAATGAAATCCAGTGGAAATCTGCAATATTAAATACCCTACTGTGCGGTGGAATACACAGTAGGAACTATATGCATTTTCAATACTTTAGGAACCAAAATGTATATTGTTTTGGCTCAATTAACATGTCTGATCTTTTCTTCAGAAAAATAAGTGATTTAAATTTTTTTTGGAAAAATATTAGTGCTCTCATATATATTATATATTGTATATATATAAGACTGTAAGTTCTATGGTTCAAAAGTTTCTAGGAAAGCTAAAGTTTTTGACAGAAATGACAGATTTGCAGACAGTACAAAAACAATACGCCTCCAGATCTGTGATCTTGAGGCATAAAAAAACTTTTAGAGCAAATGCATGTACATTGTACAAGTACCAGCTACATCAATCCTAACTCCTTTCGAAACTCTTTGCATCTTGGTTGTCAAATGCACTGGGGTTTCATTTTGGCACATTTTAAAATAATGTTTTGAGTTTTTTCACCTCCATTGTAGAATTTCAATCTTTTTCATAGGTACCAGTCTATATGGTGTAGCAGATCTTGAGGCACTGGTCAGAGATACCCACAAATTTGAGAGTCGGTACATTGATAACCTTGTTGCTCCTTACAGTGAAGAAACCAAAAAGATTTATGATGAACGCTCTCCTATCCATTATGTTGATAAACTCAACTGTGCAATGGCATTCTTTCAGGGAGATGAAGACAAGGTTAGTTATTTAATATATACATGTAAATTGAATCTAAAAAATGCACAAATTTTATCAGCAATGATTAGGTCAAAAAATGACATCTTTATTCAGTATTTGAATATTGATAATTTTCATTATATTGGGAAGTTATATGATGGAGTATATTAATCTACTGTGAATACGTAAATTCTCAGATTGTTCCACCAAATCAAGCAGAAATGATGTATGAAGCTGTAAAAGCCAAAGGCTTGCCAACAGTATTGGTCATGTTCAAAGGTAAGGCAATAAAAAAGAGCAGAAAATAGCATTTCTTTTTTTTTTTATTTGATTTTTAACTCACCTGAGCTTTCACCAGAGCTGAAAGCTCAATTGAGCTTTTTAAATCACATTTTGTCTGTCTCTTCATCTGTAAATTTTTCACATTTTTAACTTCTTTTCAACCAATTTCAAGCAGACTTGCCACAAAACATTCTTGGGTAAGGGGGATTTAAAATTGCTCAAATGGAGGCCCATGTCCTCTTTCAAGGGGAGATAATTAAGAATTAGGGAAAATTTAATGGCATCTTTGTAAATATCTTTTGTCAAAAACCACTGTGCCACATGAGATGAAACTTATAAATAAGCTTCATTACATAGTGTAGATTCAAATTTGTACAAATCATGACCCTCCAGAGGTAAAGGGTAAGGCAACAATGGGCGATCAAAGTTTTACATAGGAACATGTAGCAAAAATCTGGAAAAATTTTCTTCTCAAGAACATGAAAGCAATTATTAGTCATATTTATATAGAATCATTCTCAGGTAGTGTAGATTTAGGGTGGGGACACAATTGGTGATCAATGTATTACATTAAAATATTCAGAAATTTTTTTTAAAAAAATCTTCCTCTCAGGAACAGAAAAGCCATTATTTTAACTATGTTAAAATATTGTCATACCTAGATAGATATTAACTTTCTAATAGAAAATTGACATTTTCAGAGTATGGGTGCAAAAGGGAAATAACATCTTCTTTTCTGCTTGAAAAATAGAAAATCAAGTTCTTCCACTGATCAATACATGAATAAAATTCATCAATGCAGCAGTGTTTGACCTTAGATGCAGCTGTGCCTTAGAACCTGTAGATTTTTTTTTATCGACCTCATGCTTTTATTTTATCATGATTATTGTAAGACATTCATAATTTTTTTTTTTCTGAGGAGTTAAATTAGCTAGGATATAACATGAACTTAGATTAGGTGCAAAATGTGTATTCACTAATTCTATCATAATTGTGGTATTCTCTACAGTTTTCCTATATTAACTCTTGCACACCAAACAATAAACATATTATCCTTTAATATATTTCAGGAGAGCAACATGGTTTCAGAAAAGCTGAGAATATACAGACAGCCCTGGATGGGGAATTCTATTTCTTTGCTAAAGTATTTGGCTTTGAGCCAGCTGATAAACACATGTCTGTAAGTCTCTGTTTGATCACTGAAATGTGCATAATAACATTTTTCATCTTATGACCCTAATAAGGTCATTTTTAGTGAAGCAGGTATAAATTATGCTCAGTCAAGAGGATGTCGGTAGTGTGGAATAACACACACTGTCAATCTTACCTCAAATGTTTAACAATTACCTTTCAAAATTATAATCCTTATAGATACAGTAATTTATATTGATCATTGAAAACAGGAGTTTGTTTAATCATGACTTTTTTTTTCTTTTCAGCTTGACATTAAAAATCTGAAAGGATGAGATGACATACATTTATTTAAAAAAAAGACTATTTAGTCAGAATGCAATTAAATGGACACCTGTTTGATACATTAAAGCAAATTTTATATCCAGATTTTACATATTTTGACTTTTGCATTGATGATAAATGAGTAAAGTGCACTGATTGCTTAATGCATGATAAATTTTAAAAGATGATCCCCATGATGTGCCCTTACAGCTTCTCTTAAAAAAAAATGGATTGGTTCACAGTCTGTAAGCACCTCACTGTACATAAATAAGTTTTGTTATATAGATCCCTTTTTAACTCCAGTCCAATTTACTTACATAGCATGTTTCAATTTCAATGTAATAATCAATACAATCTTTGATCTGATTCCAGCTTTGACTTGTGCATACAAATTCATAAAAGCAATTTTTTGAAAATTCATCCTATCATACTCAGTGAAATTGAATGGAATGATTTATCTGTACATAAAAAAATGGCTCCAACACTCTGAATGCCTTCAAGCAATAAATTAAAAATGAAACAATGTCTAAATAATTTGTGATTATCAATTGTTTGTCTACATGTATGTATATTTATGTTTATGGTCAGGAGGCCCTGGGAAAGAATATTTCTTGTACTAATCATGTTACATTTTTTTAAATAAAGTTTTACTATTATTATTATTGATTTTGTTATATTATTATTTTTAAGAATATTGCGATGGTCTAGGGGTTTGTTTGCCGGTGGCCAGTGATATCTCAGTTGATTCAGTAGGCCTAGGTTTGATTCAGGTCTTGTCTGCTGAATTTTCTCCCTTCCTGGTGGTGCTTAATCATTCACTGGAATTAACAGGTAAAAGATGTGGCAGGGAGGAGTCTGGGTTGCTTTCTTTGGAGGGTGATGACTAGTGATGACATTTAAGGAGTAAAGCAGTAAGGGGTTGATTAAATTGCTCAATTGGTAAAGCACTTTTCTAAAATTTTGAGGACCCAGTTTGAATCCTGATCTGTTCCATCACATTGTCTCCCTTTTCATATCTAATGTGTGAAGAATTGTATTAATTTTAAAATTTGTATGCTGAAATATCGAATTCGTATAATTTGAAGTATGGCAAAAACAGATTTCTTTTCAAACGGTTTAATAAACAAGAAATGGTATTTAAAAGTTACTGTTCACAAATCATTGCAAAATTATATTTTTAATTGAGAACTGTTTTTTGATTTATACATAACCAAAGAAATGTCTCCATTTTCACTTCTTAAAATATTTTTACATATATAAGTGAAATATTTCTAATTTACTTCTTTTCTTTAATTAAGTTTAATTAAAAGTCATTATGTTTCATTCAATTAATCCTAGATTTTCTTTTGGAAATTACGTACATAGTTTAATTAAATGGCCACTTTTGGGCTTCATGGCAGAATCACTCATACAGACGTTTTACTGTACATGAGTGATTCTTATCACGCAAAGAGGTGTTAAGAAAATTAGTCTCCTGTAAGGCTTTGACTAACGGCATCAAGATTGACACTAAGTATTGAAATCATTCTATTGTATGATTAACATTTATATATCTAATGACAACTTTAACCTGAGGTCGTGCTTATTTAAACAATGAAATGCTTTCTGACATTTTATTGTTCATGTTGTTTATATCTGTATAAATTTTAATGACCGTGTTAAGTTAAATATTGTATAATTGATTAGTACGTCATTGTATGTTTCACTGAATGCAGATAGAAGATCTGCTGCTCAGATTACGTGTAACATAACAAATGAACTTCGGCAAAGAGACAAAGAACTCTGCAGGTAAACCTTCAATCTTGGAATACAAGTAGTCAGTTCATGGCACATTCATTAAAAAAAACATGACGTTTTCTTTTGTGTCTCGCGTACTTGTGGTTGGTCCTACTCTTTTCCCCAAATACACAACACCCACTTTTGATGGTTTTTTTTTTTTTTTTTTTTTTTTTTTTTACGAATTGTATTTACCATTGGAAAAATCTGGTAATTAAATTGTGACGTGTTAGAAAATGAGAAATTTAGACAATCTTATAATAATGAAAATGGTATGAATGTGTTGATTAAAGCACAACAATTCAGCGTAGATTTTTTTTTTATCATAATGCGTTGACATGAAAACACAAAGTATAAATTTTAATATTGGTAATAATTACAGGGACAATAAAATTATTTAGATTAGGAACCGTGCCCATTTCCGGGCCCAATCCCTCCAATTTTGCCAATATAAACTTTAAAATAGATAAACAAAGCTAACGTTTCGGTTGTACTCCCTCTGAAATAAGGTTTGATGGCATTTTTTTTCTTTACCTATGAAAGTATATATGTTAATAAATTTTTAATCAATAAAAGGCATACATGTGCATTGATAGTGCAGTAGAAAACCACGCTACTATAAGTGAAAAAAATAAATTAGAAATTATACAAAAGATATGGGAAATTTGAAAAAAAAAAAAAAAAAAGATTATTGCAATAGGCTTAAACTATCTCACTTTTCAGTACCTGAAGAAAATACTTAAATATTTCTGTATTAAAGCGTTGGATCCGCCTAAAGATCCAACTATCTCTATAAAACGGGAGCCTCTTAAAACCAGTTTTAACCAGTTTGTTACTTCGTCATAGACCCATTTACTCGAAAATCCTCTCGCTGTTGATGATTTACTTTTCTTAACTGATGTGTAAATATCTATATTTTTAGCGTTTTTTATGCAGACTTTTTTTAAAGATTTAGTTTCAAAGAGTGAGATTTAAGTTTTTAGTAAAAAATTATATCTTTTTTAGTTCAAAGTTTTGCGTACTATATTGTGTTACATCATGCGTAGTATTTCACAACAAACTGTATAAATAGTCGTGCAGCAAACGACGCCGAGGTGCGGGATTGATTAGTTTGTTTATGGTAGGGTGTATCTTTTTACGCGGAAATTCATTTTATGTTAAAAGTGTTTTATTTTACGAATTATTTGAAATTCGTGTATAATTTCATGTGTATTCGTAAGATATATTGTTCTTCTGAATTAGAATGATTCATTTTTTGTGTATTGTACATTTTAAACCAAAAAAATGACTATTGTTCGAGAATCCAATATGGCGTCGAGGAAGCTCGGAGAGCAAAAACGAGAATTGAGAACTGTGTTGGTAAAAAGATTGCTGACGAAGAAGAGGAAATACTCCAGAAACACGTATATTTGTGCGCTTATTCAAAGTACTGTGAAAAAAATTCTAGAAGTGAAGAGACCGAAATCTCTTGAAAACCCAACAGATGGTGATCGTAATTTCGTTTCACTGGGACTCGATCATGGTTGTAATGTTGAATTAAGGAGTGATCCTTTAGATATAGATAAGTTTTTAAACAAATTGTAGGTCAGGTAATTTTTGAATAAAAAAAACGGGTTCATTCATTTATAAGAAAGTGTACTGTTTTTAGTGATCCTATTATACTACCTAAAGGGATCATCCATTGTATTGTGTTCAAACATAAGTATATGTACTGCTTTTAATGACCAAAATAAAAACATTGCTTTTTTGTTGCCTAATTGCTTATTTTGTACTTTATTGCAGTGCAGGGTCCATGAAGGCTCTGAATTGTAGAATTGTATGGCTGTTCATTGCAACATCATAACGTAAGACTCCTTGTTAGTGTGGACCAAACCCACCTCCTCTGAGATTCCCCCATCTTGATGCCGCTTTGCTGCCCTGTCATTATCTGCCATGGCTGCCCCTAGATATGTTATAGCAAAGAAAGTAGGAATAGGCCTTGGATGGAAAAGTCCAAGCTGTTAACTGGTGAAAGAGTTGAAAGTATGGTCAACATTGATCTACTAATTCCATCAAGCAATGATTATTGATGACCTAGTGGTAATCTTAAATGGCCTAGATCATCCATCGTCACAATATTGAGAAGGATATGCCCTTTTCCCCTGCTCTTTAAACATGACTGAAGTATTACAAGACCAGTTGTCTATGACTTGGGAAGTGTAAAATGCTGTGGTTTGTAGACAAAGATCGTTCAAGTATCAAAGTTAAACCTTTTCTTTGTTTAGCAAGCAATTTATGTTAAATTTAGTAAGAAAACTTTAAAGTGACTTAAATTGGGTATCATCAATTATTTACAAATGTTAATAGATAAATTGCATTTTTACATCCAGAGGATGCCGAGACAATATTTAAAACTGAATGTGACTTTTCAAGACTTAACATGTCATTATGTCAAGTTCTGTTTTGAATGTTTGGATTGGTTGATGGGTGAGGCAATGCAATTCAATTGAAAATTATAAAATAATTGTGAAAATTTGACATTTCACAGCAGCACATGGGTTCTTAACAAGGAGCCAGTAAATGAAATTCAATGGATCTGAGGGTGTAATTCCAGAGTAATTGATGAAAGGGAGGAAACATCTGCTCTGATCCTTATCCTCATACATTGAAGATGAGGAGGAATCATCATTGCTTCTGGTTGATAATTTAAGAGGAATCGTCTCCCATCTTGCATTAGAAAATTCTGGCTTCCAGAAAATTTGTGTACCTTGACAGTGAACCAATAGATAAAGGTCTTATTATTAAGGTTTTGTGGTGTGAAGGTAGAACATTTATGTAGTAAGGTAAAATGATGAAAATGTTTAAATTTTACAACAGGAACCATTCAAACCACAATTTTCGTATTGTGCTTGTTTAATTGGTAAAAAATATATTGCATTACATTGGTTATTTCAGCTTTGAACGTCCCATGGGGTCTTTCTGCAGAATATCACCCCAATACTCCTCTCTAAAGCACCTCTCCAGAATTTCTCATGGAAAATCAACTAGAATCCTTTCAAAGAAACTTTCAGTCCCTGTTAAAAAAAGACATGAAAGAGACAACCTTTCCCTTTGTACTAGAGCAGAGGGCCTTGCAGTCTTGATTCCCCTTTGTAAAATCCTGAAATGCCAAGGGAAGGTAATTTGTTGTGTCATCATATTGATAACAAAATGAAACTTTTTTGTTAATTGAAGGGAAGGGAGGGAGTAGTTTCACTTTACAGGTGAATGAAATTACAAAACCCCAGAAGAGCGCAAAGTATGGTCAATCTTGATCTACAGTGCCCATCTTACAGTGCAGACTTAATGGTTATCAGAGGTACCCAGATTAAATGGCTCAGTTCTTCCACCGTTACAGTATGGATTCTTGTATACCCCAAAGAACAAGGATTACAAGGCTCCTGATGGAACCCTTCCACCACTCCTTGTCAAGGCACATGGAGGACCAACAAGTATGTCAAATTTCATTGACTTTATTTAGAACAGGTTTCCTATTGTAGGAGAGATAGGGGGTGGGGCTTAGGACAAGAGGAAAAATTCAAGTCACAGCCCTGTATCTCTCAAACAATAGGAAATATGTATTCTAATTGACTTGTAACAAGACTTTTCTGATGACCTCACTAGTCTACATATGTGTATGGGTATTACTTGTACTTTTCAACCAATCAAATGATTCTGCAGCAAGTTGACAAATTGTTATCAGTTATGGTTAAAATTCTGAGTGTGGTGCACATGCACTGTAACAGATGGACAATATTACCATTTATAATATTGGTATGTGTTATATAACATGTTTTCCTCTCTGAACTGATTTTGTGTCCTGTAGAGGTTTAAAAATAATTTTATTTACATATTTATAAAGAAGTCTTAAAATCTTTAAAATATTAAACTGACATTATTTTCCCAAGTGTTTTGAAATTCAGTTCATCTGAAAACTTTAGTACCCCATTGTAAGTTTTGTTATGATTTAATACTTCCCTGAACATATTTTGATAGTTATACTTGAAGGAAAACATGTATATTGCAAATTTGCTATATATATTTCAACAAATTTGTCATACAGATAAAGCAAATTACATATAGCCAAAAAAAAAAAAAGCCCTGAACTTTTCTATAAATGAGTTTTACTGTATATGATGAACAAACCTTTTTACCTGTAACTGTTCTTATTTGAAGCAGTACTAGTAATCCCTTAATTTTGTTTTTTGTGTTGTAGGTTACAGCCCTAACACACTTAGGCTTCTCATTCAGTACTTTACAAGTCGAGGTTTTGCTGTATTGGATGTTAACTACAGAGGAAGTAATGGATTTGGTACACAATACAGAAACAAACTCAAAACAAAGTAATTATTGTATATCAAAGAAGCAATGAATATCTAAAATTTAGTATATGTCCATGTACAGGTATTCTTATTAGCTCACTTGAGTCAAAGGCTCAAGTGAGCCTTTCTGATCAAAAGTATGTCTATCATTTATTGGTATCTGTCTGTCATCTGATCTTTTTCCACAAATTTTGATGTCTCTTTTCAAGAAAATCTGGACCATTATCAGACTTGGCTCAAATTATCCTTGGATGAAGGGGATTCAAAATTATTATTTCTTTTTTTTTGAAATGAAAATTTTCCAATAGGAAATAATAAAGAAATAATGAAAATAGACTGTCACAGGTCATTTTAAACATTCTCAAGAACTGCTGAACCTGAAATAAAAAAAGCTTATGTGAAAGGCTTCTATCACAAAAACAATATAACTGAACATTCTTTAAATGGCTGTAACAAATGGATGTGTTTTAAAGGTTGTAAAAATATTTGAACCACTAATTGGATGCTTTTTTTTTTTAAAAAAAATATGACTGACTGGCATTCAATGACAGTCAATGGCATGACTGGCTTCTCACCCATAGTTATATCCCATGCACAATTTACATCTCTAAAATCTTTCATCTATAATATCTTTTTACTAGATGGGGAATATATGATGTTGATGACTGCTGCACAGGGGCTCAGTCTTTAGCTGATGAAGGTCAAGTGGACAAGAATTGTCTGTGTATTGATGGGGGATCAGCAGGGGGATATACCACACTGGCTTGTCTGGCCTTCAAGAATGTGTTTAAAGCAGGTAAAATAAGGTTGACAGAAAATATTTCAGTTCATTCCAACCATTGGGAAATATTAACAGTATGTGTCAGCTAGCACTCTGGAGAACATTTTTATTGCACAAGTTTTTCACTTTTTATGTGATTTTTCAAATCACCCGTTAGTTGTCTCCCTTTTGTGTATGTATACATGGAAGTATTAAACAAAAGAACATTGATTAGTATTGAAGGACACATGTCATTAAAAAGATTCTTCACTCTGAATGTATTAGACAAACATCTGATAACAATGCACAGATGGATTAATAATGAACTTTAACACCAGTGGCAGCAACTCTCCAGAATACAGAAGCTAGTGTATAAGAATCAGACAAGAGCATTCATGTAGTAATCCTGTGTAAAAAAGTGTAAAACAAGATGTGCTTGATAAACACAAATGCCCCAAAAGTGTCCATTTATAATGAAAGACAATGATTCGGAGGGATGCACGGTTTAAACAAATAAGTAACTGTAAGGCCAAAATAAAAAACCTTTGTTTCCCCTAATGCGACCGACCCAATAAAATCTAGCCGACTGAAAAGTTTTTATTCAATTTTTTTTATGTTTATCAACTTTCATAAAATAAAATTTCATCAAAATCTGCATTTATCAGAATGGCTGAAATTGTTCTACAGTGATTTTCAAGCGTATTGTGCCCATAACATGTGGTCACAGAGGATTATTTCGTTTACAGTGTTATAAAACAACTTATCAACATTATGCCTTTAGCTTATTAGAATCCTACACTCTTTAAACATTTCGTTAATAAAATATACCATGACTAATTAAGAGTGTTTCGGTGGTATTTGCAATCCTGTCTTTTAAAATTGAGGTACTTAGTACATGGTAAGGCCAGCCTCATGAACAGTCCAGGCCGGGCATACTTTGTGGACATATCAATCAATTTCACTGCATTTTATTTGAGTTTTGATGTGGTTTGAGTGTTTGAAGACTACAGTGTATATGTGGTTATACAGATCAATCACATAATATAAATGGTAAATAATTGATGTTCTACTGATTTAAATCAGGATTTATCTCACTACTGTTATGATCTTTGGTGTTGTTCAGTGTGTGTTAAAATGTCATGAGTAATTCACAACTATATCTTAACCATCCCTGTCTTAAATTACAGGACCTTGATAGTTACAATGTACTAGTGTTGTACCAATAATCAGAGAACATCGATTGTCGATGAAAAAATGCTACCAATTCCGATGATCAATTATTATTTTTCATAATCGATCATCAGTAACGAACTTTTTATAAAATACAATCTGGAATTATCCGTTCCCAGTTTAAAATTAAATGAAAGAAAAATGGCATCTTATGTGTTATAAAGCCAACTAGCACAAAGCATAGGTGATTAAGAACCAAAAGGTACAAATATAGAAAGTGTAAAAGAAGCAAAACAACAAAGAAAACAATATATTTTATATATTCATGTTAAAGAAATAAAATGAAATACTTGTAATAGTCTGCTTTTTATATACAAAACTATTACATCCGATTATAATCAGAAAAATCACATCGGAAGCAGTAACCAATTCCAACCGATGATCAGTTAAAAAAATTACCCGATGTCCCATCACTAGTAGTCACAAGTAATTGCACAGTTTTCAGTGCAATTTTCAGTTCATATACCGGTAGCAATGCAAAATAAATTTAATCAGTGAGTTAATATATAGCTGTATTATTGAGAAGGCACTAAGAAATTGATGGACTAAGAAATTCTCATAGATGTACACAAAAGCAGTAGGCCTATCCACTTTTAGGCCATCACTAAAAAATATCTTTGTTTCCCCTAACCCGACCCTAAAATCTCAAGTTGGGTAGGTAGGTAGGTAAATAATTTTTTTTTCTGACAGAAGCTTTGAAAATACCTTCTGAAATTTAATGGAATAATACCTTTATATTAAAATAAGATCAGTACAAAAGAAAGCGATTTGTAAACAGAACATCATACAAATGCTGTTTAAAAGCAAAATTTAAGGTAAATTAATTCACAACTATTATCAAATTGAACTTGTGAAATATCTGATGCCAGTGTAAATTTATTGAAATCGAATAATTAAAAAACAAGATTTTCAGATACTAGTACGCAAAGACCGACATCCGAGTATATTTTTCAAACCTCTAAATTTAATGTCTAAAATGTCATTGAAAATACTGAATCCAATCCATTTGCATTAAAAATATTTAGTTATATTCAGTGTAATTTCCTTAATGAAATCCAGTGGAAATCTGCAATATTAAATACCCTACTGTGCGGTGGAATACACAGTAGGAACTATATGCATTTTCAATACTTTAGGAACCAAAATGTATATTGTTTTGGCTCAATTAACATGTCTGATCTTTTCTTCAGAAAAATAAGTGATTTAAATTTTTTTTGGAAAAATATTAGTGCTCTCATATATATTATATATTGTATATATATAAGACTGTAAGTTCTATGGTTCAAAAGTTTCTAGGAAAGCTAAAGTTTTTGACAGAAATGACAGATTTGCAGACAGTACAAAAACAATACGCCTCCAGATCTGTGATCTTGAGGCATAAAAAAACTTTTAGAGCAAATGCATGTACATTGTACAAGTACCAGCTACATCAATCCTAACTCCTTTCGAAACTCTTTGCATCTTGGTTGTCAAATGCACTGGGGTTTCATTTTGGCACATTTTAAAATAATGTTTTGAGTTTTTTCACCTCCATTGTAGAATTTCAATCTTTTTCATAGGTACCAGTCTATATGGTGTAGCAGATCTTGAGGCACTGGTCAGAGATACCCACAAATTTGAGAGTCGGTACATTGATAACCTTGTTGCTCCTTACAGTGAAGAAACCAAAAAGATTTATGATGAACGCTCTCCTATCCATTATGTTGATAAACTCAACTGTGCAATGGCATTCTTTCAGGGAGATGAAGACAAGGTTAGTTATTTAATATATACATGTAAATTGAATCTAAAAAATGCACAAATTTTATCAGCAATGATTAGGTCAAAAAATGACATCTTTATTCAGTATTTGAATATTGATAATTTTCATTATATTGGGAAGTTATATGATGGAGTATATTAATCTACTGTGAATACGTAAATTCTCAGATTGTTCCACCAAATCAAGCAGAAATGATGTATGAAGCTGTAAAAGCCAAAGGCTTGCCAACAGTATTGGTCATGTTCAAAGGTAAGGCAATAAAAAAGAGCAGAAAATAGCATTTCTTTTTTTTTTTATTTGATTTTTAACTCACCTGAGCTTTCACCAGAGCTGAAAGCTCAATTGAGCTTTTTAAATCACATTTTGTCTGTCTCTTCATCTGTAAATTTTTCACATTTTTAACTTCTTTTCAACCAATTTCAAGCAGACTTGCCACAAAACATTCTTGGGTAAGGGGGATTTAAAATTGCTCAAATGGAGGCCCATGTCCTCTTTCAAGGGGAGATAATTAAGAATTAGGGAAAATTTAATGGCATCTTTGTAAATATCTTTTGTCAAAAACCACTGTGCCACATGAGATGAAACTTATAAATAAGCTTCATTACATAGTGTAGATTCAAATTTGTACAAATCATGACCCTCCAGAGGTAAAGGGTAAGGCAACAATGGGCGATCAAAGTTTTACATAGGAACATGTAGCAAAAATCTGGAAAAATTTTCTTCTCAAGAACATGAAAGCAATTATTAGTCATATTTATATAGAATCATTCTCAGGTAGTGTAGATTTAGGGTGGGGACACAATTGGTGATCAATGTATTACATTAAAATATTCAGAAATTTTTTTTAAAAAAATCTTCCTCTCAGGAACAGAAAAGCCATTATTTTAACTATGTTAAAATATTGTCATACCTAGATAGATATTAACTTTCTAATAGAAAATTGACATTTTCAGAGTATGGGTGCAAAAGGGAAATAACATCTTCTTTTCTGCTTGAAAAATAGAAAATCAAGTTCTTCCACTGATCAATACATGAATAAAATTCATCAATGCAGCAGTGTTTGACCTTAGATGCAGCTGTGCCTTAGAACCTGTAGATTTTTTTTTATCGACCTCATGCTTTTATTTTATCATGATTATTGTAAGACATTCATAATTTTTTTTTTTCTGAGGAGTTAAATTAGCTAGGATATAACATGAACTTAGATTAGGTGCAAAATGTGTATTCACTAATTCTATCATAATTGTGGTATTCTCTACAGTTTTCCTATATTAACTCTTGCACACCAAACAATAAACATATTATCCTTTAATATATTTCAGGAGAGCAACATGGTTTCAGAAAAGCTGAGAATATACAGACAGCCCTGGATGGGGAATTCTATTTCTTTGCTAAAGTATTTGGCTTTGAGCCAGCTGATAAACACATGTCTGTAAGTCTCTGTTTGATCACTGAAATGTGCATAATAACATTTTTCATCTTATGACCCTAATAAGGTCATTTTTAGTGAAGCAGGTATAAATTATGCTCAGTCAAGAGGATGTCGGTAGTGTGGAATAACACACACTGTCAATCTTACCTCAAATGTTTAACAATTACCTTTCAAAATTATAATCCTTATAGATACAGTAATTTATATTGATCATTGAAAACAGGAGTTTGTTTAATCATGACTTTTTTTTTCTTTTCAGCTTGACATTAAAAATCTGAAAGGATGAGATGACATACATTTATTTAAAAAAAAGACTATTTAGTCAGAATGCAATTAAATGGACACCTGTTTGATACATTAAAGCAAATTTTATATCCAGATTTTACATATTTTGACTTTTGCATTGATGATAAATGAGTAAAGTGCACTGATTGCTTAATGCATGATAAATTTTAAAAGATGATCCCCATGATGTGCCCTTACAGCTTCTCTTAAAAAAAAATGGATTGGTTCACAGTCTGTAAGCACCTCACTGTACATAAATAAGTTTTGTTATATAGATCCCTTTTTAACTCCAGTCCAATTTACTTACATAGCATGTTTCAATTTCAATGTAATAATCAATACAATCTTTGATCTGATTCCAGCTTTGACTTGTGCATACAAATTCATAAAAGCAATTTTTTGAAAATTCATCCTATCATACTCAGTGAAATTGAATGGAATGATTTATCTGTACATAAAAAAATGGCTCCAACACTCTGAATGCCTTCAAGCAATAAATTAAAAATGAAACAATGTCTAAATAATTTGTGATTATCAATTGTTTGTCTACATGTATGTATATTTATGTTTATGGTCAGGAGGCCCTGGGAAAGAATATTTCTTGTACTAATCATGTTACATTTTTTTAAATAAAGTTTTACTATTATTATTATTGATTTTGTTATATTATTATTTTTAAGAATATTGCGATGGTCTAGGGGTTTGTTTGCCGGTGGCCAGTGATATCTCAGTTGATTCAGTAGGCCTAGGTTTGATTCAGGTCTTGTCTGCTGAATTTTCTCCCTTCCTGGTGGTGCTTAATCATTCACTGGAATTAACAGGTAAAAGATGTGGCAGGGAGGAGTCTGGGTTGCTTTCTTTGGAGGGTGATGACTAGTGATGACATTTAAGGAGTAAAGCAGTAAGGGGTTGATTAAATTGCTCAATTGGTAAAGCACTTTTCTAAAATTTTGAGGACCCAGTTTGAATCCTGATCTGTTCCATCACATTGTCTCCCTTTTCATATCTAATGTGTGAAGAATTGTATTAATTTTAAAATTTGTATGCTGAAATATCGAATTCGTATAATTTGAAGTATGGCAAAAACAGATTTCTTTTCAAACGGTTTAATAAACAAGAAATGGTATTTAAAAGTTACTGTTCACAAATCATTGCAAAATTATATTTTTAATTGAGAACTGTTTTTTGATTTATACATAACCAAAGAAATGTCTCCATTTTCACTTCTTAAAATATTTTTACATATATAAGTGAAATATTTCTAATTTACTTCTTTTCTTTAATTAAGTTTAATTAAAAGTCATTATGTTTCATTCAATTAATCCTAGATTTTCTTTTGGAAATTACGTACATAGTTTAATTAAATGGCCACTTTTGGGCTTCATGGCAGAATCACTCATACAGACGTTTTACTGTACATGAGTGATTCTTATCACGCAAAGAGGTGTTAAGAAAATTAGTCTCCTGTAAGGCTTTGACTAACGGCATCAAGATTGACACTAAGTATTGAAATCATTCTATTGTATGATTAACATTTATATATCTAATGACAACTTTAACCTGAGGTCGTGCTTATTTAAACAATGAAATGCTTTCTGACATTTTATTGTTCATGTTGTTTATATCTGTATAAATTTTAATGACCGTGTTAAGTTAAATATTGTATAATTGATTAGTACGTCATTGTATGTTTCACTGAATGCAGATAGAAGATCTGCTGCTCAGATTACGTGTAACATAACAAATGAACTTCGGCAAAGAGACAAAGAACTCTGCAGGTAAACCTTCAATCTTGGAATACAAGTAGTCAGTTCATGGCACATTCATTAAAAAAAACATGACGTTTTCTTTTGTGTCTCGCGTACTTGTGGTTGGTCCTACTCTTTTCCCCAAATACACAACACCCACTTTTGATGGTTTTTTTTTTTTTTTTTTTTTTTTTTTTTACGAATTGTATTTACCATTGGAAAAATCTGGTAATTAAATTGTGACGTGTTAGAAAATGAGAAATTTAGACAATCTTATAATAATGAAAATGGTATGAATGTGTTGATTAAAGCACAACAATTCAGCGTAGATTTTTTTTTTATCATAATGCGTTGACATGAAAACACAAAGTATAAATTTTAATATTGGTAATAATTACAGGGACAATAAAATTATTTAGATTAGGAACCGTGCCCATTTCCGGGCCCAATCCCTCCAATTTTGCCAATATAAACTTTAAAATAGATAAACAAAGCTAACGTTTCGGTTGTACTCCCTCTGAAATAAGGTTTGATGGCATTTTTTTTCTTTACCTATGAAAGTATATATGTTAATAAATTTTTAATCAATAAAAGGCATACATGTGCATTGATAGTGCAGTAGAAAACCACGCTACTATAAGTGAAAAAAATAAATTAGAAATTATACAAAAGATATGGGAAATTTGAAAAAAAAAAAAAAAAAAGATTATTGCAATAGGCTTAAACTATCTCACTTTTCAGTACCTGAAGAAAATACTTAAATATTTCTGTATTAAAGCGTTGGATCCGCCTAAAGATCCAACTATCTCTATAAAACGGGAGCCTCTTAAAACCAGTTTTAACCAGTTTGTTACTTCGTCATAGACCCATTTACTCGAAAATCCTCTCGCTGTTGATGATTTACTTTTCTTAACTGATGTGTAAATATCTATATTTTTAGCGTTTTTTATGCAGACTTTTTTTAAAGATTTAGTTTCAAAGAGTGAGATTTAAGTTTTTAGTAAAAAATTATATCTTTTTTAGTTCAAAGTTTTGCGTACTATATTGTGTTACATCATGCGTAGTATTTCACAACAAACTGTATAAATAGTCGTGCAGCAAACGACGCCGAGGTGCGGGATTGATTAGTTTGTTTATGGTAGGGTGTATCTTTTTACGCGGAAATTCATTTTATGTTAAAAGTGTTTTATTTTACGAATTATTTGAAATTCGTGTATAATTTCATGTGTATTCGTAAGATATATTGTTCTTCTGAATTAGAATGATTCATTTTTTGTGTATTGTACATTTTAAACCAAAAAAATGACTATTGTTCGAGAATCCAATATGGCGTCGAGGAAGCTCGGAGAGCAAAAACGAGAATTGAGAACTGTGTTGGTAAAAAGATTGCTGACGAAGAAGAGGAAATACTCCAGAAACACGTATATTTGTGCGCTTATTCAAAGTACTGTGAAAAAAATTCTAGAAGTGAAGAGACCGAAATCTCTTGAAAACCCAACAGATGGTGATCGTAATTTCGTTTCACTGGGACTCGATCATGGTTGTAATGTTGAATTAAGGAGTGATCCTTTAGATATAGATAAGTTTTTAAACAAATTGTAGGTCAGGTAATTTTTGAATAAAAAAAACGGGTTCATTCATTTATAAGAAAGTGTACTGTTTTTAGTGATCCTATTATACTACCTAAAGGGATCATCCATTGTATTGTGTTCAAACATAAGTATATGTACTGCTTTTAATGACCAAAATAAAAACATTGCTTTTTTGTTGCCTAATTGCTTATTTTGTACTTTATTGCAGTGCAGGGTCCATGAAGGCTCTGAATTGTAGAATTGTATGGCTGTTCATTGCAACATCATAACGTAAGACTCCTTGTTAGTGTGGACCAAACCCACCTCCTCTGAGATTCCCCCATCTTGATGCCGCTTTGCTGCCCTGTCATTATCTGCCATGGCTGCCCCTAGATATGTTATAGCAAAGAAAGTAGGAATAGGCCTTGGATGGAAAAGTCCAAGCTGTTAACTGGTGAAAGAGTTGAAAGTATGGTCAACATTGATCTACTAATTCCATCAAGCAATGATTATTGATGACCTAGTGGTAATCTTAAATGGCCTAGATCATCCATCGTCACAATATTGAGAAGGATATGCCCTTTTCCCCTGCTCTTTAAACATGACTGAAGTATTACAAGACCAGTTGTCTATGACTTGGGAAGTGTAAAATGCTGTGGTTTGTAGACAAAGATCGTTCAAGTATCAAAGTTAAACCTTTTCTTTGTTTAGCAAGCAATTTATGTTAAATTTAGTAAGAAAACTTTAAAGTGACTTAAATTGGGTATCATCAATTATTTACAAATGTTAATAGATAAATTGCATTTTTACATCCAGAGGATGCCGAGACAATATTTAAAACTGAATGTGACTTTTCAAGACTTAACATGTCATTATGTCAAGTTCTGTTTTGAATGTTTGGATTGGTTGATGGGTGAGGCAATGCAATTCAATTGAAAATTATAAAATAATTGTGAAAATTTGACATTTCACAGCAGCACATGGGTTCTTAACAAGGAGCCAGTAAATGAAATTCAATGGATCTGAGGGTGTAATTCCAGAGTAATTGATGAAAGGGAGGAAACATCTGCTCTGATCCTTATCCTCATACATTGAAGATGAGGAGGAATCATCATTGCTTCTGGTTGATAATTTAAGAGGAATCGTCTCCCATCTTGCATTAGAAAATTCTGGCTTCCAGAAAATTTGTGTACCTTGACAGTGAACCAATAGATAAAGGTCTTATTATTAAGGTTTTGTGGTGTGAAGGTAGAACATTTATGTAGTAAGGTAAAATGATGAAAATGTTTAAATTTTACAACAGGAACCATTCAAACCACAATTTTCGTATTGTGCTTGTTTAATTGGTAAAAAATATATTGCATTACATTGGTTATTTCAGCTTTGAACGTCCCATGGGGTCTTTCTGCAGAATATCACCCCAATACTCCTCTCTAAAGCACCTCTCCAGAATTTCTCATGGAAAATCAACTAGAATCCTTTCAAAGAAACTTTCAGTCCCTGTTAAAAAAAGACATGAAAGAGACAACCTTTCCCTTTGTACTAGAGCAGAGGGCCTTGCAGTCTTGATTCCCCTTTGTAAAATCCTGAAATGCCAAGGGAAGGTAATTTGTTGTGTCATCATATTGATAACAAAATGAAACTTTTTTGTTAATTGAAGGGAAGGGAGGGAGTAGTTTCACTTTACAGGTGAATGAAATTACAAAACCCCAGAAGAGCGCAAAGTATGGTCAATCTTGATCTACAGTGCCCATCTTACAGTGCAGACTTAATGGTTATCAGAGGTACCCAGATTAAATGGCTCAGTTCTTCCACCGTTACAGTTCGGAAGGATGTGCCCTTCCTCCCTGCTCTTAGTCCTTAAAAATGAGTGAGATGTTAGGAAACCAGTAGCCCAATACTTGTGGAGTGTTAAAATGCTGTGGTTTGTAGAAACTTATTGTTCAAGACGTATAAACCTTTAAATTTATCTTCAGCAGCTTATTATGTTAATCTTTAAAGGATTTCAATGGCCCACAGTGGATATTCATTGATTATTTAAAAAAATACTGATAGATTAAGTAAATAAATTTGTATTTTCACATCCAGAGGATTCCAAGCAAGACATTACTTGTAACTGAATGCAACTTGATAAGACTAATCAATATATCAAGTTCAGTTTTTGAATGATTTGCTTGTTTGATGGGTGAGGTTATGCAATTCAATTGAAAATTATTGAATAATTTGAAAATTTGACATTTCGCAGCATCACATGGTCTCTAAACAGGAACAACTAAATGAAATTTTTTTGGATTTGAGGCTGTTACTCCAGGGTTATTATAAAATGTGAGGAA